CCCCACTCGACTCCCCTCTACTTCAATCGTTCCTTGCCAAGGTTATCGCTGTAGCGTTCTTTAAAAATAACCAAATAAAAGTTTGATGGACTATTCGAAGGCAGTATACGTTCTGTGGAGACATAGCGTGACACGGAGAAGGGCTTTAAACCAGGTTATGACGAAACAATGGACGTTCTTATCGCTAACACAAGTTTGGGGAATTCAAAGGAAGATAAACCCTTTAAAGGTTTTTGTTTACCTACGTACGTATGTGTAAGTATAGCGTACACAATGCGAATTGTTTAGGTAGCAAAAGCCAAAGCCAGCTTTTCTTCACAAACTCGTGTGCACAATGCGAAATCTACTCTGCTGACATTCCTATGATAATTGGTGGGGATAGATATAGGTGTTCCTATTTACGCTGGACACGCACTTTGTCGCCGTAAAGATGTCTGAATAAGGGAAAAAAGATCGTATTTCATTTGCGAAAAATAAAGCAAAACAAAATTACGTTAACATTTCACTAGAATGATGAAACTTTACTTTGGTGTAAAGGTTAATATTCATATTAACAGCATTTACATATCATATTCTCGACAGATCCGGTTCGGAAAGACTAGACATATTTTCCTAAGCGATACTGGTGAAACATTTTTAAGAGAGAGTTCACACTCACAAACTCTTAGGTAAACATTATGCAAAGATGTAGGAAGACGACGATATAAATCTCCTATATATAAACAGATGACGCTCACTAACATTATACAGTGTTAGTAAAACATGTATATCGTTTTTTATGTTGTGATATCTTTGTACCCTCCTCCCGGAAATATCAACAGGTGCTATTACAGTGCCGACCCTTGTTGGAACCCACTGTTAGTCAATTCGTTGTACTAACGTTTAGTGGTCTTCTTGAGATTGAAACCTTGGTTAACTCATTAAGATTTCGTTTGAAAACCTAACGAAACTTTTTTGACAAAAAGTAATACTGTATGGTAATTTCTACAGTGTCAATCATTATTCGACCAATCGGAAAGAAGGTTAACTCATAGAACCTAAAAAGCTGAATACTACTTGTAACCAGCCAATCAAATTGCGATATATTGACCAATTGATATGATTCATAACAGCATGCTTTAAGGATAACACAGCGTTTTATAACAATGAAATAATAATAATAGTAATTCGAGGTTCTTTGGTCACATGATCTGAATTTCAGATTTTTATTTCTCTTAGACATACAAAATATGTAACAACCTAGTTCGTAGGTCGTTTCAAAGCGGTTCACAAATTATTATCCGTGGTTATAGGGCCTTTGCAACCAGCCAATATCTTTCTCAACTCCCTTGGGAGCATACAGCCGGTTCTGCCATTTCGGCGCTCCTAGATAACATTCAACAACTCTAGCACTGCCCAACCAGGTACTCTTTTACAGCTGAGTAGACTGGAACAAGCGGAGTAAATTTTCTGGTCAATGCTACAACACAGTGCTGTGGCGTGACTCGAACCCGCAACCCTTCGGTCCTGCCACTAGACTACCGTGTCTCAGCTGCACTGAATATTTGGCAATTCCCTGTGAAATTAAGGGTCAATGAAATTTAACAAATTTAACACATTTCTATATCTTGTTTATTTGGTATGCAAACTAGAAACAGAGATTGAAGTTGTCAATATGTTTCCATAACATGAAGTCGTGTACTCGTGTCGTAAACATTGGGATTAGTTACGCCAAGTTGTCGTAACTAATCCCGGTGTTTACAACACTTACCACGTTATTCGGTAATACTGGTGTATAACAGTCCTATATTTAACATGTAACGACCGCTGTAACACCGTAAAGAATGCGTTTTTCATAGAAACGTAGACATGTTTAGATTACTGCCTGTTCATGAAGATAAGTCTGCAGACCGTGACAGGAAAGAAATAAATGAAAAAAATGATGATGATTCATGGGGCGTCGAGATGTACAGGAGCATTTATCGTTGGTTGAGTAAATATCACACAAGACCAGGATTAAGCCAGCTGAAATATGTGTTTTCTGAGGAAATGTACGGAAAATTGTGGGGTGAAATACTCCCGTACACTGTGTCTCGTGAAGGACTTCTTTTTATTTTCTCAGTATCACCTTTCTAAAATAATCTCGTATGCAATGGCCGTACAAAGCGTTTCTATGACACAGAGTATATACTTCGTTTCTTGATGACTATCAGTTATATCTATATAGGGTAGCTATTTAGTTCAGGAGTAGGGTGAATAATTTGATATTTTCACGAGTGCGAAGCATGAGTGGAAAAAATGAAAAAAATGAATCCACGAGTAATATATAACTGGTTGCCGTTATTTTAATTGACTAGCGTCAATTGAAAACCATTCTCGAATTTCCGTCATAATGAGAATACGATGTCAAGCCTTCATCGGTTCCTGATTACTCAAACAATGGCCGGAATACCTAACAGTTTCCGAAAACGTTTTGGTCGGTAAAGTTTTTCTAAACGCTGGGAGTATACAACAGATATGTAAATATCATTTAATGATAAGTATACGTATTAATGTGTAGTTATTATTACATTACCAGTTAAGCCTATTACAGTAAATCAGTAAACCTTAATAGATGATCGGCCTTAGTTTCGCAACTCTCCGCCAGGAATGCGATCCGCTATACAATTTACAATCTTCTCGTTTACGGAGAGTACCGAAGGTTCCCGATTGTACAACATATTGCGGACGCAGTCCTGATGTAGGGTAACGAAGCTAAGGCCGATAAGCAGTTTACATAATATTTTTTCTCGAAAACAGTCAACCGGATGCGTACACAAAAAACCTTACTATTCAATCTGCATCTTCCCGCTTTGAAAGCCGACGAACATGTACCACGCCCAAATAATAAATGTTATGTTTGAATGGGAATGTTTTAATCCAAAATTCATATGATTATATTGCTAATGGATTTTCACTAAAACTGACTGTCTAAATGACATGTGTGCGGCCATTAATACACCATATATCATACATGTAAATTCATACCAACCCCGGTGATATCACAAAAGATATGAATTTAACTCTCTCAACGTTCTCAATTGTCAAAGTAAGATTTTTTTGTTACAGGCTAAGCTTACTAAGATGTCAAAAGAAAATGTAAACATATTTTTGTTGTTAGGATGAGAAATTACCTCGAGACGTAACCAGAGCCGAGTATTTAGATTATATGCAATACAACATCAGGATGTCGAGGTTAATTTTAAGCTAAGGGCTTTCTTAGAGTCAAGGTGTTTTCTGGTACAAATGTCGGATTTGGAGATCAATATCGTTACTATACCAGATCTGTTATTGTAGGTTGATTACACTTCGATTTGTGTCAACAGTAGAGAGGTGAAGACAGCGTCATCAAAGCCAGAATGAATGTTAGGGAGAGAGAGAAGTACGGTGTGCATTTTACGAGTGCGCTATCCTCTACACCAACAAACTACCCAAGGGAATATATCATGAATTTACACAAAAGAAAACACGTGCATTCGAATACATTTAGATACATGATTCTATCTCTGAAAGAGTAGAAGCCCGAACCAAAGCCAGCGGCACTGGTCACGATCACACATGTCATTTTGAGTCAAAAATTAACCGGGCCGTAACTTAAGCTGATGATAACGATGTGTTTAATCTATCGCCTAATTTTTTAACTTCCCACTAGACACGGGGTAAACATGTTATGTTTGAATGGGAATTTTTTAATCCAAAATTCATATGATTATATTACTAATGGATTTTCACTAAAACTGACTGTTGAAATGGGATGTGTGCGGCCAGCGAGAGACAAATCTCACGCATGAGTTTCCGTATGTCCCCGGGTCACCTCAGACCATCCCAGATTTCACCTTCGGGTTCTACCGGGATTTATCATACAATGATAACGTCAATAGAGAATATAAACTGTTACGTTGAACATATTTTGAGATCTTGTCTTCACTTCGTAAAGTGTAGAACACATACGGACACTCCTGGTAGAAATGTATGGTCGATTGTAATCACCTCATGAAAGAATATACACTAAAATACATTTTCCTTATAAAATTGAAAAACACTATATAATTTGCTCAACTTCGGGCCTCTGGTAAGTAAGCAAACATGTTACCTGTTTTGTAACTAACGTGTATTATTACCCATCTGACTATTTTTGTACCTTACCTGATCACGCATGCCAACCTATCACTAGTAATTTATATTTGCAAGAACGATGTTTCTGCCAGCTTTGATGAATTCTGCAAATATACCTTACATTCCTGCTAAATTAACCCTTTCAGTGATCCCTAGTGCCTTGCTTGTCAATACCCCGCTTTTGGGCGTTTACCCAAGTCTGGTAGGCAATGGACTCCTTCCCAGGCCGGGACATACCAAAGTCCTTAAAACGACATTTTTTGTTGTTCCTTGCTTAACGTAACGTGCAGCATTACGGGTAATACTTCTGGACAGTGAGTTAATACTGTAAAGTCGGCCTCAGATCGGCGCTATCCCAAGGAGGCAGACACCCCAACATACCTAGCATCCAGCACACATACACACATGTACGCATACTTTACCTACACGGAAGCACGTCTATGAATGACCTTAACTGGTAAATAGGACTTTGAACTCAATATAACTAAATCAAGTCAAAGTACATATGTAAAACTATCACATATAAAAATGTGTTAGTGTGTCACATTGTATGGGACTATTCCTTCTTGTAAATCAAATAGCTTTGACTGGGAAAATCCTGATAACCACACTTTTGTTCAAGAATGTGTCGACCTTGAAGATGGCGATCACGGAAACAAAGTTGAACTTTATTTCTCTTTATAAATGTAACAGTATGCATCGTGATTTAAAGATAAATGAAGTTAACATTTCGTTTTGGTTTTGAAAACGTACCTTGAAACGATTTCCCGTTTGTATGTCTTTTCATAAATACATTCGGATCAGATATCTGTTTTATATATCTATTAATACTGAAAAATAATGGAGTTTATTGTTCATTTTGTCAGACAAACGGGATGTCGGATAGTAAACAAAGACACGTCAGTAACATACATATTGGAGGTGGCGCCTCTCCCCCGAGGAAGCGGTCATCCCATTCTATACAAGCACCAGCCACTTCTGCCTGGGGTGGAGATGAACGCCATTTTGACGTTTCTATCACAGACGAAAACCCAGAAAGTGCGAGTCCTCGGACAAAACAGAACAATGGTCTCGCGGCATTGGAGGAGTGCGAACTTGACCCGAAATTTGGGACCACTACACTTTCGTCTGCTAAGGTTTCGGATCAGCTGGTAAGTTTTTAACCATTCCCATCGAGTTTAATGAACTTTATTATTTATTCTTATAAATAAATTTTGACAACCTATATTTTTTTGTGGCAGAAATTTTCCTTTACTATAAAGCAATATAACTACAAAATTTGAAGAAATTCTACTGAGAAATGGTGACACAAACCTATTACCTTAATGTATTCCTAGTCAAGCACTTTCACTTTAGCTCGCCTGTTCAAAGAACAGAGAGCTATAGCGATACTCCCGCTATTAAATATGTGTACTAGGATGCTGATATTTAGCATGGAGGTTCCTGTTGGGTATACAATTGATGTAGGGAAGTGAAAATTAAAAAAAAAAATTCAAATTTTGAATTTGTTTGACCTGTTTTGTAATAAACGTTTTTGAAGCACATCAACGTTAAAGTTTTACCTGCAAGTTATTTAGAAGCTTGTCATTCATTAAACATGCTGATATTTGGCATGGAGGTTCCTGTGGAGTATGATATTGATGTAGTGAAGTTAAAATATCTAAATAATTTCACCCATTTTTTGAATTTTGCCACCTGTTTTGTACTAGGATGCTGATATGTTGCATAGCGGTTCCTGTGGGGTATAATATTATAGTGCAGTTAAAATTAAAAAAGTGCAAGTGATTAAGAAGCTTGCCATTCATTCAATATGCGTACAAGGATTCTGATATTTGTCACGAAGGTTCATTAGGGCTATACTTTCGATGTAGCATAGGCATAATGAAAAAAATAAAAAGGTACAGGATCAAATCCAGGTCGGGTCAAAGCCTAAGACTTTAAAGTAAGGCAATCTTCTCACTCCCTGCTAAGGATAATGTGACCGAGTGAAGTATCATGTCAATGTGTGTGCGGCATGATATTTCAGTGAGACGGCACTATAAAGTCACCATAAGTCTACCTGTCGCAAGCTGACGCCGTCTCAATATGACCTATACATGAGTTAAAGGGATGCCGAACCCAAATACACATTGACACCATCTCTGGTAACACCTTAACACCTGTACGGAATCCAATCGGAAATAAACCTTCCATAGCTTTGATGGGTTATTCCAGGGTAGGGCTAAATAGGATACGGAACTGACATCATGTTTCAAAACTCCCTATAAACTGTATTTATTTTCCATATTGTTTGTGTATGCCTTTACATGAGTAAACATTATTACCATTACTACTTCATAGATACCTGTATTTGAGTAAATATCGTATTTAATCGATAGAAAAAAAAATGATTTTAAAATGTTTCTCATTATATCTAAAGATTAATTAAACATAAACAATCCTATAATAATGATACACACAGATCATATCATTATACCATTTAACATACCTTTAGTGATTTTTATGTTGGTATTGCAGCAGTGCGCTACACGAATTAGAGCGCTTAGTAAACCACATGTGTACCGCTCATTAACTCTACGTTGAGGGTCCTCAGGGAACTATCAATACTGCCTTGGATGCAACTAGCATATATTTTGGTTGAAACCAAAATAATATCATTGAATTTTCAACTAAAAAATACAGCATTTTCTGTAACATCTTACTCATCATCAACTATCCTTTGGTATAGCTTCATATAAGGAAGTGTAGTGATAATGAAAAGACATAACAAGATGTGATTCTGGCAGTTTTATACTAGATATGGTGCAATAGTAATCTAAATCGCACTCATTGCTATGAGCACACTGGAATTTGTGACGCTTCATTTAACCCTCGTATCACTTTAATTCCAGCTAAAAGTTTTACAAGACTCGACTGTCGTTCACGAAGCGGTGGGAAATGGCAAAGACAACGATGACCACCGATCCTCAGGTCGCCACTCTACAGCAAGCGACAACTCGACAGAACAATCGGACGAGCCCTCCATAACCAGGTCACATGACTCTGGGGATTCTATTGTCCCCAGTAGCTGGACTTCCTTCGCTCAGAGCCTGTTCACAGTGAAGGGGTCCAGTAGCTACTGCTGTGCTGCTCTGCCACTGCCCCTTCTACCAAAGTATGAAAAGGCAGATCACTTGGTGAGTATCACAACGACTGCTAATTAAACCACACAAAATATTCAAATGTTCAATCCTTCAATCAAGTGAGATATGTTTTGCTATGTGTAAGGGTGACGTGCTAAAATTGCGAACATCCAGTTTTTCGTTTTAATCAGTTATAGAAACAAACATGCCAGAAATATTTGAGAAATTGTTTTCTCGCTGCAACGAAGTAGCGGAATCGAGACTAAGGTGTTGCTTTTCAGGCGAAGTCGGCGGCGGCGTCAACATTACGTTTTTGCGTTTAACTTAGTTTCACTGAAAGAATAAGAGTTAGACCAACCAAACTTTGAACCATAAATGCATCTTAGGTAGTGCATCTCAACCCATGCATCAAATGCTGGATACGGCCTATACCTTCATGGTCCATTGACTTTGTCGGCATCTCCATCAACATTAAGTTTTTGCGTGTAAATTAGTTTCTCTGATATGTGCATTGATGGTCAAAGCGGGGCACAGGCGAGAATATCCATCCGCATGGCTTGTTTTGATTTTTTACTGCGTTTGGTTCAGCCATGAGAATGGAAGTCAGTTTGTTTTGGAACACTATAGGCATAGAGTTTTCATTCTATTGACCTTTATTATCTCTGATGAATCTTAACTTTATGAAATAGCCATACATTGCTGTCCAATGTTTATTACCTTCTTTGACTTTTGCATCAACAAAGAAAATCGTTAATTAGGTGCTTCATATTTCTTAGTGATTTTTTCGCAAGTAAAGAACCACTGACTATCTTTCCAGAGCACCAAGACATCTGCTAATACACCAGAAGTCGATCACTTTTCACATTGTCCGTTAACGTCGGTAACTCTCTGTTAGTGAGTATGTAAAGCGCGTCAGTCATGCTACTGTACAAATTAACAGTAAAGTCTATCTAGGTTCAAACTAGCAGTGATAATCTGATAACAGGTACTGTTTTGGCGGTGTCTGTAACAATTTAAGATAACAAGATGTAAGTGATAAGACTTTTTAGTCGAGAAAAAGATTTTTATTAATTTGTTTTTCTGTCAAGGCCTCATTAGCTTCCTGGGTGACGATCCTGAGAATCATGGGAGATCTACCAGACATTGACACTGTAGACAAGATTGATGTCGCTGGGGTAAGTCACGTGACCTCTGGAATCACGGGGGTCTAAACCAGACGTAGAGCAGACTGGGTTATTTGCCTCAGTACAATTTCTCTCCACTAAGACGCGCTCATTGATACTTGGTTATGATACTGACACCCTCGTGATTACATCGGAAATGTGTGCGAGGGAAAAAGTTGGTTTTGATAAGAAAGTATTGCATGTTATAGACGTTTTGTTGAAATGTATTTGAAAACCCTTAATTTCAATGTTGATAATTTCTTCGAAGTTAAATTCTTTCTGCACAATTTACAAGACGCAATTCATCTAGGAAATGCTACATCCCCGTTGGCGATATAAATCTCAACCAAACATAATGTCAGGATTGGTAGGTGGGTCCTGGCGTTTCTGTTCAAAGTGAAGCATAAAAGAAAGTAGAAAAATCTATGGTATCAACAGGATAGATGTCGCTGGTTTAAGTCACATGACCAAGAATCATGGGTGATGTACCAGAGGTAGATATCGTAAACAAGATAAATGTCGTCGGGTTGAGTACCATGACCTCGGTAATCATGGGAAATCTACAATACCGTATACATTGTGGACACCACATATGTCGCTAGGGTAGGTCACATGACATCTGGAATCTGTCGCATCTGTCTGAACTGTATCTTGTATACAGGACGGACAACATCATGTACCCGTCTCTTTGTTGCCCAGTAAAAGTGGATAGCTTTAACACCATTGTATGCTACACCTGGCGGAGTAAGTGTAGCGGAAAGGGTGACCAAGGAATTTAGGTTATCTTAACGTAGTTAATTACAAGTACTACCAGAATATTACGTTGAGTTAGACAGGTACATGTAAAGTTTTGAGAAACATACGAAATAATTATCTTTGAAAATAAAGTTTGTGGATTCTTTAGATAAGGCGTCCAGAAGTGTTTTTAACGGGTGGTAGAAATAATATATTTTTATGTCTGTTTTGCAGTGTTGTTATTTTGCCATTTTGTTCAGACAACAACATTATTACATGTCTGGATATTTCCGAAAAAATGAGATACAAGCTTTTGATTTCAGTTTATTTTCTGGAAGAGTCGATTCAGTTTCCAGGGGATAACAAAGTAATATAATGTGTTGTATTATGTTAACATTACAGCAATCAACGCCCCCTACTGTCCAAGTCCGACAGTTCTACCACAAGAAATACACAAAGAAAGACGTAGATGATTCACACAAGAAATATACAGAACTGGTAAGAAATCTTCGTCAAATTTACTATGTCGGATATTTGTAGCATACATGTGTCTGCCTGTTATCTGTACTAAAACCATATATGGGCGGATTGGTCGAGTGGTTTATATTTCGGCCTTCCACGCTGGAGGTCGGGGTTTGATACCCGAAGTCGTCGTACGCATGGATATTCAGAGAAAGTGTTTTTCTCCTGCTCACACAACTCAAACAACCCTGGTGGAGTATAAATTGATCTGGGGTGGATGTAGTGGTATCTGTTATGTAGCATTTAGTGAGGTAGCACTATGTCAATCTGTCAATATTATTGTAACTCTAGTCTTCCTGAACGTTCGACCCTAAGCAAAAACATATTATGGTGTTTGAAGATACCTTTACAATGATGTTGTGACCTTTCACCGCTATATTTTGATGTCTTTTGACAAACAGCGCACAACGTTACCCACGATGACAGTTTCCTTTCACTTTAAGTGCTTGACTAACACTCAACACAATGTTATAGTGTCATGTCACTGACGGTGCTCAACGCTTGTATTAAGCTGTGTTGTCCTTTAACTAGTGTCTTTTGGCCAACGGTACTAAAATGTTTGGGATGAAACAAATTAAATTTGTGTTGCTTTTTGCTTTGTGTTGCTTTTTGGAGATAAAATATGTAAGATCCAGGTCAAGGTTATTCTTTTATTATATATGCATTTACTATATATGTAGTTTTACTATACTAGTTCAATAAAATGTGTCAAATACAATTTTTTAATGGAAGTCTGGTTATGTTGCAGGATCACAATAAATACTATACACAAATGTTTAAATGTATGTCTTATAATTAAATATTTTATCACAAAATCTACCGACAAGTGTGTCAGACTGACGATGCAAACTTTGTATCAGGGTAGACGACAATAAATCAACGCTTATGTGTGGAGTTAAACACACTAAACATTGGAGATACTAAATAAAGTACGTTGTAATCATTCCTGTGTTTCATTAATGCATATGAGCATGTGCACATTAAAATTAAAAAACTAAAATAAAGGATTCCACATTCCCATCAATAAATATATCGAGGTGTACCAAGTAGAGGTTAGATAGCAACACATTTCTCTTTTACTGCAGTGTTCTTTATGGCACTTATTAATGCATCATAACTTATGAATAATTTCTCTTCTGTTACAGTTTAAAAATCCTGGTTTCACAGAAGCTAAGGGTCTGCCCTTCCTCAGTGATTCATCAGCCTCCATGTTAGAGAAGGTCCAGTTTATATGTGCCCTCGGCATCTATCAGCCAGACATCAGGTATGATTGTAACATGTGTACCAGCCAGACCTTCGGTATGGGTCTCGTGTCTGTCAGCCAGACATCGGGTATGATTGTAACATGTGTACCAATCAGACCTTCGGTATGTGTCTCGTGTCTGTCAGCCAGACATCGGGTGTGCTTGTTATGTGTGTACCAGCCAGACCTTCGGTATGTGTCTCGTGTCTGTCAGCCAGACATCGGGTATGATTGTAACGTGTGTACCAGCTAGACCTTCGGTATGGGTCTCGTGTCTGTCAGCCTGACATCGGGTATGATTGTAACATGTGTACCAGCCAGACCTATGGTATGGGTCTCGTGTCTGTCAGCCAGACATCGGGTATGGTTGTAACGTGTGTACCAGCCAGACCTTCGGTATGGGTCTCGTGTCTGTCAGCCAGACATCGGGTATGATTGTAACGTGTGTACCAACCAGACCTTCGGTATGGGTCTCGTGTCTGTCAGCCAGACATCGGGTATGGTTGTAACGTGTGTACCAGCCAGACCTTCGGTATGGGTCTCGTGTCTGTCAGCCAGACATCGGGTATGATTGTAACATGTGTACCAATCAGACCTTCGGTATGTGTCTCGTGTCTGTCAGCCAGACATCGGGTGTGCTTGTTATGTGTGTACCAGCCAGACCTTCGGTATGGGTCTCGTGTCTGTCAGCCAGACATCGGGTATGATTGTAACGTGTGTACCAGCCAGACCTTCGGTATGGGTCTCGTGTCTGTCAGCCAGACATCGGGTATGATTGTAACGTGTGTACCAGCCAGACCTTCGGTATGGGTCTCGTGTCTGTCAGCCAGACATCGGGTATGATTGTAACGTGTGTACCAGCCAGACCTTCGGTATGGGTCTCGTGTCTGTCAGCCAGACATCGGGTATGATTGTAACGTGTGTACCAGCCAGACCTTCGGTATGGGTCTCGTGTCTGTCAGCCAGACATCGGGTATGATTGTAACGTGTGTACCAGCCAGACCTTCGGTATGGGTCTCGTGTCTGTCAGCCAGACATCGGGTATGATTGTAACGTGTGTACCAGCCAGACCTTCGGTATGGGTCTCGTGTCTGTCAGCCAGACATCGGGTATGATTGTAACGTGTGTACCAGCCAGACCTTCGGTATGGGTCTCGTGTCTGTCAGCCAGACATCGGGTATGATTGTAACGTGTGTACCAGCCAGACCTTCGGTATGGGTCTCGTGTCTGTCAGCCAGACATCGGGTATGATTGTAACGTGTGTACCAGCCAGACCTTCGGTATGGGTCTCGTGTCTGTCAGCCAGACATCGGGTATGATTGTAACGTGTGTACCAGCCAGACCTTCGGTATGGGTCTCGTGTCTGTCAGCCAGACATCGGGTATGATTGTAACGTGTGTACCAGCCAGACCTTCGGTATGGGTCTCGTGTCTGTCAGCCAGACATCGGGTATGGTTGTAACGTGTGTACCAGCCATACCTTCGGTATGGGTCTCGTGTCTGTCAGCCAGACATCGGGTATGATTGTAACGTGTGTACCAGCCAGACCTTCGGTATGGGTCTCGTGTCTGTCAGCCAGACATCGGGTATGGTTGTAACGTGTGTACCAGCCATACCTTCGGTATGGGTCTCGTGTCTGTCAGCCAGACATCAGGTATGATTGTAACGTGTGTACCAGCCAGACTTTCGGTATGGGTCTCGTGTCTGTCAGCCTGATATCAAGTATGATTGTTATGTGTGTACCAGCAAGACTCTTTTTCACAACAATTTTATTTCTTTTTACCTACTTTAGGTTTTTTTGTGATATTTGGGAATAGACAGAATACTTCAGGTCAGTTTCTAAAAGAACATTATTTACGCAAGAGCTGGGCTCTAACAAGAAAAACCACTCTTTACTTTGACCAGTGGTTTGGGTGACCATTGACGTGACTAAGAAATGATATGTCTTTTGTAGAGATGAGCTGTACTGCCAGGTTTGTAAACAGCTGACCAATAACCCATCACGCAACAGTACTGTGAGGGGCTGGGTTCTCTTATACCTCATGGCAGGCAGTTTCTCCCCTACAGAGAGGGTAGGTCTCATTTTTGTTTCGGACATATTTTATCTTTTAGTTTGGAGATGATGAACTTAGAAAAAATTACATCCACTTAATTCTAGACCAATGCAAGCAAGGTAGGTAATGTATTGTTTCGTGTGGAACAGATTGTACCACAGAGCAAATTTTGTCTCCCCTTTAGTTGACATATAAATCAATACTGAAATACTCTTTAATGTCCTGAAAAACAGACGGAGAAGATAGTTTATCTTTCATACACGACACATGCACTTTGTACTGATTTAACACTCCTCTGATAGAGCGAATATGTTTCGATCTTTATTAACTTATCACTATCAAATGCTAATGCCATACTTTTATTGGCCAATTTCTAGTTAGATGTATCAGCAAAACAACAGATTCCTTCCCCATGCAAATCGTATATTAAGAAGGACATTTCTTTCCAAACTGGTATCAAAAACTGGGGTTTTGTTGCAGTTTTCACCGTGCTTCCTCCAGTTCCTACAGGAGAGTATGCCGGAGCATGCTAATCGTGTGGAGAGATTACTGCGGAGGACGTTCATTACCGGGACAAGGGCTTTCCCTCCTAGCTGGCTGGAGTTCCAGGTAAGGCTGCATCACAACCCAGACATGAAGTTATCATTTCGTCGACAAACTGGCATTATTCGTTTTAGTAGTGTTATATAATGATTCGCGTTTTCAAATTGTAATAAAATCGAAATTAATGTTTAAACTCTTGTAAGGCAATACAAATGACAAAAAAGGGTTTTTACACAATGTTTATTACATGTATAGTGTAAATTCTTATCTGATTTATTTCTCTGTAGGCCGCCAAAAATGGCAAACCGATTCTGCTTCCTGTGGCATTAATGAACGGCAACAGGATGCTGGTGGAAGCGGATGCCGTGACTACGGTTCAGGAACTGAGTCGGCAGGTTGGGAACCGGATCGGTCTCCATCACCTAGAAGGCTTTTCACTCTACATAACGCTAATGCAGAGGGTAAACAATGCTACCTATTTGTCTGTCTTCCTCTGTCTTTCCACTTAATTACCAACGCATTGGCAGAGCAGGATACCCGACGTCGTTTTCAAGTGTACTTCAATTGATCAAACTTACAGAAAAACCATTGAATTTGCAACGGGAATACTTACACCATAAACAAATGTTCTCCACAGTTTAAATTCCGACTAACTGAGGGCGAATTTATCAAGTGAGCGAGTATTATTAGTACACAATATTTCATTTTTATATTGAACATGTGAATTTCGAAATTAATATGTGGTAAATATGGACATTACCGGTAAAGGTCCAGAGTTTGACGAGAAGAATGTTTCCCGCTGTAAAGTTAGTCAATTGATTTCGTGATCGAATATTGCTGCGAAAAGAAGCGCAAATTTGATATCTCGCAACCGAAACTCATGCATGACACTATTTCATTTCCTCTCTAGATCTCATGTCTGGGTCACGGGCTTCACCGTGTGATGGATGCAGTGTCGGAGTGTGAGCAGCACACCCGTCAGATGGGAATGAAGGAGAGCACGTCCACATGGAGGTTATATTTCCGTAAAGAGTACTTCACGCCCTGGCACGAGCACAACCGTGATCCCATTAGTATCGACCTCGTCTATCAGCAAGTGATGAGGGGCGTGTCTGTGGGCGAGTATAACTGTGACAAGGTATGTATAGTAGTGTATTGGATTGGTTTAAATGTCGGATTTAATTAATTGCTATGCTATATTACTTTTTGGCAATACAGTTTGTGAAACAGATATCCTGACTTTTGACAAAAAATGATAAAGCTAATATTAAACTGTCTATCATGCATCTTTTGTTTTTTTTGTTTTGAAAATAATGTGTACAGAAGTAGTTTTGAATAGGGATTAGTTCTATTTAAATCCGCCATTTTTTCCTGAATGAGTAAAAAGGATATATAAAGCTAGATTACAAAATTGTGCATATTTTATTCACTTTTCAAAAATACGCAATCCAAATTTACTGTTGATGGGTTCATACTATTTATAGAGCAAATTGATGTTTCTTCTCAAATTAATGTATCGGACAATGCTGTTACAGGAGGAGGTTTTGGTCATGATGGCAGCTCAGCGATATTTTGTAGAACACGGAAATGATTTAAAGCCGGAAAAAATTGAATCGTTCCTCACTAGTTGGCTTCCTGGAGAGAAGAAAATGGGTGATGAGCTGCAGTCATGGGTGGGAAAAGTGACACAAGTGCTTGAAAAAGACATTTTAAAAAGTAAAATCAATGCTGACACCCTAAAAGCAGACGTTGTGACATTCGCCAAAAATAAATGGTTTTCCATGTTTTCGCGTTTCTACGATGCAAGTAAAATCCAGGGACCCGACACCTCATGGTCGCATGTGATTCTAGGCCTTAATTTCAAAGGCATTCAGGTGATGGACGAGAAAGAGAATATCAAAATGCAGATTCCATTTATAGAGACTGCCTCTATATCTCGCAACAGGTAAATCATACGGTGCAATCGAGTACTGATTTTTCTTAAGCGTGTGATCAAAACCGCTATGTAACATAGGTAAGGTTTATTTTCTTCCAGAATTTCGTTCGGTTTTGACCCCTATTTTTTACTCATATCCTGTTTAATATAGTTTTTTTAACGCAAAGCAGGTTGGTAAAAGTATGAGGGAGAACAAGTTTGAATTTCAAAATTTAATTACAGCTGAACACTACACTGATGGAACCTGCGTGGTGACCACTTTTTAAGGTTGTTGTTTGCGCAAAGATTATCAATATATTTGTGTTTCACAATGCATTCTTTGAGTAGGTTACCAATTTTAAAAATGAGACTAACAGGCAGAATTGGTAAACAGCTCAATACGAAATAGGAAAATCCTCCCGAAAATCCGTATTGAACACAAAGTGTCTTGTTTAAAAAAAATAAAAAATCACGACCGATATTTAAACAACAACAAAAATTAGATTTGAATTAACAATCTTCCTGAATGCAGCAAGAGTGATATGTATGTATGAGCGGTATGTCTGAATGTTATAAAAACGTTATTTGACCCAAACTATCATGTATCCTCCAGATTAAGTTAGTTCACCTTGTTATTTGAGGATCATGATTTGGGTAATGTAACTATATTTATTTATTTTTAGACATACGACGACGATTTCCACAGTGAAATCTGAAGAATATGTGATATTTTCACTTCATTCGGAGGATCTCTACCGTTTGCTGTCTATGTTCCTTGAAGGATTGAAGCGCAAATCAAAATACGGATTTGTTGTCCAAGACTGTTCACAATATGGTGAGTTAGTCGTGTCATGTATTGACCAATCTTCAGTGTCCGGTAGTAAAATGCCTGATTAAATTAATCGTTAATGAAATAAAGTCGAGTTGGATCCTTCAGGTAGTTGCCAGTTAACCTACTTCATAATAACATTAAGCAATTCATGTTGGGCTACCTGGATTATCTTATTGGCTTTCCCCTGTTCTCTTATTTTGATAAAACAGAGGAGTCAAAAATCATTCTGCTGTCCCCATTGAAACTACCGTGATCTGAATCTATTCTGATATTTGTCCCTACTTCTTACCACTTTTCCTCTTTATCTTCTGTGGTACTCTTGTCTTCACATATCCACGCTAGGTTATCCTCATAAAGATGAATATTTTATAGATACTTTGAATAAGAGTATTATTTTCAAACGACTGAATCGAGATTTATAGTAATAATACACTTTATGTATTGTTATTATTATTAATATTATTATTTTAAATCTCGATTCAGTCGTTTGAAAACAATACTCTTATTCAAAGTATCTATTTATAGTATCTATTTTTAGTTATGTGTTTATAATATCAATCGACATCCGGTACTAAATCTGAACAAGAAGGTGCTAATGTGTATGTACACAAAAACATAAACCACCAATATTTTTTTTTTTGCGTGCTTCAAATATAGAAAAAGTAAAACTGCCACAAAATAGGAAGCTATACGGTACAAATATACCAATTTAAAAACGATCTGAATTATTTATTGAAACGAAATATAAGCTTAGTCATTTTGATATTAAAATACATTTTAGTAGATGCTATGGTATTTCTATTTCTTTAAAATTCTAAATTAGAGGCATCTACCCTTAAATTCTAGATGGTGCAATAGGGTTGAGCGTACAAAAAGGAGACCTCGTCAAACTTGATCATCCGTACGACGACTTGAAGAAAGCTGATGTTTTCACAGGCACGTGTCAACGCACGGGGAAGAGCGAGACGATGCCACGTGACCTGCTATACATACTCCCAGTTATAGAACAGCCAACAAAGGATATGATGGTACAGTGCTTAAGTTTTCATGTATTTCATGTGGCCATCAGGCAAATAAACACATTTTTACTCCAATTTTCGTCTCCAAACAGTTAAAATAACCGAGTATCATGATATGGGTCATTGTAAAATACACGTTACTATAAATGTTTATATTTAGACATACGGCGACGATTTCCACAGTGGAAATATTTTGTTATGCAAAACGACAATGTAGAAATCAACCAAACCTATTTCAGAATTTTATTCAATTGAAACGAAACAAAATCTTCAATCAACGTGATCTTGCTGACATTTCGTTCAGGAAAACGCCATTTAACTCTCGGATACGGTTTACATTTCTAGTGACATTGCTTCTGTGCCCTTATAATTTGTTCAATAAATATTACTGTGTTACTAGGGAATGGTGACTGTCCAACTTAGGAAGGAATTTAATCCATTCATTACGTTGGTTAACACTGAAAACAAGAAGGAGGAACACAACCTTCTCAATTTCTCCAAACACCACTTCCGGTAAGTTTAGGAATTGGAATTAGTATAGTATAAACGGCGCTTTGACAATCAGTTCGATGATGTTTCATTTTAAAAGATTTTAAAAAACGTGTCAATATATATATATTTGAGTGTGACGTATGCTCACCGGCAAGGACTTGTTTTACCACAGGATTAACGACAGCTATATCTACTTGTTTCAGTTTGTCGTAATTAACAGTGGCAAAGATTGTGAATTCACAGTCTGTGCTTCTGCCCCAAAACTGACAAAAAGAACCCAAACATCACTGTTTAAATACTTGATTTACAATATTTTATTACAGAGCAGTTGAGGGGTGTGAAATTATCGAAATACAGTTATAGTCTTAACTCTGCGATTTTGTCCTAATTATTCGAAGGAAACGCAAGAGAATTTGACAAATGATGCGAGTAAAATAATATTCAATGTACTTCATGTATGGCAGTCAACTATGTGAACTATATCTAGAATAATTTACACCAGAACAGTAAGGTCTGTACTGTTCAATTGAAGCGGTCATTGCTATAAACTAAGAATTTCAACATGCTTGTCATATATAACAGGATAGATTGAGGGGAAACCTTGATCGAGGAATTTATTCTACATGTCTTTTACAATAGAAACCAAATTATTATATATGCATGTATTGGTACAATGTTTTGTATCACCATTGCAGATCGTCAAATGAAAACAGAATGTCAAAAATTTTGTCCAAAGCCTCATTCAAGAAGGACAAGTCTACTCAGTTATGGAAATTCAGCAAGGAGCCTCTGAAGAAACCACTGCTCAAGAAAACCTGTAATCGAGAAGAACTGAGGCAAACGAGCTGTAGATGCTTCCTGGATATCCTTTTTACACGCATACAATTCTTCAAATATAATATGTGGGATTTGACGCGTAAATAAATAAAATAAAATATTTTCAGCTATCACTTCCATGTAAATCAATTAAAGACATGAGTAAGAAAACTCGCATGGGCCGAATCGTATAAACCTAGGAATGTGGTTTCTGATATACTCCTATAGATGATGTCGTGGTCATCACCGTGACTGATTGAATGTATTGCTCTCATGATCGAAGTGATGAATTCAATATTGAAATCCATCAACTGAGTAAAGCTGAATATAAATGAACATATTGTTGAGCAATATTGGCCATGTCTTACGTTACCTCAACACTATGCAGTAACATATTGTTCTATAAATCAAATTATCGATATAATGTCCCTCATTTCATTTATCACCTGACTTATCGCATATTTACCTCAATGTCCCCTCTTCCTCTTTCCGAATGCTGGATGATGATGACATGTGTGACATGTTGAGCTTATATTATATTGTGATTGTGATATTTACATTCAAACCTTAAATCACCATGGCCCTAAATGACCACAGTTGTCGATGGGTCGTTAAACACACACAAACAAACATTTAAACCTTAAATCACCATGGCCCTAAATGACCACAGTTGTCCATGGGCTGTCAATCACAAACAAACAAACAAACAAACATTTAAACCTTAACGCTGTGTACCGATCCAACAGTTTATGGGAGACTCACCAAACAAAGACCAGATATCCGACTTTGAGCTCGCCAATAACTGTGTGCTCGAACCGTCCATGAGAAGTGTGAGTGTAACGTATACAATAGAACCTCTAAAGTCTTGTTCTGTTTACCGTCAGAGCTCATAATATAACTGATCAGTTGTCATTATTTGTGATGATCAATTTATATGTGTCCAAGCAGCATCCCCATTTAATTGTCTGTGTGTGAGTACGATCAATCGTGAGAATAACATTAGAGCAACACTCCCAAAGAAACCTGTGTATTGGTCAATTAATTTGCCTCATAATAAGAAAGCAAATTATAACTACGGTGCATAGCTTTTCACTTTTTGCATATTGGGTATATAACCATAATCCAAAAGAAGTAGTCACATGCAGGCATTTTTGTTTGTTTTTATAAAATGGTGGTAATAATACTGAATTGTATTATATATATTTTGTTTTACTTTGATTGGTTTTGCAGAGACATATGAGAGAAGAGGTGTATTGTCAACTAATAAAACAGCTTACACACAACCCAGATAAGTAAGTGTATGTTTCAGATTGTATCATCCTTTATTTATTGAGTATACTGAATATCTTGATGTGATATATTCTGGTGTGATCGCACTTATTTATTCGTTTTGCTACCGAATGCATTTTTTTTTTATATGACTTGCATGTTTTCAATTATATAGAGTTGAAAATGAAAAATAGCTGTGAAATGCATATCAATTTTTTCCGAATTACGTACTTATTGCATGGTCATTTGTGATAAATCTGATGCGAAAATTAATGTTCTGTGCTACACAAAGACACCCATATTTACTTAAGTATACATTTAACTCCAAAAAGAGTCGGTGTGCATATTGTTGATTGCGTCAAAGGGTTGGATGTGACAGCGCTAGAATACGGAAACACTAATATAATAAATGCTCTATAAACACATGTATTTGTGGTCTGCTAAAATAGCAAATAGTTCGAAAATACTAAACTAGGATTAACAATCGAACGTATGTACATAGCTGTTTCTATAACAGGACCAGTGAGGATCGAGGCTGGCAGCTGCTCGTTCATATGTCCTCAACAGTCATCCCGGGAAGTGATCTGGTGGAGGAATGTGAACTCTTCATGAAAGGAAGTTTACATAGAATGGCCGCCCCTTGCCTTGATAGATTTCAGACAACGAAACGGTAAGAGATCAAAGACATGACGTAGGTTTAAAGTTGTATATTTTCCTGCATGATTGTGTTTATTCCTTGAGTGATGTAACCACGTCTCTTTACATCCAAACTTACCGTACACCAACTGACAGTAGCCATCGAAAGCTTTCCAGTAAGCGTATGGAAAGATTTCATCCCTGACGTTTAGATAGTGGATATCATTACAGGCTTGTTGGGATCAAGTATATATAACAAAACGAAAGGGAAGTCAATCGCTGCGCTCTATTGTCTGAACATATGTGTGGGTATTTTATCTAACAGGACATCAGCCAATGCAGTCATTATGATAATTGTACAGTGTTGTAAATTTAATTACTTTGTAGGAACGGATACAGACAGTACCCACCTCATCAAAAGGAGTATGAACTGCTTAGGTCCAACGAAAGAACAATCAAATTTGATGTGGTCTTGCCGTTTAACGAAAGACAGGTTTGTAAGAAATATGTTCATTGGCTACCATAAAAGGAGATACAATTGTAGACAAGAGTTTGTCACTTAACTTTGAAAAATAGAACAATTAATATCATATATTGGAGTATATTTTGCAGCCCAAGTGGCTACAACCCCGGACGGTGTTTGTGAAAGTTCAATTTTCTTGTACAAACACTATTATAAGAAAATCCAAAACTAAATGTGCTGTCGGAGAAATTTGTAAGAGTTAGACAAATAATAAGATTAAATCAAATGCTCTGTAATTTTGATAAGGATGTTTTTTCTTTTACTGTTCCTAGTCAGTAGAGGTGGAGACCACAAGTCGCGTTTTTGACATCAAACAACAGCTCCTGACCAAGTTTGACCTAGTCGACGCAGCGATGGAGTATGGCTTGTTCTTCGCCCTTCGAGACAGAGGTCCACAATATTCCTCTACCCATTCAAAAACGAGTGTGTGTCCTTTCACTTGCCATATAACTAAGATTAGTGGATTTCTTTACCATTTGTAAAAATGTGGGGTAGAGTAGCCGTGGTATAATAGAAGAGTCATGATAGCGTGCAGGTTATTTGAGGTAGATATTGGGAATCTATAAATAAGGATTAGTCAGTCTTATCTAATACTGGTTACCATACAAGCGTTACGTACATATGGTTGATAAGTCAATACGAATGATTCTTTATGAGAAATATTTAACATTTGAAATAACAACATGATAATCAATGTTCTTTTGTTATTGTTTGAATTCAGATAAGATGTATTTTTGAAAGTTATGCAATGCATTTTGAGAAATATAGATAATTTGAAAAAAAATTGAATGTAGACTAGTTTTACAAAATGCTAAAATTAAGATATGCTTACCTGTTATACGATCAGATCTATTTTCAGCCTCTGGTCACAAACATGGGTCGGCATTCAATATCACAGGCAGGTCAATAAATCGCCTGTAGTTGCAAAAATAGCTTCCCCTTCACATTTTATGGAATCCACTGATCGTAGTTGATGTCGTATGTTTCCTGTATAACATATACACTTCAGCCAAGTTGTTTAAATTAAAGCCAGTTTATGAACTTTACTATTTACAAAAAAAATGTATTTCTTGAATTACAACACGGATGGGTGTGCCAAATACATGTGAAGAGCGTAAGAAATTGATACGCTGGTGTGTCTTTAAACAACTTGGTAATAGTTCATGCCACTTTCAACCACGCTTAAAACAACGTACTACATGTATCCCCGAGACGACTAGGTGTATCGGTACAGCCATTGCTCTGCATCGCTTCTTTTCGATGTTTGCTCTTTAATCTAGGAGAAATAGTAAATGGTTCTTATATTAAGAAAGTATATCCTATGCGTGTTTTTAATCAAACCTTTATGAAAAAAGCTATGATACGGTGTGCTTGTTACTGTTCTTAAATTTTCGTGATAACAAAGACATGTATTTGTGGTTAAAGATGGCTATAGAACAAGGCAAGGTGTGATATTCATTGCAAATATGTTTCAGATTCCTTACTTCATGTTCAGTCTTACTTTATAATTTTGAATGTCACCGGTGTTTTTGCACTCAGTTTCTGCTATTCTGCTATTTGTATTAACATAACGTAACATTTTGGATGAATGAAATATTTCGTAACAATAAATATAAATTGAAGCTCAACTCGAACATAATTATGATTTAAGCGTGAAAGGGATATCGTAAATTTGATGATGAAAGGATTAGCAATGCTTACACTCCGCCTGTGTTCGTTACTATATATTAACATGTCTTCTATATAACACATGCTCCTCTACAGCACTGATTAATGAAGGCATATGTCTACACTGTGGTACAGGCCACTAAGTTGTATAAATATGTACAAGCATACTGAAAACTAGAAATGATGCGAGAGATAACTGTCTCCCCTGTCTACCAATCTGCACAACTAGGTATCAGCATGTTTGTAAGTTATTGTAGAAAAAATTGGTATTTCATGTGAAATCTTGACACCACTAAAAATGGAAAAATCTCAATTTTATTGGATACTGTGTTGAACAGACTAAAGGTGTATAATCCTAAGGTGGAGTTAATGAAACCATTCAATTAACATTGAAGAAAAAATATCGAAAATCGTATTTTTGGCTATTTTTTTGTATCATGGTAACTAAATTACCATGATAATTCTTGTGATTCACATAATATATATTTAAATATTATTATACAATGTACAATGTGTAATGTTCTGTATGTGGTAGAGTAAGGATACTAATGGTGGTTGATAACATTTTTGACTAAATATTTTGATATTGATATGTGATACAAATGCATTTTGAAACACTGATTCCGTAAATTTGAAATAACAATTTCCTGAAGACGGATTCGTGAGACGCTGGTTCCAAATAAATACCAAAATAGTACATTCTTAGCTTAGTGCAACGATATACTTGTTATAAGTAGTATTATAACAATTGTTAAAAAGGCAGTATTATCATTCTAAGCGCACTCTGAGTATTTGTCTGTGGTATCCGTATTCAAATTCAATCGATAGATCCATTATGATGCAATTTCATCCAACGTGTTTCACTATTTTCAATTGATGCAAATTTTTAAATTCACAGTTCCTGGTCTTTTCTCTACCACCCATATTCCATTATCTCACGTGTTGTTATCTTCCACCCATAGCTGCTTTTTCCTTAATTAATGCACCTGGCATTTTCTTTTTGTGTGTGATCTGTTTTGCCGCATCTCCTGATTGCAATCAAGCAGACCATCATGCTATAACTTGACACAGTGTAGCAGTTTCATATTCCCCTGTATATATATATTTACATGTTCCACGTAACGACTTTTCCCTGTACACAGCACACCGATTAGGTCCCTGCCGAACTGTTTTCCTCCTATCAATTTGATACTTTCGTATTTAAAGTACTGTTAAAGATAACGCTGCCTACGGTGTATATTTATTTTGAATTGTATGTGAACTTTTGTGATGTTCTCTTTGTTACAACATGTTATTCCACCCATCAGGTTTGCGCTTACGTTATATTAGTTATTGCCATTACTAGAAAAGGTATAATCCTGCAACAGTATAAGATGTATATTGATAACATTGGGATAATGTGGTCTGGTGTACCGCAATGTAATTAGCTTACAAGTAATTTTCATGGAGCTTTCAATATATATCGAGCGGGTACTTGCCATCAATTCTATACGAAAAATGGATGAATATAGCTTAGAAATATGTTATATATGACCACAGATAGGGTAAGACATTTTTATACATTTTACAAACAACTAGTATTTCTTATATACAATGTATGAATATATATATATATATATATATATGTGCATGTGACACATATTGATTAATGTTTTTCTGAACTTTTTATGACTATTAATGCCTTTTCGATAAATAAACAAAAGTTGTATTTTGGATGTTGATAAAGCATGTATATTTCCATCGTCCTGGATTATTGCTTTCTATGAACAAGTCCATCGTATTTCCAAACTTTGTTCATTTTATGTTTTTGCTACTTGTGTTGACATTTGAACTTTCAAACTTACAGTGTTGGGTGCTTACGATGGAGATTATTTTATGGATGCCCTCTGTCACGTGGAGAGATTCTGGACAAAGCTGGCACACTCAGGGAGAGTTAGTCGTAAGTTGAAAAGACCGGTAGTAAATATTACTTTTGATCTTCACAAAATCCAGCCACTTTGAAGCCGAAATACTATGGGTTAGCAAGGTCCATTAAAGATGGTCATCCCAATGATGAGTCATATTTTATCAACTCCAGGTAAACGTCGGTATTGAGATATGAAATTTAGATATTTTTGAACTTAGTAAGTTATTTAAATGATGCAGAACGAATATAGCTCAGTTTGTAATAAGGAATTAAGTCTGCTGCCGTCATAGAAAATACTCTTTATTTGAATGGAGTTGACACCAGTTTTGACTGTATGGATATTATCGTTAATCGTAATATTATTAAGCTTCAATATGGTTAATCAATTGTTTGAGCGCAGACAACTATCAATTATGACATTGTGTTTTTTACTAATTAAACTTGATAGAAGTGATCGAGAGCATATTAGGCAAATGTTCATGCTACATCGGCTAAAAGCGAAGGTTTGGGGAAATGTTTAAAAACAAAAACGGGGACTATGCACATGCTATATACATGTAGTACACTGGTATAACAAAGACATAATACCAATTGTTTTATAATACTTACAGAAGCGTCACCGGAACCTCCACCAGAACCTCACGTGTTCTTCATGAAGAAGATATGGGTGAATGCCGAACCTGGACAACACAGGATGGCTGACTCCATGTTTCACTTTCCTCAGGTAATTGCACTTTTATGTAATCAGTCCTTCACTATAGGTCAAATTACCACAAAATTCAATACGGTCAAGTGTCTGTTGTTGGTCGTCCCTAAACTTTCCATGGCATTGCATTGCAAGGAAATACATTCACTAGAAATATATATGAAAATGAGTCTGTATTATTTCTACAGAGTTTATAATTTCTAGCGTGATTGTAGTAAATATCATAATTTATGTATCGAACAACCTATATACATCATTTTGTTCTGACAGGAACTGCCAAATTACCTCCGGGGCTTCCACAAATTTTCAAATGTTGACCTTGCTAGAATGGCGGCCTACATTTACCGAGGGCAGTTTGGTGAAGATTTGGCAGGGATGATCAACTTTCAGTAAGTATAAGGTGTTGTTAGGTAACTTAATATCATCATGAATATATAACAAACTGATGAATCGTCTGCATATAAAGTATAGGAGTCTAGGTATGTGAGCTCAGTGGTTTCCGGACTGTATCCTGTGATTTTTTAGCTATATTCCTCAAACTTCTCAGGTCGAGATGTCCAAAATCCATATATCCCTTTGTATGTTAAATCGCTTCCAATTATCAAATAGTCTTTTCGCCATTTTAACGGAACAAGATAACAACATCTGAGAAATTATTGAACCTTAAAACACATTTTAGAATCAGAGGCTCTAGGTCAGTTCACAGAAATCCACCCTGTTAAATAATTTGGACCACCATAGTATGACTACCCAGTTTTCGGATGAGAACCCTATTGATTTCAGAGCCAAATGGTCAAAGGTCAAGTTACTCGTTATGCGAACAGAAAATCGTTCCAGAGGTCTCTATCGTAACTTCCCTTCAAGGAACTTGACACTTCATATGATAATTAGCAGTTTAGAAGAAACCGTATCATATTGGGATCAATGATCTAGGTAGCCTTCATGGAGAAATTCATACCGGAACGACACGTTTGCCTCAATAACCTTAAAACTTGTACATATTGATCACTGAAAAAACCCTAGAAATTTAGAAGTCAGAATGACAAAGATTATGGTTCGGTTTTTGTGTGGAAAAGCTCTATGGTGCATTCATTCCGTCATATGCACAGAAATGCGCAAGTATTCGTTTGCTGGAGTTTTACATTTCTATATTTTAGCTTATGTAGTGGCATATTGTATTGTTTTGAGTAGAGGTTTTGATATCATGTCCGAAGAGCCTTATTTCCATGTGTGTTGACACATTGGTATATTTGTTTTGTACTTCTCCATTCAAATGAAATTGATAAAATCGATTTTAAAAAGTTTTGTTAATCTTATATAAGAATATGTTTGACTTAATTTCCACAGTGAAAATATCAACGCTCTGATACCTCGGTCCCACGCCAAGACAAAGTCAGTCGACGAGTGGCGAAAGGTCAGTACAGCATGAAGACACTTTAGAAAAAGCTCAATTCAATATTTCATCGAAATAGGGTTAGGGTTAGGGTTAGGGCTAAAAACAACTTACGTTTGAGCACGCTCTAGTTAAACTAAGTTGTGAGACAATATCATAAGCTGATAGAGGTTCAAACCTTGTTGAGGAGCATTTTTCTAGATGACACTCGTATTACTTCGTTGATGGTAACAACTATTAAACTAATTATTAGATTTTGTGATTGGAATTTAAATCTGAGTTGATGGATTTAAAAAATCGACATTGTATATAGTCAGAGCTTGATATGTTATTTTCTATGTTCAAACGTAAACCATCAGGCCGTAGAGACAAACCTAAAGCTGACCAAGGACCTTTCTCCGGACAAAGCCAAAGTAGAATTCCTCAAGACCATCTGGGCATGGCCCACTTACGGCAGTGTCTTCTTTGAAGTCAAGGTAAATAAGCTTAATAGTTCGAGTCAGTTGATCAGAAAATTTACCTTAAACATTAATAAATACATGAAATCTCTGCAAAACAAAAGAAGTTGTTTATATATAGGCGTACTTGAATTGACAATTACATTTACGCGTTTAATCACATTTGAATCTTATAAAATTATACGTATATACATTACACAGCAAAAACGGTATTGATAGGTTTAGTACATCCTTTAATGGGGTTATTAACGTGCACCAAAGATAATTATTAAAGCGATAAAAAATTCGGGCATAAAAAGAGAAACGTAGTAAATTATTTTACAATGACACGTTTGTTCTATTAAAACATCGTTTTGTCATACCTGTGTAAAATGAGTTTTAAATTTACTATTAAATGTGCCACATTCTTGACAAGTAATCATGTTTAAGTATTGTATATACCATCTAATATACAATGCAATATGTCACTGCGTTTTTCTTTGCAGCAAAGAATGATGAAAACTATGCCAAAACATTTGTTACTGGCCGTCAATCCCAACGGTGTGTTACTGCTGGATCCCGAGTCCAAGGTAACCTTTGATCTCCATGGTGACTTTTGACGTAATGCCGGGAAGTTGAATGCCAATTAAAAAAGATAATTACCATATTATCTAAATATAAAGGCAATGAGAGTTATTTGAATAGTTGCGTTTTCGGTCTTTCTCTTTTACTATGGTTACGTCCCTGCTGTCCGACTTGTACATCATTGTAATCACCTTTTTTTTTTTTTTACCGAGTATCAAAATACCAATAAGACATTCTTACATGTATGATAGTTATGAACTTCTAAAAAGAAGAAAAAGAAAGAAAAAAATCCACGATATATCTTTTTTTCGCATGATATCAATTGTCGTCAATGTAATTCCACAATATCATAACTAACGTCTTAATTTTAGCGCCAAAAAGGTGATATTATATGCTATTTTGCACAAAAAAGTATGACATCAGTTTATTTACTGCATACCGCAGTTGTAATTTGAGTTGTATAGTATGGTCACTCAATACGTAATAATTAGTATGATTGTAAGGAGCACATTGTTTTTGTAGATCATTCCATGTTATATTATTAATCACTTGTTGATTACCAGTATTTGTGACTCTATTGTAGGATATTTTGGCCAATTACGAGTACGGCAAAATCCCTAACTGGGCCTTCGACGAATTTTCCTTCACACTCGTTGTTGGCGAGTCGTCAAATGCCACGAAAATATTCTTCGAGACCAGTGTGGTGAGTAACTCATATTAATATAGATATTAAGCCATATTTTGCTTGTGGAGATCTAGATCTTTTGAATCACAGTTCTGTGTGTAGTAGCGAGATAACGCTTAGTGCAAAGGGGAAACTTGTGTGCAGGTTTGATAATGTTTTTCGATTGACATTGTCATGTGGTTCATTTTTCATTTTAAAACAAAATAAATTGCAGCAGGAGAGTCTTTTTCATTAAGTATCAGATGGTTGGTGATCTACAAACTCTTTCAGCTGGATTTAACAGAGATTTCAAAACGGTGTAGGGAATTATCTAAGTTCCGCTATGGAACTCCGTTTTATCGTTCCTTTTTATTTGATGTCACCTCAGTGCCCGACCTTTTGTATTGACGTTAGTTTAGATTGTATCTCCGTGTTTTGCCGTCATACGTTTTAGTTCACCTAGTCCAAAGGATCAAGATGCATTATGTCAAAGCATGGAAATTGCATGCCAATTGACAAGCAAAGAAGGCCATCTATTCCTCGAGTGAATGAGATATGTTTAGCCTCTCTTTCCTTAAACTAGGCCCACGATAACCAAACTTGAAGTATTGCTACAGAGTATTGAGCAGATGCTGTTTTCGACTTGATTTAAATCCGAAAATGATACCCAGTTCGGTGTCATTTTTTACTAACTCTTAATTATGTTAAATCAATTGGAACCAATTATAGCTCCAATATTCCCATGAATTCATTAACATAGTTTTGTAATTATTTTTTAAGAAATCAAAGATGGTAAGCATTGCCTTAAGTTGGCAGAAACATTTCCTGTTTAGTTCTGATAAATAAATAAATAACTGAGCGATATAGCCACTATCGACCTCTTGTTGCATTTTACAATGGAGGGTGACTTCTAATGTAATACGATTTGCAACACAGATAATATCTTTACATCCTTGTATTTTAGTTATTTAATGGTCTTCATTTGCAGAACTGGCTGTAATAATTTTTGTATATTTTGCGATTTCAGGGACACAACATTGACGACGTTGTGATGTCGTATGTGGCATGGACCATGAACACACACATCAAAAAGCGTCCAAAGTACGCAGGTGTGACTGTTGGTGAATCAAGCTGTTAAACTCATCAAACTTCAAAATATCGAGTCATTAGCTCAAAAGCCTCACATTATAAAGATGAATAAAAGTTATATATTTGGTTCAACAAAAAGCAAGATTTCAGAAATAAATTCTGACGAAGAAGGTTCACTTTAATAGGTCAAAGGATCAGAGGAGAGATAATGCATGGTAAACCAACGTGGAACTTGTATCTAGAAATTATTTGGGTTTAAATAATCTATTACAGGTCCTGATTTCTTAAATATAGCTTCAAGCATCAAGTGAAAATACCTAAATACAAAATATTGATATACGAAGGAGATTGTATCACATCTCGTTACTCGGGATAAACTGACATACGTTTGATCATGTGTATTCAGAGGTTTGTAAGTATTCATATTTCGCAAATATAAGTATGCTATTGTGGTAATTTTTTGGGTTTGATGTCTCATTAAATAATATTAACCAAAGTATATAAATTTCAAAGGAACTGTACGTCTTTTATATTTAGCTTAAATTCTGCATCAGATTATGATGGTGGCATAAGTAAAGTTTTATTCTACATAAAGTACACATTGTATTATAAGTTTGGTGGTTTGCATAATAGTATGCGTTTAATATCAATGGATTGATTGAGAAGAACATGTCTGTTTTATGATATAATAACCAATATGTATGTCTAATCACCCGTATACATAGACACTTTGAAACAGATACTTGTTTTTGTATGACATTTATTTTATAACGTTTTTACGAAAACTTGATGGATTTACATCATATTGAACAAATACTAGAAGCTCAAAAGTTCTTTAAAAGACCAAATGGTAAGTTAAATTAGGTACGCAAGTTTGTGACACAGATACCAAGGCCGATACGAGGAAGAGGTTCGTAATAACAAGGTGTGGATTTTTTCCTGTACATATTTAGCTTAAACAGTATTTATATCTGTGTTCATTTTTTCTTAAAATTTTGCAATCAATGATTGATATATATATTCCGTTGTATTTTTAGAAATCATATCACCACATGTGTTGATTATTTGTATATATAACATTATATTCATTGTCTTTCAAAATCCATATTAAATATCGTGTGTTTTTTAATCATTCTGTTCTTGTCCTGTTTGGATCCGGTTGTATGAAGCACTGTTAGCTTAACGGCATGTTAAATAAAATTTTAAATCTCAACAATTTTCATAATGAATGAAAGCAGTGTAATTGGAAATAGCCATTATATGAGCATCTACAGACAAAACCCGTAGAAGGACTTATACATTTTTTTGAAAAATAGTCGAGACAAAAAAAGATGAAAACAGTTCGATAGTACATGGTTTAAACCGAACGACCTGTTAAGTTAACGGTGCTATAAACAACTGACCTCTTTTCGTTATGTATTGGGTGTACACTGAAGTAAACCTATATATAGATCGACAAACATGATTTAAGTTTATAAAATATTTTAAATGAAGATGATTGATTATGATTTATAGGTAGTTTATCATAATTATATTAGATTCAGCAGATTTGATATAAATCACAATCAATTGTCACAAGTTGAATATCCTGTTTATCCAATAACCGATATATGATAAAGAGCTTTACTCTTTATCAAATATATGTTACTACAAGTGTAACAGTGAAAGTATTGACATCGTCACGTGGTGTTTACTTGTAGCTGGAAATGATTAAGACACAATCTACTTGAAATACAAGTTTTCAATAATATCTTCTCTTGTGGCCAAAAGCTACAACTTTGTAACCATACAAAGGCATCCATAGGCACTTATTTCATTTTTGAAACACTTAAAATATTTTTTTATTCTGTCGAGCTTATTGCCTATGAACAGTCTTAAATGAACGAAATGGTCATCCAATTACTTAATGTTTAAATGAGAGCTTTCTTACTTCATAACTCGAGTAATCACATTACATAAAAGTTTAAGAAATTAGACTCTACGAGATAAAGGTGATGGAACATATAGTAGTTATGGGGTTTATGTCATTATCCGTTGTAACGCTAGTAACGATAATGTAGTTTGCTTAATACATCCGGTGATGTGCTATCTTATTTTGATTATATCTAAAAGTTTAATTGTTATGCTAAAGCTGTCCTTCTCCTACAGTTGTGTAAATATGAAAGTTATCATTTCAATTTGAAAAATATTTATTTGTTCATTTTTCCCCATTTCTTGCTTCTATTAAACTGACAAAAATCAAAATGTAACCCAGTGGACACAATGCAGCAATAAACGAAATCTAGGATACTTATTAGTCGTAGGTGTTGCAGTCGACACAAAAACTGTACCGATATCACCATTTATTTATAGGAATAATATTCAGGAAGTTTCACTTTAACAATGAAACATATGTCAACCATGTCTAATTGTATGTTTTGTTCTTGTAATTGCCTTTGGTACATGTAGCTTATAAACATATCTATGAGTTGCATTTCAACCTAAGGGGGATAACAATTTATTTTTCTCTGATCTTCAGTTATCTCCCTTTTCTTTGCTCAAAGACTTACTTGATTTGAATTATACACTGAAAACCATATCGAGTTATTTAACGGTTCTATTAAATTTCATATAATATGAACAAAACCAGGGATACAGTCGTATTTTTTTTTTAGAAATGCCAATGAACATTTCAAAAGGGAAAAGTATAATCATTTATTTATTCAGAATTATTGCTCAATTAAAATCTAAATTCGACAGAAACAAGAAAACGTTTTAATATTACATATTATTAGCTTAAATCTGTCTCAAACGGCTGAATTCCTCAATATTTCTATATTATGATATCGTAAACTTGAAAACACAAATATAATTGATGTCTTAAAGAAATAAACCCGGCTCCCCTCAACGAATCCCAGTCTCTGTAACAACACATTCAATTTAGATATCAAATCTTATAAAATGTGATGATATGATGTTTTGATTATATAACCACAGTTGACGTTTAATACATTTTCTTACTGTGATTATTATTATGATAAAATTCTTTTTAACAAAAACTGCAAGAGTTGTTTTACGTTTTGATCACTTTCTTATATTTTTCGTATTTTTTTAAAAATATGTTTCAAAAGTTTGGCTACAATAGCGCAAACACATTAAACTGTTGAATGATTAAAATATTGTGACACAGCCAACCAATATTTTAGTATACATGTTTTATACGTACTGGGCACTGGTTATATTTATTGCTTCGCATCTAACAATTTGTCGCTTTTAATTATGAATCGATATGGTTATTGAGAAGTAACTGTATGGTTACGGATCAAATGTTTTATTTAAAGAAAAACTTCACTGGCGAGCAATCCATACTGTCAATAGTTTTAAAGTCAGGAAAGAATTTTATTCCTCATTTGGAAATGGTTTCATAGACAGGGATTTGTTATATGCAACTGTCCTATGCAACTTACCATTCTTATTGTATGAAATATATTGTAGTTGAAAAATTAATAAGTTAAAGATCACGGACTTCTTCAGTTTAAATACAATGTAACATGCAACCTAGTTATAAGCTAATCAATTTTGTGTTTAACATTATACACTTAACAAAACAGGGATTCTAATAGCATAATGTTTTATGCATCTTTTTACAACATGATTTATGCAAATGAGTTGTTACCAACGTTATAATTAACCTATATATATATCCAAACATATTGTAGCGAAGCTATCTCGAGGCAAGAATTTATAACAAATATAATCTGGATACATTATCTTCAACACAGGACATATCTGTATACTATTGAAATAAGTATGTCATTTGAGTAAGATTATATATTTTTATGATACATCAGATGTGTTATAATGGCTATTACGAATGATAAGATAAGAAGTTATGAGTTATTATGATAACATGTTATAATATTGACAGGATTTCAATGTGATGAGATGCTTTATGAGATGTTATTATGGCGTTATTGTGAGATACTATGAAGTTTCATGATAACAGGCAATGTGATTTTTTGATCCTATGACAAGTTCTGTTAATTATGTCTTCTCGAATTTATTATTTCTAGTTTATCCAATAAAATCTTGTCTGCTTCATTTATAGGTGTGCATCTCACTGTGATGTACGGTGGGTGATTTATGCCATTACGTTATTTCGGCTTCTCGCCCAGAAAAGTCAAAACAACGTAATTTAAGCATGGTAAGCAAACTATACAGTAAAAAAATGTCCTGGTGGTGAAAAATCTGATCTCCTTGATTTACACTGTCGATGCCGAAGAAGATGCTTACTTTCCGGTACAACTCGCCTTATTCTCTTTGTACTTTTTAAAGAGGCTGAGAAAATAATATTGTTTCTGTCTTCATATTTTGCGATACACTCAGCGATTATGAGATCGAACAAATTTTGTTTATGCAGCTGTATTCACGTTCTTTCCTGCATCGATTACAGGAGCTACAGAAGGTGTACATTACACATTTGCCAAAAAAAGTGCAGTTCATAACCGGGTTGACAAAAAAGGAAGACAAATTGTTTTTCCATAAAATAAATCTATAATAATGAGGACCAATAGTAAAACATCGTTGCTCTATTGTCTGAGAGCGTTTTACATGTAACATTATACCAATGTCATTAATTAAAGAATCTCTTTACACAAATCCTTGTTTTTATTCATTCATGCAGTTGCATTAGGCTTACCTCTGTCAGTGTGATCGACAAGTTCATGTCACAAAGTTTCACCAACACTGGCGCTTCAGAACTATAGATTTAAAATAATTTGCTTGAATTAAGTCAAGTAAGTTTTTTTTCAATACAAAGCCATTGAAAGCTTGAAAAGCGATTTCCAGACGACTTAGATTCCACACACCTTCCTACCATAACCTTGCGCGAACACGATACTATATTATTTTTGTACGAAACATCAAACAATAATATATCCAGAAAGTGAAATTGGAGAATGAATTTGCTATTACATATATTAAAACACAACATGGAAGCGTGCCAACATTTTTTTACCGTGAAAACACAACATCAATATCAAAATCAAAAACACAGGTTGAAATATTTTCCTTTTTAATATAAATACATCTCAAAGGATAAATGATGAAACTCAACAATAATATGGGTTAGTGATTGTAACACATCAGGTAGATATGTATATCTGTAAACATGGCGCCCATATGGCCTGTATCGATCACCTTTGTTGAAAGCTGGAGAAAAATGTCACTTTCGAAGAGGATACACGTCTAATGTTTATTACTGTACACCATTTTTGTTGAAAGAACGGCAACCTATTCAAGTAAATGTAACTTTGTATATTACCTCAGCTAATGCACGTCCAATGTTACAACTTCAGAACTTAAGGACATTTAGAAGATGTTGTTTTAAAAGGGTTTTGGCACCGTGCAGATGAGTCAAGGTAATTCATATAAGCTTTACATCCCTTCAGCTGCCTAACATGCTACTGGCCAAACATCCTCACAATAGGCCTCTTGGAAGTGCAGAGGTTTTTTAATAAATAGACGCCGAACGTTCAATGGGCACCGCGCCACAGCATTAGCTCACTCGCCCTTCTAACAGCGAGTTAAACATTTTCAATTTAAAGTAAAATACATAATATCGTAAATGGGTTCAGGTAGTATTAGGTTTCATTTTACGCACTCACGAGTTCACACCTTGCAACAGTAAACGACATACAAATCGGTCCCCCGGGAGTGACCATACTGTAGGGAGAAGACAAAACAATATTGCGATGGGACTGCAGATCAACCTTTTCCCTCCAATCAATTAAGCATAAGAGAGAAAGAAAAAAACATGTATTCTGCAGTGGAAAATATTGAAAGGTTACCTGGACCTTAGCTGGAGTCCTATTGCTATCTATCACCTGCAGGTTTGGGTAGAGAATATACCTAGCTTATCCTACCGTATGTTACTGTCAGAGGCAATTCATGTCCTCTCCTCGAACCTGCAGGTGAAAGATAGCTTCAGGGCTTAAGCTAAGGTCCAGGTAACCTTTCAATATTTTCCGTGGTGAACGAGACCAAATTCAGAATTACATCGACTTACTTTTCTCCTTTAAAAAAGGACCATCAGGTTAGCAGCAGATAAACAATATAAACATGGTTTCCTACATGTAAAATCTATATACTTACATGTATACATTTTATATTGTTACCATAAGAAAACAAAATACTCATATTTGTACAATCGTAACCACAAGTCATACATATATATACTCCTACCTGTTATATTATTACCACAGGTAAACTCTATGCAGTCCTACCTGTTATATTACATATAAATATATATACGCCTACCTGCGGTATTACTGCAGGTAAATGTATACACTCCTACCTGTTATATTACTACAGGTAAATCTATATAAGCCTATCTGCTGTATAACTACAGGTACATCTATATACTCCTACGTGTTAAATGTATATTAATTCATGGAAAATCAATATACTCCTCACTGTGATAAAAGTAAGATGAAGGTCAACTAATTCATTTTATTGACCCATATTCTTTGCATAAAACACATTTTATCACACCTATTTGATTGAAATAATGCATTCTGCATGCATTCTTAGTTTTTTTTTTATTAATTTACTGTCTTCTTTTTACTGCCTCTAACATGCTTTTCATCAAGCTGATAAAATAGGAAGTTATTCTGTACTGAAAATATGATGATTTACAGCTTGAATACATTTCTTGTTGGAAAACTTAGAGACATTTTATTCATTTCAATATAATATTTTGACCGTCATAGTCACTTTGAATCATATTCCAGACAAATGCTTACATAAAACAGAAAATGGAATGTGACAAATTGATGGATTTCCGTATATATTGATTGTTTTTTTTAACATCTTTACATGTAAAAGGCAAGAATGAACGGTTATGTGATGTCAGTCCGACCAATGAACAAATTGTTACTTTGAACATTAATCAGTAGACGTAAAATATATAGCACATATAGCATCAAATACAATGCGTATAACACTGGCCAACCCGGGACTACTTCCAATGGAAACCTGAAACTTTACGGAACATCCTTCCAGCAAAACATTAAATTTCTAACGAATCAGAAAGCACTCATTTATTGCGCGGACGTATACATTCACTCGTGCGTAGAGCTTTTATCACATACTTTCCATATTTGGTAGATATCGATACAAAGATTTTATAAACTTTGATATTTTTTGCAAATACCGGGAACTTTTCAGTTCGCCATGTCAAGGGTATTCCCATAAAAAGTAGTTCTGGCTAGTAGGTAAATACAACATTCCGTATTGCACATGTGCAATAGGCCTACCGAACGTTGTATTTCATGGTCTGAAAATTGCTTGTATTACTATAACAAGATTCAACAGGTATGTGATAAATAGAGGATCGGTCATAAGTTTCCCTTCGTATTAGATTGATGATACAAATTTCGGATTTTTCATTTTTCCGAACCTCTGGCGAGCAAATATAAAAAAACCACCGAATATCATCAATCTAATATGAAGGGAAACGAATGACAGATGATTTTTATAATATTATACAAAATAAACTGTATAATTGTGATCTGAAACGAATATTTTGCACTTGGTCGTCTCTGAAACGATGAAAATCACGTCCGCTTCACAATGAAGTGACGTCACATTGATTGTTCCTATTCGATTGTGACGTCATTTCCAGAGTGATATTACACACGTTACATAAACGTAATTTATGTGATGGCTTTATGACACTGCATAACACGGTATTCATATGATAAAGACTGGTATTGACTTACATATATCCAATTGCCATAAAAACACAATAGGATTGTAGGAAACCAATAAATACATATGTATATGGAGGATATTAAATAGTTTCCAATTGAATACTTACGCTATATATTTCATGAGTTATGGAACAACTTTGCTATCATTTGGTAAGATCTGCTTACAGAAATGTTATCAATGGTGTAGTTAAATAAATAATCTCATTGTTTATAATCAATATGTAAAAAAAATACCATAGCTTCATCTGCACCTGAACAGATTGTTTCTGCTTTGGACGCAAGGAATAGAACAAATTGTTTTGCTTGGTCAGTACCAAACTGATATCTATAAAATGTGACATAGATCACTTTTAAATTTAAGATTGAAATATAAACTAACAGGCGAAGTTGTAAAAGAACTATTGACTACGAGCCACTGTAGTATAGTAACAGTTTAGTCTATCTATTGGTGAATTTCGACGAATTTTAGTATTACAGATTTGATTTGTTCAGATCTTCAAGGACTTGAAGAAGCCCCTCCTTGGCAGATCCCAACCCTTGCTTTAGAGATGGCTGAATGCTGTGACCCTGATATACAGATGCTGCTCCAAGCAGGGCTCCCAATGCAGCCCCTCGATGACAGTTTTCTCCTAAAAAAACATGTATTAAGCATTTTTATCATCATTAAAGCCTTACTTCCATATTCCCTTTCTAACATTTAACTCATTCACCCCTGAAGTTTCCTAATGAACTATTCCAACCTTTGTAATCAAAAGGGTTCAAATGTGTTTTTAGGGGTGAATGAGTTAACTGACACAGGGAAAACATGAACATAAATCTAACAAAAATGTACAGAATGAATGAACACTTTTCTCAGGATTTAGCCATCTCAGTACATCACTGGTAAAGCTACACTAAGGCATTAGGAGTGTATTGCTAAACGGAAATAGGAAGAACATCCTTAGTTGAAAATCCAATGTAGGGAGACAGTATCACAATTTCCGCATATTCTAATGTTTAATATTAAACTGATGAATATTGTATGCTTATTATTGACAGAACAGTGTGTTCTTTCAATAATAAAGTATTGCAAAGCAATCCAGGCATTAATTCAGTTGTTTTTAATCAATGAGTCACATGTGTCCATTTTTCTGTACTTCAGGAAACCTGCTACCTATTTCACTACTGTGAAGTTTTTCAAGAACGATAACTCTGCTATGTGAATATGGTTTTATTATAAAATGTCAATTTTTAATCGTTTATAGATAATGAATTTTACACAATTTCAACATTTATGAAATTGATATACATTAATGTAATAATCTATATTACTATCATTTTTATTGACATTATTTTGCAAAAAGTTTCATTTTTTTTTCAAAATTCACTCCTTTTTACATGAATTTCCATTTAAAATCCTTAAAATTCTGACAATCTATATTTTTTTGATGGCAGATTTTCTTTACTTCAAAGCAATATAACTACAAAATTTGAATAAGTTCTAGTGAGAAATGGCGACACAATCCTATTACCTTAAGGCATTGTGGTATACAGCCAAGAATAAACACAGCATTTCTCTAACCAATTTTAATGCAAGCCAAGCTGTATTGTGCAATTAGAATAAACTCCAATAAAACAACTCACCTATCTACATCTCAAACCATTTAATTACTCAATTTGATTCTACATGTATACATTTAAACTGATTTTCTTCTATCATTTTGATATAAGATAGCATATACATGGATAGAATAAAGTTTAAAAAAATGATAGACTTAAAATAAATACTATATTCTTTGGGAATGTATTTTAAACAAGAGGCCCAGAGGGCTGTATTGTTCACCTGAATAATAAAGCAACCATGGGAAATTGTTCTTATTACAAAAAATCCCTATAATGGTACAGAAGAAAGATTTTATAGATTTTAACTTCAAGTTTCCCTTTTGTTTATACAAAATTTAGTCCAAGAATTCTCCAAGCTAAATTGGGATAAAATACTTTAATCCCTATGGTAGAAGAAGGATTTCAAAGGTTTTTACCTCTATTTCCCCTATTGGGCCCAATAATTCTGGCCCAAGGAGGGCCAAACCCACCATTTATACAAAATGAAGCCCCTTGGCCCAAGCATGCTCCAAACAAAATCGTGATGAAATCCCTTAATCCCTATGGTAGAAGAAGGATTTCAAAGGTTTTTACCTCTATTTTCACTATTGGGCCCCGCAACTCTGCCCCAAGGGGGTCGAAACCCACTGTTTATACAAAATTGAGTCCCCTTGGGCCAAGCATATTCAAGACGAAAATGGGATAAAATCCCTAAATCCCTATGGTAGAAGAAGGATTTTAAAGGTTTTTATCTCTATTTCTCTTTTGGGCCCCGCAACTCTGCCCCAGGAGTTTGAAGACAAGTATAAATTGCTTATTATTTTAAAAGAAAGGAAGGTTTGACATTCATTTTCTCATTATAGTTCTAACTGTTAAATTTAATTTATAGAGTGACATTTTTCATTGTCATCTCATGTAATAATTTTTGATCATATGACATTAAATATTTTACAACAACTTCTTTGAAATCATCAAAACATACTAAACAGATTTTAATTTTTTGCCCTGAAAGGAGTAAGGTTTATTAAAAACAAAGCACAAATGCCTTTTCTCTTCCTTTCTGTTTCATGGTTAAGGGTCAATCATTGATGTTTAAACACAGTTTGATGATATTTCAATTTAAATGATGCATTTGATCTGAAAGTGATTTTTTTTTTATATATAAATAAACAAGATATAGGAATTAAAATTTTGAAGTTTGGCCAAAGGAAATATGTTTTTCACATAACGTCAACTCAGATGATGTTAGGAAGCATTTTTCATGAAAACGTTATTGGTCTAAAACATCAAATCTACCTGGTAAACAAATAAATTTCATTGACAAAGCATACTATAATAACTTAATATCTTTGAATTTAACTATAAACAAGTAAGTGGTATGATTGGTATGGCTTCAAGCATCTTTAAAATGGCCACAATATGACAAATACTAGCAGCAAAAATTACAACACAAGGTTTGTAAGAATGCATCCTTAACTCATTCACCCCTGAAGACACATTTAAACCCTTCCAATTCAAAGGTTGGAATAGTTCTTTATGAAATTTCAGGGGTGAACGAGTTAAAGAGGGAACTACAAAAATAATAATCACACCTCTCCCCATTGTTCCCCAATCCTCAGAAAATCATTTAAAAAAAAATTAAAACAAATGTTTGAGAAAATTTAAACAATGATTACCAATACTTACCTCCACAATTAGCATTCATTAGAACCCCTGCATTGCAATTGTCTGCAAATTGAGCTGCAAGGAACAGGAGGCTACTCATGGCGCCCTCTATGTAACATGCAGACCCAAGCCGGCCAACTGCTGACTGACAGGATTGTAACTGGCCCTCTGATCCTTGTGGATACCTAAACAGGAATACCACTATTGTCTACATCTACTCACTTGTGACCATTTATGTGGAAATCATGTTTTCTTTCATAAATATATACATATATACCAAATTTCTTTTTTTTTCCGTCCAAAAGATCAAGCGTAACATATTTGTATACATACAACAGTATTTGGCAAGTTATTTGTATAAATCCACTTTCTGGTATTACAAAGCAATGTTCTGTTGTAACAGTTCGTGCAAAAATATTTTTCTATTTGTCATATATTAATACTTAGTCACTCACTATATATGTAGTTAAAGTGTTGTCTGACTATTATTTAAAATTCAAGTACCAGAATAACAAATATCAAAATTATTTCGGCTTTTTTGCATACTCTGAATAAACAGAGTGCATGTTTGTTAATCAATCACTTCACAGATTCATGTTAAGTGCATACAGTATATACCAAATAACCCTAAAACAATCATGGCTACATGTATATATTCCTTAAATAACTAGAATTTTGTTTTTGTGAACAAAAATATATGTCTCCCCTTATTTGCCAATAGACAAACTTCGGTAATAAAAAATGAACAAAGGACCATATCTCTTTATATAGTGGGGCACGAGACCCAAATTTAGAATGTGACACTCCTACTTCCCAAGATAAGTGAAGCACGAGACCTAATGCCAGTGCACTGCACACCTTCTGTGGGTGATGCAGGTATGATTCAAGTTTGATCAAGATATCTTTAACGGTTTAAAATTTACGGGCCAGACAAGAATTTACTGAAGATGTTGCACTTTTTTGACCTTTGACCTTGAGGTGGAGGTCACAGTGACCTAGTTCCAGTGCACTGCACACCTTCTGTGGGTGATGCATGCATACCTTAAGTTTCATCAAGATATCGTTAATGGTTTAAAAGTTAAAACCTGGACAAGTTGTGATTAGAAGAACCAAAAGAAGAAGTACTAATACAATATGTCTCCCTTCATTCGAAGGGGAGACATAATAACTTACTCTTCCCTTACTGATGATATCCTTACACTATCAGATATATATATACATCTATTGCTGTTTCTTGCTGTACTATTAGCAGTTTTTTGCTTGCCTCTTTATAACTCATCTTGATTGTCTCATCCACAAATATAACAAGAAACCGCCAATGGCGATATGGCCGGATTTCTACAGTACATTTTCGTGTAAACCATCACATGTGGTAAGCATCCTTTAGGATACATAAGCCTTGCAAGTTTAATTGATGTAGGACAAGTAGTTACTTGGTAAGTGACCTAAACCAATCTTCTTAACCAAAGTGCAGATGGGGTTTGACCTCAACCAATCTTCTTAACCTGGTCAGTCAAGCGGTAAATGTAGGTCAGAAGCAGAATCCGAAGCATTGCATGTGATTAGCATCCTTAGATACAGAAGTTAAGCCATGCAAGTTTAATTGATTCGGGATAATATAATAAATAACTTGCAAACTGAGCTTAATCATTCTTCTTAACCTTCGTGCAGACAGACGGACAAACAGGAATCGCAAATCTATAAGCCCTGATTGCGTCGTGATCTGGCCAAAAATCATAATTTTACTAAAAAGTGCCTACATTCAATTATACATTTATGTATAAAATCATTTGGTTATTTCATGAAAGGGTGATAGTTTACTTATTCCCCTGCTAGGCTTTAAAAAAACCCAGACCTGTTTTTGGCAGAGAGACATACAATGTATTCCAGTCCTACCTGTTGGCATCTTCCACGAATCTCTGTATCATTTTCTGCTTCCTCAACCCACCAAGTTCTGACCGCACCATGCACTTGTTGACCTCTGAAGTAAGGTTGCGGCCATTGATGACACTGTGCAATAGTCTGGCGTACATATCTATATAAGGCACAAGTCCTGGCTCGGGATGGGTCAGTTTGATGAATGCCATGGCTGACTCCGCACACTCTGACTCAGTCTTGTGAGAGTTTCGTATTACCCAGGGGATGGCCGGCACTATGGACCCAATGACTACAAGCTGATGGTCAGAGGAACCCTTGGACTTCCTGGCATATCTGAGTTATGGTTGATAATAAGATTTTAACTCATTTACACTGTCTGTGTACATACAATGAGACTTTCAAGAGATTGAAAACTTAAATCCCTCAGATAAACGTTCCCCTTTTACTGCAGCAATATACATTATATGTATTAGTCTAAAACCACTTGCCTCTGCTTGAACTCATTGTAAGTTGTGTTTAAAAAAATGTTTGAAAGATAACACAAAAAAACAGACTCGTACTCTAAATAAACCGTGAAGCGGTTTATGATATGCGAGTACACTCTGTGTTTTTGTCCTTATAATTTAATCTACTATACCCAATCCCTGTGGAAATCCACCTTTTTGATGGACTCTTTTCTTTTAGAAATTATTACGCCGCTGTATCAGCCAATCATAAGCGATGTTACAAACGGTGACATCATTTTTTTATGTTATGGGCTGATAACATAAAATTTTAAGCCAAAGAAAATGATTATTACAATTATTGCTATATATTGAGTAACTATATGTATAACACTAGCTGTACAATATAAAGTATTGTCTGCTATTCAGTAAGTAATATTTATATAGGCCAAAAAGTGAGTCTGCTATTTAATATACATGGAGTGGCAATAGAGGAAATCTCTGACAACGTCTTAACCCTTTCACCCCCATGTAACAGCAAAAGTAAGATACAACTAAGTTATCATCAAGATAAAATTATATTCTAATTACTGTCTTTCTATGGTAATCTTACTCTCAGGTAGAACATCAACATGGAACACTTATTTTTAACCAATTCCTATTAGATTAAAATAGTTGGAAAGTTGTCAAATAATCATTAAAATATAAAAGTTCATGTCCTGATAAATTCTGTTTAAAGGTTCTGTACAGAAAATCTATTGAAAATTGGTCAATGTGAGATCTTGTTTCAATGCACATGTCTAGCACAAAGACATTCAATGTAACATGGTCTTGCCTTGCCTCTGTCCACTTCAACAGCTCCGGTGCAGACTTGGGAGGACAGTTCTCTGACGACCAGTCTTTGAAGAAGGCACGGTGGAAGGATTCTGCATAAGTGTCGTTGTGTGAAGCTGGTGTGGTCATAAAACTCACATAATCTTCCAGAACATGACCTCTCATTTCCCTGTCATCCATAACGCCTGTGGGATCCAGTCTACTCATTGTGTTCAGCATCTGTAGTGCCATCATGGAGTTTAGAGTACTGTCCCCTGCCTTCATACCTATCAAACAAACAAATGTCTAGTTATCATAAATATGATATAACATTTAGATATATAGGTGGTCGGTTGGTGCAGTGGATAGCACACTTGTGCCTTTCACCAAGGCGACCTGGGTTCATATGCAAACGAGAAATTTGCGGACGGTATATCGTGATTTTACTGCCACAAATTATTTTGATTGACCAATCAAATGCTGTGTTACATCTCAAATAAAATAGAATACACCATTACATCTACCAAACAAACATAGCTGAAGTGGAATGTAAACAGAGCTGTCCTCACAGCAGTCTCGTTTTGGTGACATTGATGAGCTGAACCAGAATACACAGTGAAGCAACATTTCAGACCTAAACTTTTATATTAAAACTACAAATTAAACACTTTGCTTCTTTGTTTCCATCTAAAAGGAAAGTGAACATTGAAATTAAGAATTGTTTGATTGACTGCAATACCAATCTTCTACAAAGCTTTCCTGAACAACCAGTTTGAAGGTGATTGCCCCAGAAACTAGTCGGTCAAAATACAAATAAAATTTAAAACCAACAATTTGTATACAGGAATCTAAAACAATCGCCAAAATACAGGGTGACTTTGGTGAAATTTAAGCCTCAAGTTGGTTAGCTTATTAAGAATATCACCTCTCAGGTGATATTTTCTCATCTGTACCCTCATTTTTTTTATTTGGGGGAGACTCTATTCATCTCATATATGACAGTGAAAAAACAGGCAGAAATCAGACCAGCCTTTTGGATTGATATGTCTCGCCTATGCGATGCTTTAACCATCAATGCACATATCAGAGAAACTAACTTAAATGCAAAAACTTAATGTAAAAGGAGATGCTGACAAAGTCAATGGACCATGAAAGGTAGGCCGCATCCAGCATTTGATGCATGGGTTGAGATGTACTACCTAAGATGCATCTATGGACCAAGCTTGGCTAGTATAGCACTTATACTTTCAGTGAAAATAACTTATTAACTCGAAAGTTTAATGTTGACGCCACCCACGCCGTCGCCAAACAAACATCACCATTGTCTTGCTTTTACTTCTTGGCAGCGAAACAAATAATTAACACACTCAATGATTTACGATATTTGCTTCCATATGTTAAAGGAAGATTTGATGTACCAAAAAAGACTAGTGAGTTAATAATTAAGTTGTAATTGTTGAATGTGACACATCTGTATATCTATTACAGATCTGTTTCTATAACAGTTAAATACTGACCATGATCCTCTACATACAAATAAAAGCTGCTAACACAGTGAACCTTGCTTGATGGTAGTGTATTGACTGATCCTGACTGGTCCAGTACTTTAGTTGTCGTGTACCTATACTTACAGTAACAAGCTGCTGACATACCTACCTTGATGGTAGTGTATTGACTGATCCTGACTGGTCGAGTACTTTAGTTGTCATGTACCTATACTTACAGTAACAAGCTGCTGACATACCTACCTTGATGGTAGTGTATTGACTGATCCTGACTGGTCGAGTACTTTAGTTGTCATGTACCTATACTTACAGTAACAAGCTGCTGACATACCTACCTTGATGGTAGTGTATTGACTGATCCTGACTGGTCGAGTACTTTAGTTGTCATGTACCTATACTTACAGTAACAAGCTGCTGACATACCTACCTTGATGGTAGTGTATTGACTGATCCTGACTGGTCGAGTACTTTAGTTGTCATGTACCTATACTTACAGTAACAAGCTGCTGACATACCTACCTTGATGGTAGTGTATTGACTGATCCTGACTGGTCGAGTACTTTAGTTGTCATGTACCTATACTTACAGTAACAAGCTGCTGACATACCTACCTTGATGGTAGTGTATTGACTGATCCTGACTGGTCGAGTACTTTAGTTGTCATGTACCTATACTTACAGTAACAAGCTGCTGACATACCTACCTTGATGGTAGTGTATTGACTGATCCTGACTGGTCGAGTACTTTAGTTGTCATGTACCTATACTTACAGTAACAAGCTGCTGACATACCTACCTTGATGGTAGTGTATTGACTGATCCTGACTGGTCGAGTACTTTAGTTGTCATGTACCTATACTTACAGTAACAAGCTGCTGACATACCTACCTTGATGGTAGTGTATTGACTGATCCTGACTGGTCGAGTACTTTAGTTGTCATGTACCTATACTTACAGTAACAAGCTGCTGACATACCTACCTTGATGGTAGTGTATTGACTGATCCTGACTGGTCGAGTACTTTAGTTGTCATGTACCTATACTTACAGTAACAAGCTGCTGACATACCTACCTTGATGGTAGTGTATTGACTGATCCTGACTGGTCGAGTACTTTAGTTGTCATGTACCTATACTTACAGTAACAAGCTGCTGACATACCTACCTTGATGGTAGTGTATTGACTGATCCTGACTGGTCGAGTACTTTAGTTGTCATGTACCTATACTTACAGTAACAAGCTGCTGACATACCTACCTTGATGGTAGTGTATTGACTGATCCTGACTGGTCGAGTACTTTAGTTGTCATGTACCTATACTTACAGTAACAAGCTGCTGACATACCTACCTTGATGGTAGTGTATTGACTGATCCTGACTGGTCGAGTACTTTAGTTGTCATGTACCTATACTTACAGTAACAAGCTGCTGACATACCTACCTTGATGGTAGTGTATTGACTGATCCTGACTGGTCGAGTACTTTAGTTGTCATGTACCTATACTTACAGTAACAAGCTGCTGACATACCTACCTTGATGGTAGTGTATTGACTGATCCTGACTGGTCGAGTACTTTAGTTGTCATGTACCTATACTTACAGTAACAAGCTGCTGACATACCTACCTTGATGGTAGTGTATTGACTGATCCTGACTGGTCGAGTACTTTAGTTGTCATGTACCTATACTTACAGTAACAAGCTGCTGACATACCTACCTTGATGGTAGTGTATTGACTGATCCTGACTGGTCGAGTACTTTAGTTGTCATGTACCTATACTTACAGTAACAAGCTGCTGACATACCTACCTTGATGGTAGTGTATTGACTGATCCTGACTGGTCGAGTACTTTAGTTGTCATGTACCTATACTTACAGTAACAAGCTGCTGACATACCTACCTTGATGGTAGTGTATTGACTGATCCTGACTGGTCGAGTACTTTAGTTGTCATGTACCTATACTTACAGTAACAAGCTGCTGACATACCTACCTTGATGGTAGTGTATTGACTGATCCTGACTGGTCGAGTACTTTAGTTGTCATGTACCTATACTTACAGTAACAAGCTGCTGACATACCTACCTTGATGGTAGTGTATTGACTGATCCTGACTGGTCGAGTACTTTAGTTGTCATGTACCTATACTTACAGTAACAAGCTGCTGACATACCTACCTTGATGGTAGTGTATTGACTGATCCTGACTGGTCGAGTACTTTAGTTTGTCATGTACCTATACTTACAGATACAAGCTGCTGACATACCTACCTTGATGGTAGTGTATTGACTGATCCTGACTGGTCGAGTACTTTAGTTTGTCGTGTACCTATACTTACAGTAACAAGCTGCTGACATACCTACCTTGATGGTAGTGTATTGACTGATCCTGACTGGTCTAGTACTTTAGTTTGTCATGTACCTATACTTACAGTAACAAGCTGCTGACATACCCACCTTGATGGTAGTGTATTGATCGATCCTTACTGGTCCAGTACTTTAGTTTGTCGTGTAGGATCACACCACCAATCACTGGCTTTGACTTCTCTCCCCAGCCAGTCCTTCCACTGTTGTCTGTAACAATACACACAGAGGATTTATAAAATCTGTCATCCTGTCAGAAGTGAAATAGGAGAATCTCAACCCAAGTTGTTAAGTGTTGCCAAGTGTGGATATACCTGTCCATCACAAGAGACAAGATATCTAACATGGAGAAAAGTGTGGAAAAGTGTGGATATATCTGTCCAGAGTATAGAAACAAAATATCTCACACAGAGAAAAGTGTAGATACACCTGTCCAGGGTAAGAGATAAGGTATCTTGCACAGGGAAAAGAGTTGATATACCTGTCCAGGGTAAGAGACAAGATATCTCGCACAGGGAAAAGAGTGGCTATACCTGTCCAGGGTAGGAGATAACGTTTTCTCTTACCCTGGACTGGTGTATCTGCACTTTTACCGGTGTGAGATTTCCTTGTCTCACCCTAGGGTTGAGACAGGGGAATTCCCCTATTCATAACACAATGACACGACGTCACAATGTGAGAACAGGGTAAGAGAAAAATAATCATTCACCCCCTTGTGGATGAGATAGGGGAATCTCAACCCTCGAGGAAAGATTCTTAAGTTGCAACAACACTCGGCACAGCCTCGTGTTTGGCAACTTAAGAATCTTCCCCCTCGGGTTGAGATTCTCCTATCTCACTCTCAAGGGGGTAAAAAATTCTATTAATCTCACACTGGGAAAAGTGTGGATATACCTGTCCAGGGTAAGAGACAAGATATCTCGCACAGGGAAAAGTATGGATACACCAGTCCAGGGTAAGAGACAAAATATCTCACACAGGGAAAAGTGTGGATATACCTGTCCAGGGTAAGAGACAAGATATCTCACACTGGGAAAAGTGTAGATACAACTGTCCAGGGTAAAAGACAAGATATCTCACACAGGGAAAAGTGTGGATATACCCGTCCAGGGTAAGATCTCTGATGCGACATCATGGAGTGCCAAAGTTGAATGTTTCAGAATAAAGCTGCCATTGTTTACATTACTGTCAAAGAAATTTGAATGTGGCATCCCTTTGCTGTATAATTAGACATAATGGATCCAGAATATGTTCCATGTATTTAGATGTTGAAGGAACCAAGCAATGGTTGTTGTCGGACTGTTATCTCGCTGAAGCGTGAACAACGCCATTTTGAAACAAGTACCTATACGCTAATTTATACACAGTCACAGTTTACTAAGCTGAAGAAAGGAGAGATGTAAATAAACAGCTGTATGTGACATCCTACTAACATCAGACATTACACCGACATCAAAGTGGTTGTGATATAACAATGACATCAAAGTGGTTGTGACATCAAATTGACATGAAAGTAGAGGTTCTGAATTCAAATTGACAACAATCAGGCTGTGACATAACAGTAATATGATCAATACAGTTTTGATTATGCTAACATTTGATGAGGTTCTGTCATCAAAGTGACATCAAACAGAAATTGTGACATTACACTGACATCAAGAAAATTGTGACATCAACAAGAGGTTTCGACGTTACAATGACATAACATCAAATGGACATCGAAAAGAGGTTGTGACATCATAATGACATCAAAAAGTGGTTGTGATATAACAATGACTTACCAGTGGCAGATATTGTGAGGATACTGGATGGGTGATGTTTTTCAGGTGCAGTAAACCCTGTTAGCCAGCCTCCGTATCCATCTTTGATGTCATTGGGATCATAGTACCAGTGGACAGGCATAGCCAAGGCATCTGCGATAAACATTCCCCAAAGAGCTTCCTTCCTGGCCTCTCGCAGTTTACTGGACATGCTGTAAGTATCATTAACCAATGAACAGAAAATGTAAAATTAATACTATTTTGCTAATTTTGTTTACAAATTCTGAAAAACAAGCCATTCAGATTGATATGTTTCGCATAGGCCTCACTTTGACCATCAATGCACATGTCAAGTTTGGTTGGTTCAGCACTTATAGTTTCAGAGAAACTAACTAAAATGCAAAAACTTAATTTAGAACGGAGATGCTGACAAAGTCAATGGACCATAAAAGGTAGGCTGCATCCAGCATTTGATGCATGGGTTGAAATTTAATACCTAAGATAAATCTATCGTTTGGTTGGTCTAGTACTTACACTTCCAGTGAAACTAATTATAACTTAAACGCAAAAAAATTATGTTGACGCCACCATCACTGGAAAAGCAACACCTTAGTCTTGCTTCCGCTACTTGGTGGCGATGAGACAACAGTATTGTATCAAGGCATTCTTTACAAACATTTAGCATTTTTTAAGACATGTACATCCTTATTGCAATATTGAAGAAAGCAATGTTTCTTTCTACAACTACTTAGAAAAAGCTCAGCTAGTTTATAAAAAACAATAATTCAGCTTCCACATCCAATAGATAACTTGAAATTGATTGACCTTTTGTGTACCATTATAGAGAGACAATATTACATACATTGAATAGTGAGCTTGTGAGAGCTCTCGTGGTGTGTCCTTATGTAGAAAGCCTTGGCGGGACTGGCCTGTGGGTTTGATGGGCGTGTCGGAGAGAGGGATTCTACCTAACAGCAGGAGTGTGATGAAGGAAGATGTCGTCACTACAGATGCCTTGGTGAAGGGTCGGATAGTCTTCAGAATTGCTGACATAAACTGTTACAACAAAAGTCTAGTTTTAAATTTGAAAATATTCATATGGATAATAAACAAATGAAAATTAAGGGTAGTAAAACTAAATCCTAGTAAGAAAAGACCAAAATTTGAAATGCATTTAATCTATATGTTGATAGTTGAAGTGATTTCTAACTAAATGCTAACGTCACACTACCACAATTGGTACAATTTTGACAATTTTTCAGTGATATTCAAAAATTCAGATCTTGTATCTGGAATGTTTATTTATTCTTGACAAAAAATACCTATGGTGGTTCATTTTCAGAAAAAGTTTTAATTCTACCTTATTTGTTTTTGAAAATAGAACGCTAAACTCGCAGTGAGATTTCGTCTGTTTTTCGGCAGTGATTAGTACCCCAATTGGTACACTATATCACAGGCTGTGAAACTTGTTTTTATTTCTACTAGTTGATATGCCGATTGCAACAAAAAATATCGCTTTTACAAATACCATACTGAACTACAATTGTATATATACACTTTTATATTATCCAGTTATTAGGACTAGAAATCAACATTAAAACATGCTTATATTTAACCCCTTCAAAATTTTGTCAACGTATGTCTTTTTTACTGTTTTTTTTTATATGTTTACTTTGAAGACATTGTGTACTCTTAAAATGTTCCTGAAAACAAAACTATTCGCTGGAAATGCTGATAAATATCTCTTTTGTTACACTGTTAAAGGAAAATGCTCAAATTTGATTTTAAAGTATTATTCGAACCATTTTCTGACTGTGTACCAATTTGGGTAGTGTACCAATTATGGTAGCATGACCTTAGGGAGCAACATACAAAATGTATTGTGTTGCCTATTTAATACAAAATAAATAATGATCACTACAAATAACTATATAATGAAACAAGCTGTAGAAGATTTGCATGGTACTTATGATATTGTTACAGGAAAGAGAATAGTGTGCTTCCACCAGGGATCGAACCCTCGATCCCCAGGCTCCTAGTTGAACGCTCTACCACTGAGCTAAAGGAAAATTCCTTCTAGCTTCTTACATTACATTCCAATTAAAAATTATTCAACAAAATTAATGAACAAAGTTTGTTTGTGAATAACTGCCACTTTCTCATAAACGTTTTTAAGAGAAGGCAATATACTATCTCCTTCCAATGAAAAAAATAGAGAACAGAGAGCCCATTATTTCATATTATTAAATGTGAAGCGTTATTATAAATATGCATTGCTTCCATTTTGATGATATTTATTCTTTCGGAAATATTAATAGTGATATACTTACTTTAGTTTATTCTAGTCCTTTTCAATTTGAATCTTTGTTGCAGCTCACCAACAATCACATTGCCTCTCACATGACTACAAATAAAGTTAAAAAACATGTAAACATAAATATGATTTATATATAAATACCTTCTTTACATTACAAAATTAATAATAAAATATACTGTTAGTGTTAAACGAAACAAAATCATCATGTACCGTCGCTTGAAGGGATCTATAACCTGTGTAGAAATATCAGACTTAACCAAATCTACCAAGTTCCGACCGTTCGGTTTTTATATAACGTTTTGAACTTAGGCAAGATGTCTCGGTACCTCGTTTTTACAAAACCAAGTTATTGTACTTGCAAGTTGTGTACATTTTTTAATTCAGGAAAATACTATTATCAAAACATCACCTATAAATAAAAGAAGTAGTTTAAGCGTTCTTCAATTTTGTCAGGACAACATCAGACAGCATTTTTATACAACAGATAAATAAATCATTAAATGGACCACGGACTTAGATAACCAAATTCCGTGAATGGACTAAAGCCGAAAGTGAATTAAAAACTATCCAAACACATTGACTGATTGAAGAGGTACTGTATCATTATACCATCCCAAATTCCAATCATGAAAACTGCCCATACTCACAGTTGCTCCAATGGCTCCTTACAAAAACGATGTTATGAAAGAGAATCAGATAATCATTATCAATACACATACTCACCTCCGTCCCACTAACTTGGGGGTTGGCACAGAAAGTCATGGTTATATAAGTTGAGCTTTTGTTGTGAAACTCTTCTCTGTTGGAGGCGTGGGAGACACTAACTGTGTGCCGGAAACGGTGCCCATTTCCCGGAAATCGGATCACAGATATTTAACAGATTTGTGCCTCGAATGCAACATTTTAGTGTAAACTGAGGGATACTGAACCTTTTATGTAATAAAATGGGTCATTTCGACTCCCCCTGCTTTGATGTTTGAAACATTGCAAGATTTACATGGAAGCTAGGTATATTCGAACTTGAACTACATAGTACGATGACATTTTGATATCGTGTTTCATACTCGAAAAAAAATTGGTTTCAATTTATATTAAAAAAATATGGTGTATATTTGAAATGTATAGAAAGCACATAACCAATATTGCAAAATCTTTCATTTCAATCAATTAAATATTTGTCGTTTCGAAAACGTCCATTTGTTTTTTATTTTAAAAGTCTCACTATCAGCTTGAAAATTCACAGATAAACTCAGCAACAATATTTTGAAATTTTAGAATTAAAAAGTTTTTTTTTTTTTTTTTATCTAAATCGTAATTTGTATTTTTTTATTCTAAAAGTTCAAAAGAAATAAATACTATGCACAAGACATTAGATATACGAAGCATGTAAAGAAATAAGAATACTTATCTTCCATCAGGGAATCGTGGATTTTTTTGCTGTATCAATATTGATCTTTGTTGTTGTAAAATGCTGTATTTTAAGTTCAAAATCATGTTATTCAAAACATTTTCTTTAGGTTGGTAATTATGGATTATGAAAAGATGCATGTAACACAACCGGAAAGTGTTTATACATTTTATGTGACGTTTCGGTGACTAGTACGGCATGTATAAACTGTCATCTTCATCAGACAAATGACAAGTGAAGCGTTTTACACAAAGGTGTCAAACATGTAAATACTCCGCAATGGGCCAGTTCTGAATCGAGACGAGGGGGCTCATAGACTCTCGCACATCTATGACAAAGTGGTAAACAAAGCGTAGCTGAATCGAGTCATTTCGGTACATATATAACAAATAATTGGACATACGCTTACAGCGTATAGTCGAATCGACATCGATTTGTAGACAACTCGTACATATTTTACACCTTTGTGTACATACGCTTCACCTGTCATTTGCCTGATGAAGGTGACAGAGTACATACCTTACAGGTCATCGAAACGTCACATTTAAACACTTTTTGGTTGTGTTACATGAATCTTTTCATTGTTCATGTTCTTCAAATTCGGAAGTGTTTGATGTACAACGGAGTTCACTATAATTTGTTTCATATAGGTTATACATGCTTAATTTTGTAATTGCTTTTTCCAGTGGTTTCAGGTTTATTACATGTAACTTTATCATGACCAGAAAACACCATTTTAAGAGGTATGCTGCAGATACGTGTAATATTGAATTAATTTAACGAGTTGTTTCATTTCATATGAAATTTAATAAACGAGTTCAATTAGTTCAATATTACATGAACACGAGTGTTAGATTCTATTAATATTCAATTCGAGAAACACCACTACATAACTGTTATCAATGCGTCTCCTCTATAAAGCGACGACTGACGAAAGGACGCATTACATGCACTCGCTGCGCCACAAAATATAATTCCAGAAACTAGTCCATGGGAACCTTTTAAATGATCAATAATTTAAGTTTCTTTTAATCAATCTGTGTTTTATTAATTATTATAACAACATTAATAATGATGTTTTACACTAAAACCATAGCAGTGACGTCACATATTCTGATACGGCGCGTGCACTCTCAAGGTAAAGGTCATCACAACACACATCGAATTTGGCCCTTTATCTCCGGTAAATAAAATTACCCTTTTGTTTACAAACGTAGAAGTTGTAGTGCATAGGAATATCACCTGATCCCCATGGTGACAAGACTCATTTGCATGTTTATTGAACGTATTCTAGGCCTATATCGTTTTTATTATACGGTAATATTGCACAGAAATAGCTAGCATGTATTATCTGATAAATCACGACATATTTAGAAATATAACAAATTGTATTGTTTTTTTCATTTCATACCACATCAACTAGTCAAGCGGGAACCATCGTCACTTTACGTAAACGAGAAAAATACGTGCTCGCTTACGGAAAGTGCCGACGGTTCCAAATTGTACATATGTATAATAGCAACGTACTTTAGTAATCTTTTACTTAACGATATTTACCGGGACTCTAAACCTCCAATGCATTTCATCAGTTGCAGTTTCCGTCGACCTTCCCCTGATAATATTTCCCAGTATTATTTTGCACTGTATGTGAAAGTATATAATTAGACAGTCGCGATATCTGCTGACTTGGTGAAGATAAAAATTAGTTAGGGTCAAGAACACTGCCCTGTTATAACATTCTCGGGAGATAAAATGCATTCAATCCTCTTTTGCCAATAAAATGTCCTTGTACCATATTCAATATTCAAATCCAACCTGGTTAAATCCAATGGCCGATGAATTGGCTGTTCCGGGAGGTACACTATTTAGAACAGCCTATAGTTTGACGGATACTCCCGCCACAATTGTGTTGTTGGTTCCACATTGTTGGTAACAAAATAAGTCGGAAACACATCGCTGTTTCTATTATTTATTAAAATACATATTATGGTATTTTCAGACAATTTTAATACACACATTTTATTTTTCATTATTGTGGTAGTTTGGTTTACCAATGTGGTCAAAACTACAATTTAATCATACTTTTATCTTCTTAAGTGCCTGATAAATCGCCATGAGGAACTATGGTTATAGTGTACTCTACACCATCAGCGATGTAACGACACTTTTGATTGGTTAAACATTCTAAATCACTGAGCTATAAACACGCACGTGCAGACTCTATTTCCCGCAATAGACATGAACGTGCAAATCTCTGCCAAAAGCTACAGTGTATACGTATTGCATGTATAAACCAGTGAGCCATATGCATGTGTTGCTGGTCTTGGATGTGTTTGATATGCCGAATGACGGTACACGTGTGCACGTGCATATCGTTTTGTTTCCACATGCTTCCACGTTACACTTTGAGGATAGGTCCGTTCCACAAGCTTCCACGTTACACTGTGAGGATAGTTCCGTTCCACATGCTTCCACGTTACACTTTGAGGATAGGGCCGTTCCACAAGCTTCCACGTTACACTTTGAGGATAGGTCCGTTCCACATGCTTCCACGTTACACTTTGAGGATAGGTCCGCTGGCTGCACCGTCCCCGAAAAACTACCAGTTGCACATTGTACGTGGTTTGATGGCGAATTGAAACAAAACATCACGCGCAATATATTATCAAGTTTATTATTTCGGAAATGTCCTCAGATTAACACTACACGCGCTATTGCGTAAACAGCAATGTAGACAGAACGTGCACAGCAACATCTGTCAATAGAGTATGTGTTACGGATACACGATCTGGTACTTCGGATATTGAAATAACCTCAACAATTCACTTTATTTTGTACGCGAAGTAATCAAACGACAAACAATCAAGGTGTGACGGAGGTTCATCATTTTAGACCCGAGGGCTAATGATTTAACATCATATCTTTGGACACAGTGGTTGATTGTTACATTACCTCTATGGACAAGAGGATCACAGTTCTTATGTCATCTCTTTGGACACGAAAGTCATCCCAACTTTACGTCATCTTTGGACATAAGGATCAACAGTCTTAATTAACCTCTTTGTACATGAGGAACCCGAGGTAAAACCAGGGGTCAGTGGTCTTCGTCCTTCCGTTGACCGGCTTAAATGCCTGTATATCAACTCTCTGAGGATGAGCGATACGCTCAACTCTTGAATACATTGCTCCGAGCATGTACTGCTCGACGGTTATCAGGCCTTTCTCTAAAAACCGTAACACAGACAGCTTGTACTGTTTTGTAAATGTTAAAAATACATCGCGTTCCCCAAGAAATATACCCGCGCCGATCCAGTTCATGTGAATTCTGATGATTGTGCTTGGATTTGCTGCAAGCCGATTATTAAAAATTCGAGTAGCGCCAATTTTAGTTCTATCGAATTCTGTAGGGACTTCCAACCAAAATTTCTTCGTGGCGTTTTCGATTTCCCGGAAGTAGCCAATATCAACCCAAGCAAAGAATTTAGAAGAATATGTGTTCCTTTTCGCCGCGTCAGCAATAATGGGGAACTTCGAATGTGTTATACATGTATAATTTGGAACTGTCGTATATGGCTTGACTTTCGGATATTTGGGATTTGCGAAAATCTGTTCTATTTTTGGTTTCATTTGGAACGACCACAATGAGTCACGCGATATGCGGATGACCTTTGTGTTTGACGTCACATTTCGTCTAAGATCAAGAAATATCTTCTCAAACTCTTCACTGTCCGTATAGAAGACTACAGGATTCTGTATCCAGGCGAACACTCGTATCCACTGTTTGTACTTGTCTGGTCCTCGGGTTTCTTTGCCTCCTCTTGGATAGTTACCAATGTCGAAGAAGGCAGTAACTACTGTCAAACTTCGGTTGCTGTTAGTCCAACGGTCAAGGTCATTCACATTTGTCTGATAAAAAAAATATAGATTGAGATTAACAATTTCAAAAATTAAATGTATCCCTGGATAAAAGTATCCAGAATTCCAAAAAATATCCAATGAAGATCCCTGTCCAACTGTATAGGCCAAACACGAAATCATACAGTGACCCCCCTTACTTCGTTTTAGATATACATTTGTGTACATATACCCCTGTTGGTCAGGTAGATCTTTTGGTTCGAGCGACAGTATAATGATCTGAGGTCCAGGGTCTGAGTGTTGGTCAGATTTTTTTTCTCAATACACTTTCAGTGAAGTTCTGCAAATGCATTGTTGCAGTTTTTGTCAGTGGTATGGAGATCCCTATCGGCGCGTATATAGACCGATTTAAGTACACGATGAAATATTTGCTAGGTTGATTAAGATAATATGTTACACTGTAGTTCTTAATACAAGTTATAGTTATGGTGTGTTAGGTGTACATGTAGCACACATCCTTATCTCTAACACTAGTCACATGTTAAATTTGTGACGGAACAGTCGTTCTTGCATCCACAAGTTTCGATTGAAGAAAAATCTACGTTTTGTATAACAAAGCTAAAAGCAGTTTCTATTCATTTTTTTTTATTTCGAATTCATCGATTGTAAACTTTTGTCGCATTTATGCACAAACACTATGTCCAGGATGTGAGCATTATAGGATTTTACTTAAGCATTACGTGGATCTTTTCAATCGTACGTTCACCAATACTTACAACTTCTGTTTCCTTCAAATAGTCGAGTAAGATGTCATCGGTATGATGCGGAGTTGGGTTTATCTATATCAAGAGAAATAAAAACCCAAATTTTAACTGAAAACACTAAACACTTCGTAAACAAACAAAAAACAAAAAAAGATGACACATAATAATTACATAGTATGTTGTTAAAAAACAAGCGCATTTAGAGTGCGAATTAAACCGTTATCATCTAAAAGTATGATAAGCTCGATCTTTATATATAAACTTGATTCATTTACAACAATTATGAAACAAGTTATTTCAACTGATATTAATAACACCCGTTGTCAGTATCATGTGACCGGGCGGAATGCTGTGCTGGGTGCCTACGGCATGATATTTCAGTGAGATAGAACTATAAAGTCGGCATCGAATCCGCGCTATCACAAGGAGGCAAGCACATCAACATACTCTGTCTCCAGCATACACACACTTGCACGCATACACTACACACACTGAGTCACGTCCTTAAATGACCTTAGCTGTTAATAGGACGTTAGCCAAATTAAATCTAAACCTCTTGTAAGCACGGATGAAAGCGCGCGTAGGGTCTTAATGTGGGAGGAAACCGGAGTACCCGGGGAAAACTCATGTGTACGGGCAGATGACCCTATACCTTTTCACGTCCGATCGGGGAATCGAACTCGATATTTGATCACATGTCTAGGATAAGATATAACTTCGTACATGGTGCTGTTTATGTGTCATATCTAAGGTTGCATTTTCATCATGTAGCTCACCTTTGGTGTCGGCGCTGTAGCCTCATTCTGAACAGAATCAGTATTCAGGTTAGCATACGGTAACTGCACAGGTCGTACAAAATGTAACTGAAATAGAGTGAATAATCCTTGCATTTCGTGTATTAGAAAACCATGACGGCAGCGATCATTGATTGATCGGAAACAAAGACATAGTGTATCAGCCTATTCTTTTCATCTAATGTATCTGCTCAATACGACATATTTTTAAACATGGGCAACCCTAAACTATATAAACAATGGAACTAAAGACCATGCATATAGATGTATTTACGTCACTGTATGCATTACAAACGCCTCATTATTTGACCAAACATAACATTGTCTGTTTGTTACTGGTTTATCGGGACGGCGATCTTACATGCGCCTATATTACACAGCATGCTCAAGGCGTAGCGGTGTTACATACATGATATATATGATGAACTGCGGTCTGTATCCCCGGGCATGTCCGAATATATGGCAACCACTGACCACCTCCGGGTCACATTTTACCTGCACTTCCGTATTAGCTTCATATTGTTTATACCTGTATTTATAGTATGTGAACATTATAATCAAGTCGTAGGCCCTAACGGAACTTTGGACGTGTTGTCAATCAAATTTAAGACATTAAAACTGCATAATTATGTGCAGGTACACACTTGAACATAAACAAATATTGAATAGATAAATTACAGGTAGATCAGTGAAATATTTAAATGAATTCGTCCAACAACAAAATAAGTTCCCCCAAAACGACGGAACATTATCTAAGTATCCTTATGGGTGGTTTATACTATCAACATTTACATTGGAACCTAGTGTTAATGAATTAGTATAACCAATCTCGAAGGTTTGTAAGCAATAATATATTGTGCGGATCACAATCGAATTTGAAGAATAAATATTGCAGTATCACTAAGGTTTGACACTTACTTCACTTGGGAGGGTGGCCAGGAACGTAGAAGTCATACGTCTGGAGTAATAATGTCGCTGTATAGCAAACACCATGATACAGATGAGAGGCAGACATATGCACAGGGTCCGATATTTCCCCATTGTAATCCACTGATGCTGGAAACACAGAACCTGATTAAATATACTTTAAAACAGTATGATAGTTATATCTCGCAGCAGTAGTTTAACGTAAAGTTAGCGTTTACTACGCGGTTCATTCGTGTTGCTAACGCTTTCTGCATACAATTTATACAATGCAATAATTGAAAATATACATATATAATTATGCAAAAGAAAAATAGGCTACTTACATATCTGTTTTAGTTCTATTACTGAGCAGGTATCAAAGGTCCGATCTACCCGGCACAACGGTGGCACTATCAGGAATCTCGACAGTTTCCGTAAACCAGAAAATATGTACGGAAAGGACCGACTGTTCCCGATTGAACGGCGACATAACACAGATCACAATCGGGAACCGTCGGCACTTTCCGTAAACGAGAAAATAGGTCACAGTACGAGATTTTGGGACACACAACAAAGATTCTGACTCCAACCGCAGTGATCTTGACGGCTGATACAGGGTAACAAGCTCCTGTAGGTACTGAGGAGCTGTTCCATTCAGTGCCTTGTATGTGTATACCAGAATTTCGTAATGCGACATGTATCGTACAGGTAACCAGTGCAACGAATAAAGCGCAGGTGTGATGTTCTCTCTCTTTCGAGTACGAGTAACAAGCCGTGCTGCAGTGTTCTGGACCCTCTGCAGACGACTAGTTAGTTTGTCAGATATACCACAGAGCAGGGCGTTACCATAATCCAACCGAGAGGTAACAAGTGAATGCACCAAAATCTTGCATGCATCTGCAGTTAGAAACTGCCGAATACAGCCGATGTTCCTGATCTGGTAGTAACAGGATTTGGCAATAGCGTTCACTTGTTTCTCCATGTTCAGAGAACTGTCAAAGTATACCCCTAGGTTTTTAACAGCTGNCAGGGCGTTACCATAATCCAACCGAGAGGTAACAAGTGAATGCACCAAAATCTTGCATGCATCTGCAGTTAGAAACTGCCGAATACAGCCGATGTTCCTGATCTGGTAGTAACAGGATTTGACAATAGCGTTCACTTGTTTCTCCATGTTCAGAGAACTGTCAAAGTTTACCCCTAGGTTTTTAACAGCTGAAACAGTCTCAATAGTTATGGCACCAACCTTGAGCTGGAGAGCCATTGTTTGCTGACACTTTGGGGAAAAGACGATTAGTTCCGTCTTTTCCTGATTAAGTTTAAGCATGTAGAATTTCTTCAAATTTTGTAGTTATATTGCTTTGAAGTAAAGAAAATCTTCTGCCATAAAAAAATATAGGTTGTCAGAATTTTAAGGATTTTAAATGGAAATTTATGTAAAAAGGAGTGAACTTTGAAAAAAAAAATGAAACACAATTTTTTGCAAAATATTGTCAATACAAATGATACTGACATAGATTAGTATTGCATTAATGTAAATCGATTCCATAAATGCTGAAATTGTGTAAAATTAATTATATATAAACGATTAAAAATTTACATTTTATAATAAAACCATATACGCATAGTAATTGCATGTAAGAGTCATCGTTCTTGAAAAACTTCACAGTAGTGAAATAGGTAAAAACAACTACTTTCGTGTTTACTACATCAAGTGAAAGTTTCCATTTATTTTTCATACAGAAACCAAGCGCATGGCATGGATGGCATATGCAGTGTACTTGATGGCTCTGCTAGTTTAACTAATTCACCAGCCTACTTAAGCACAAACAGTGTTGTTATACCTATTTCGTCAGATTTTCATTTACAAAATTCAGTTCACAATCGTTGACAGAAAGTAAACATAAAACCGGCAAACGAATTTCACCTTGACAACGACTAATATGATTAACGTAAAAAATAAGACATAAGTCATGCATTATATTTGTAACACTATTTTACATAATAATACAAATATTTCATAATCTTTTAAAATTTATCATGAAATCTTTGTTTTATAAGCTTACACCATAGAGTACTTCTATCAATACGCTCATAGTTTTGTTGTTGTAGTAAACAAGACAACGATACAATATCTTCTTATCCTTTAATGTTCTATTATTCAGAGACTGGAACACAATATCGCATCAACACTTAAAGATCCCCGTACCACTGACAAACCATGTAACCTAAGTGAAGTTTGAAACTGTTCTTACCGGCATGACTGTAGCTTTATTTGAATCATATCTGAATAGAAAACCATACCTTGCAGGACAATCAAAATGAAATAAATTAAATGAGCTACCTGGTAGACAGAGGTGTCCTGGCTAAACTGTACGACACTCATATCAAAAGGGGAAATAAGGGGAGATTACTGTATGTAGAAAAAGCAAAGTGCAGTGGGATAGGGATTGTTAATTACAGTACCACACTCCCTGAAACCAAACAGTGAATCAGTTTAAATGAAATTTGTTTTAACCCATTGTGGAACCAGAGTTAGTTGACATTCTCAGACAGGGACTGAGGTGGACCGTTTTTTTGCAGGAACTGTAGCTGGTTTGCTCGGTCTACCAGTGTGCTGGTTGGTGCAGTTGTTGGCTTTACTGGCCTCCCTGCTGTGAGGTACACCTGCTTGTAAACCATGTCTCTGATCAGCTACATCTGAGGATTGGATACAACTATCTTTCCTTTATATCAGCGGCATACTGTTCACGGATGCCGAACACGGTCCTTTTGGGATGAAATGACTTGCTTTTGACTAAATCGAGTTACTGGTCGTACATGTGCCGACCATACCCATGTGAACTGACATAGTCAAAATTTGGCGTCCGATATAAAACAGACCTTTGTTTGCATGACCTTCGAATAAGTCGTCACAATGTAGTTTCATGTTTTCGTGAATTTTCAAATTTCAAAATGACACTCGGTAAAAATCATGTCTTTACACTTCGAAAATTAAATTACTCGAAATAGAGAAACACAATTGTATTATAAACAACCGCCACTTGTGGAATCTCTGCTTATAACATACCTGCTTATATATCAATGTCCAGGGAACCAATACGGTGATTGTAATATCTCACTGCGTTAATTTCTTAAACAATAACAAAGCTGGAAAATTTGATAAGCACTATTCCGACGTTTCTAAAGCTTTTCATTTTCATGACCTTTCACATTTCGGAGGATCTTGGTTTGTCTTTGATCGTTTGCGAGCGTTTATGAAATCTTTAGATCGGCATTTTACACTGTATACTTTCTGCTTTGAGCTATACAATTGGCATTGTACATTTTGTAAGTGAACTTTGAGTGACGAGTTTGGCATTGTGTGTTGAATCTGAGCTATGAGTTTGACCTTTATGGGCTTATTTGAGTTGTAAGTTTGGCATTGCGTTTTGACTGAGATCTAAAGTTGGTCTTTTTGAGTTAATTTGAGTTGTGAGTTCGATCAAGTGTGTTGTTTTTTTAACTAAGAACTTGGCCTTTTGAGTCCTCGTACATCTCAAGGCGTACAATAAACCAGATCAAGACAAGAAGACAGAGAAGAGTTTTTATTTACATTATTTTACGAAAACATACATTTTAAAAGCGATGCTGTTTAAGTATCATGTCTAGTGAACGATTGACATAATATTCTTTTTAGCTATCAATGTAATATATACACAGCATATAATTGCAGATATTTGGGACAATACTTGAAGAGTAACTCATTCGATTGGTCCGTCATACCAACGATAAGGTCTAGAGCGCACTTGAGGCGGATATATACCATGTTATCTACTAATGTCAATGAAATAAACCAGTTTCACCACACCATATCTAACACACTCTGCAGGACTTGTGGCAGAATCGCAGCATATACCCCGGGTTGGAATCACATTGATTTGATTTCGCCCACATTGGACACAGAATGTGTTCATCAATGCATACTGAAAAAGAAACCATTATAAGTTGTAAATGTTAAGAAAGATATGGAATTCAAACTGAATCGTTTTACAAAGGAACTCTGGTGTTAAGTATGGTGGTGTGTACTATTACGTATATATCAGTTTAGTAAGTATGCTTCCAACAGCGACAGCTTTGACAACAGGACAGATACCAGGTACAAGATACACTCGTAATACTAGGAGTGTTACAATACGCCAAGAGTGTATCACGATACATTGCAATACAGAATGAATATATTGCGATTCGTATCCCGATATATATTGGCATAGGAAGGATGTGCTTAATTTTTATAATAAGCTGTTTTCAGAGTGTTATCAAACTTAATCATATATAAGATGGATTACATAGGTTTAAGATTTTTGTCAAACCAACCATCGATTAAAAAAATTGAACTATTGCTTTATGCTTATTGGCAAATCTGTTAGAATTTGTTGTAATTTTCAAAGTTAAAACACCAAGCGGATACATAGAGGTATGCTTTTGAAAAATATTGCTATACAGTTTTGTATCTTCGCTGATGCCAATATCATCTTTATCAACTCAGTTGTTCGTAATCCAATAAAATCATGCAAAGATCGACAGAATATATAAGTAAGTTAATTGTAGGGAGAATTAACGATCTTTATATAAGGAAATGAAACTCGCTTTCTAGCAATTGCTGATAATTTCAATATCGATTCTTGTATTACCCCTCCCCTCTATGTAACGTTAGTTGACGCTACCATGCATTGATCTGGATGAGTCCGTTATGGTCTACATTGGTGAAAGGGTTAAACCAAATTTCATGAGTTGTAACAAGGATTATGTGTATCTTACCACTGTTACAGTTTTTACAAGCCTTGCGGCAGGCTCTCAGGCTATAGCCGGCATTGTTCCTACAGTATCCCACCTTAGCCCAGGCCTCACAACTCGTATGGTCGTCTACACAGGCTGTTAAAAACACACAAAAAGCAATAGACGTTACAAACTTCACAACGACAAAGATGTTTTGCAACTGTAGAACATTTTCAGCAATTTCATTTTTCATATATACAAAAGAAAATATATTTATACTTTCATCTTCTTCATTTTCCATAAAAGTTCGGTAAGGTAAGGATTTATGTTTGGAAGTGATTTATCAACATACTGGTGAAAAAATATTCTAATTCATATTTACAGCTTTTGCCAGTAGTACACTTTTTTATACTAAAATAATTATTTTTTGCAATATCAGTAACTATTCAGCTTCATTTTTCCTTTCACAAAATCTAAAACAAACTTTAATATTGAATAAAATAATAATGATTTTACTATACAACATTTTATATAGTGCCCTATCTAGCTATAATAAGCCACTCTAAAGTGCTTTACAGTACATGGGTATACGATTAATACAATTAGCATATGCATTAATCAATACAATTTTCGAGGAATTCGCAGGAGTTGCCTCATCAGGCGCTAACTACTAGTCCTGGTCAATATCTCCCTATGTGTGTTTACCTGCTTGTGAGCTGGATATGTAATGTGTTAAATAAAACAAGCTCGGATTTTGCTTCAAATAGCCACCAGATAGCTTCTACAAAAATGTTTCTGACAATGGGGAGTAGGGGATTGGATTCCCTATGATGATAGATGATAGCAGTTGCATGCATAACAGTCAAGTTGCGCGCCTACAGCATACTAGTTGTGTTGGTTAAATGCGTTTTAATAACCTACAATAATGTTTTTTCTTGTCCCAATGGTGAAAATAATCGATAAAGATAAAATCAAGACGGGTAATTTGAATCAACATTTCATTAATGAAACATATGTAACAATTACGATAAAACACGTATCATGTACGAAAACTTAAATCGGCCTAAATCTTGGTGTAAATCTCAAAATGTTTGTTGTTACACAAAGTTCCCTTTAATAAGTTGAAGCTATCACCCTTAGCACATACTTTTATATTAGCGCAAGTAGAGTCAAACGCCCTCGCAACTGCAAGGTTTATAAATATTGTATGTAGACCGATGCCTAGGAAGACAGCACCGCCGAATTGAAATAATGCAAAGAAAAGCAAGTGTAGGTAGAAAAGAGAGGCAAGTAAAATGTCCTACGCGTTGCAATGGGATCAGCAGATCAATGTTGTTCTATTCAGTGTCCTCTTAGTGGAAGAAACTTAAGAAAATCCCTGTTCTGCAGAGGCCCCACATAAGTCGCCTCTTACGAGGCACATGCGGTAGTATACACGTATATGTGTATTTATGAGATGCGACACATACAGGTATCATTCAGAGTGCACTTGTACCAAAGTAATATACTGACTTCAACGGTAGGCAGATGGTTTAAACCGTAGTCTACTGACCTAGTGGCGGACGTGTGGTGACCTCAGTTTCGGTGTCCTCCCTCTGACCAGTGTCTATTTCCTCCTCCTTTTCCTCCTCTTCCTCTTCTTTAGTGTTCATGTCGTCATCTTTTGAGTCTGTGTCTATCTCATCGTCCTGATGTCCTCGACCATCGTCGTTTGCTATGTCCTCGTCGTGGTCATCGCGTCCATCTCTCGAACCGTCGTCCTCGCGAGTACTTGCACACACTCCGCACGAGCGTTTACAGTTGGTTTTCATGTAGCCCGGATTGATATCACAATGTCCGCTCTTAGACCACGTGTCACAGTCTTTGTCATTGTGATAGTTCCTGCAGCCTTCTACAACACGTATACACAGCATAACTGTCTACAGGACGGTATACACAAACCATTAGTATGAACAGCAATGATATGTTTACTTACGAAGGAATATTCTATAATACAGAAGTTGCATTTTTATTGCATTTGCTATAACCAAAGCCATTATACACAGCATTTATTTAAGGAATGATTTTTATTTTTTCAACATTTATGAGGTCATAACAACAATGGGTTTATGGACATATTGAATGAATCGCGTTAGCGATTCATGTAAAATATGTCCAAAAACCCATTGTTGTTATGACCTCATAAATGTTGAAAAAATAAATATCATTCCTTATATTTACATTGACGAATCCTTTCAGTGGATCGATATAACAACGAATAAAACAAATAAACAGGGTTTGTTCCTGCTTATACACGGGTGCAACGCAGTGGCGAGAACAGTGTTTTTTCGCGGGGAAATGTGACACTATCGTGAGAGATCTTAGCAACCGTCAACAACAATAACACAACAAAATGTAGTTCCATATTCAATGTTTATTTGTAGCACAGGACACGTGAATACGTGGATATTTCACAAAGCACAGTTCAATAATATTTTAAGATGTAAGAATTAAGCATCTAGGTCGGTCGTTCCGAGTGAGTAGTTTTTGTAGTGTATTACTACGCAGTGTGATCAGGTTACTATCAGTTCCCACGTGCTGAGATTCTATGAACACCTGTGTTATGCATTTATGAATGTAATTTTTGTCAATGGGTCTAAGCATACAGAATGTAAATATATATATATATATGCTTGTTTATTTATGACGTCACTTAAATTGTTGACTATACAAATATTGATGACGTCATGTAACCAACGGTGATAAATAAACATCATTCCGCCTGAAGAAGCCCTCGAAGGCAGAAAGACCTAGCGGACGATCTGAAAAATTTGTTTAATTCCATATTTTCCTTCGCAAGGACTTATTTATTTATTATCTACTATATATATATATATACTTGAAAGATCCACGTCAACAATGCATTGCGTAAAATGCTCTGCAGATATTCACGAAGGAATATTCTATAAAAAAGAAGTTGCATTTTTATTGTATTTGATATAACTAAAGCCCATATAGTGTTAAAAGTTCTCACTTCATTTATATATTAGTACATCTACATCTATTAACCCTTCGAACACTGTAGACCATAATGGACTCATTCAGATCAATTTATGGTCGATGTTATTAAAGTTACATAGGGATGAAAGGGTTTATAAACCTGCCTGAAGTATCTTCATCATCGGTGTCCTGGATGTCTTCATCGTTCCCTCCATCGTTGTTGTCCTCTTCAATCTCCTCATCCGTGGTACTATCATCGCAATCACCACAAGCCTTTTTACAATTTTTTGGCATCCAGCGATGGTTTTTCATACACTCGCCATCCTGGGCCCACAATGTGCACTTCTTATCGTCATAGAGATTCTTGCATGATCCTTCATAGGATGATAACATTGTTATTTAATACACTTTTTCGATTAAATGAGTTTTATTATTTGCTTGAATTTGAATATAATTGTTTTACTGACTTGTATCAAACGTTGATCACCACATATTTATCATGTTTTATGTATACCTTAAACGATCCTGTGTAATATCATTATAACTTATTAATATCATTGAAATAACGGAAACCTACCATCATTACAGCGATTACATGACTTCCGACAGTTAGGCACCATCCAGTCCGGGTTACGTGTACACTCCCCACTACTTGCCCACTTGAGACATTCACGGGTGTTGTGTTTGTCTCGACATCCTTGAGCTAGAATCAGCGACAAACACAATCAGGCAACATACAGTATATTTATTCAACATAAAATAAATTCAGACAATGGTGAGCACTTTCAGATATTGGCAAACAAAGACACATTGAACTCTCTCGAAGAGTTAATTGAAGCTGATTACACGCCTCCTCCCCCCCCCCCCCCCCCCCCCCCCCCAACTGAATGGGTCTATATGCAAACATATAATGTTAAACGTTTGTATATAGAAGTTGACGCTAGTTGACTTGTTTTTGCCTTACAACTTTGACTATTGTTTTGGAAGCGCCTTGCTTTAAACAACATTTTTAATTCGGATACAAACTCCGTATAATCACCCTTATTTTGCCACTTTTGCAAGTATAAGAATCCATGATATTTATCTTTGTCAATTTTCGACGTATTTCCCCTCCAATCTCTTCACTGCCGAATCAGAGCGAGACGTGGGAGTTCAAAAAAGTTTAGGGAATGAGGCCCTACACTCTGCGTGTACAATGAAACGTTCATTTATACGTTAAAAGAGCAAAGTTAAGCAACTCCACAGGAAACATTGAACAGGGATATTATGGTCTCCATATACTAGAATAAACGTCTTATAAAAGGTAGGATAAAAGCGATAAACTTGATAAAGCAGGGGGTTTTCGTATGCGAACATCCTCGCATTTGTTTCAATATTTTTTTTGTCTTGACCCAATCCCGTATTTGATATTCTATTAGGTCTTCCTAAAAGCTAACTGAATTCCTCGTTTTACTAAAACAATTAAATATGATGACGGATCTTAGCATCTTCCTAAGGTATGGGTATTTAGGTATACGTTTTTATAACCTTTTATATTATTGACATTACTTACGGTCATCGTTTTGGCTGTCGTCGGTTTCATCTCTAAGGGGCGTGTCCGTGTCTGGATGCATATCCTGTTCACAAAGTCGACACGCCCCTCTACAATTATTGTACATCCACTCCCTGTTGACCATACACTCCCCTTTGCGTGCCCAGATCTCGCACTGGGAAGAGTTTGTGTGTACGTTTCCACAATTCTCTGTAAAATAGACGCGTAGGAATCAAATCATTGTTTATAAATAAACAAATAAAAATAAAAAATAAATGTCTGAAACGTTTTGAAGTTTATTCACAGCTTGTGTTTTACATTAATGCTAAAATAACCAAGAGAGAGCTAAATTATTCAATTCATATGTATCTTTAAAATATGGGTATACCCTTTTCGATCAATCGAAATGCGTGTTATATCATATAAAATTGTAGCAGATCAATAGTTCAGTATAATTTTAATTGAAAATTTGATTCGTATGTTTTCCATTGATGTTAACACCTGTGTAATGTAGACATTTAACCTGGCGCAATGCTGAAAGCTTGGTTGCTGCGTACATACAAAGTGTAGTTAAGTAAAACTATTCACGTCTGCTGTAAATTACGCACAGGAAAAGAATACACTTGCACTTGACATATGCATTATAATAAGTTTATTGTTAGGTCAAACAAAAACAATAAAACACTGCGTCCAGACATAAAGGCAAAACAATATTATTGTCATTGTCGTCAATAAGATTCACGAGTTAGGAAATATGTCATGTCAAAGCTTTACTTTCTCAACAAACTATGTACGTGTTAAACGTGTCCCAACGTTTCAAGACCGACTGGTCCGTTTGTCAAATTATGACTGAGTGAGCGATTTGTATAATGTGACAAAATTAAAATGCATATTTTTATTGCGATATTATTGTTATTAGTTTTCCATCAGCACTTTTTTGCTTAAAATGCTGTTATCCTCAAAATGGACTTTTTCACAGTTTAATAACGATTTATTCGTGACGGACTATTTATTTACTTGTGTGTGGATAACATGTCCAGTTCAAAACGTCTTCTAGCGCGAGCAAACATTGTCATTTAATAAAATCAATTCCCAAATTGGAAAATTCATTTGTTCAGACGTTCTTAACTTCTTCCCGAGTATTCTCATACTGTCAACCCATGATTATGAATTTATCATGTTACTGGTAAGTGGTATTAAGTTGTATATAGTTAATAATATATTATGTCGAACAAACAAAAACACGCAGACACACAACCCCCNATTAGTATCGTTGAGAAACACCAGGAGACATGAAAAAAGGAAACATATTACGTCTCCCTATAAACACCAGAAGATTGAAAGATAGTGCAAGCAGGGATCCAGACAGGAGTATGAAAGACATATGTATTTTTTTCTGGAATAAGGAACTTGCATGTTTCCACCTACTTACTAGTAGCCAATGTATTGTTATTGGAACACATGCCGCACGTGCTTTTACAGTTGACCTTCATCCAGACCTCGTTGACCACGCAGTCCCCGTTCTTAGCCCAGCTGTCACACTTTTCATTGCTGTGCTTATTGTGGCACTCCTCTGTCACGTTTAAAACACAACCATATTAGATTATAGTTTGTATTATAGAGAAGGATATCAAATGGTTAGTGTTTACTATTAATATGGTTTATTAGTATGGATGCAAAAATAACGATATTAAAATATAAATTCATAACTGAAATAATTTAACCTCTTACATTTCAATTACAATACGGGTAAGACATTCGAGAAAATCATCCCGAGGGTTTGATATTTCCCTGTCACACCCTCTAGGTAGAAAAGTTATTTGTTCCGATCTTAAATACATGTACAAGCGTTTGCATTTTTTCAGGAAATCCATATTTGTTTTCCATGGTCTGCTACTGTTGACGTGACGTCATACTATTGTTATGACTTATATTGCGCCATTCTACACTAGGGGTGACAAGCTGATCTTTTCCAGATAAAACGGGAGATCCGTCTGTGAAGGATGGGAGAGAATATCATGAATTGGCCAGTGGATAGGAGGGAGATAGACAAGGTTTGAAATTTCATCATGATGAGGGGCCTGGCAACAGAAGTGATACTGATACTTGAAAATTAGGAAACAACTACATTATGTAACTCTACTTTGAAACATCTAGCATAGGATCACACTTATGTTAATACTGTATGTGGTGTGTGTGATCTGTAAACAAAGTTACTATGCGTGCACATACGTTTATGAAAACTGCTGGGAAACCCGAAATGTGGGATTCCGGATTTTGACAGCAGGTCATGTAGTAAGGATTAATGGTCGTTATGGACGGTGGTAAGACAGGGTATCGCGCGAGCTTACACATATTTTCGAACTGTAAAAATTAGGGGGAAATAACTACATGTAATATCCGCACCGTTTATTAGAAGTGTTCAGACATAAAGGTTCGAATACCAGAAAAGGGCATTCTAAACCGGTAATCTATCAGATGGACGAAGTTGCATTCCGGGAGCACACTCTTCTTTCAAAGGTTAAGACGTTTCAATATACGTTCATCGTACAGTAAAATGTCAATGACAATGCTACTTGATATACCTACTGCCAACATATTTCAAGGCCCCTTTTCCCTTCATACTATTAAAGTACGTCTCATGCCAATATTTTACCGGGAAAATATGGCAGCAAGTTGTCAATTTACTTGTACTAGCTGAGCTGTTTATTTACTCATACGTTGGAAGTGGTGGCATTACAGGAAACCGAATGGATATGGTATTTAAAACCAAACATAAGACGCACACTTTTGCTGCCCAGGACACAGAATAATATTTTTCACAGAATGGCAGTGATTGCACGTAACTGCTTACATCTATGCTACAAAAAGTTGCAGAGATAGTGGATTAACGCCAACGAAATGAAAATATTCTTACCCACAGTCCAGTTCTTTGGGAACAGATTCGTGAAGATACCTAGCCATTGCCATGCCCATGTTGCCACGTGATTTCCTAAAAACGTTCATCATTCCTTGAATAATTAAACTGACCACAGCTTTGCAAATTTACATCTTGAGATATCGCAACAACTAATAATTTGCATGTTTCTTTACGAATACCTTAAAACAATGTACCAAAGAAAACATTTTCATACGTGTTAAGTGAAAGATATATCAGGGTAGTTTACTCATATATAACTACTTTATTAACAGTGCAGCCAATATTATATCACACTGCTAATTTGGCGTTGATGTGGACAACATTTATTTCCAGTTTTAATATGTTTACGTTTAAGATATATTTAGACATGAAGAGAAATGTGCTCGATAATGATGACTATCGAATATGTTCCCCTTGTCACGAACATCAAATATATCTGTAGTAGCATAATTAATCATCATGTTTTCAAAATATTATTTCAGAAAATGGTCCAATAATAACATGTTAACAAGTAAAAAAAGGGAAACAATTCTACCTTCCGCATTGGTCCCCGCGCTACCACATAAGCCACACGCTTTCTGACAGTAGCGGTTCATGAACTTGGTGTTGAGTTTACACTCGCCCTGTGTAGACCACACATAGCATTTCCAACTGTCGTACTCGTTCAGGCAAGCTAAAACATCATTGTTGTAATTTGCAAGAGGTTTTACAAATAGTTAAATATCATACTATACAACATATATATCATACATTTTCATGTTTATTCGGGGAAGGCAAATATAACAAAATAAATGTACTAATGCTGTTACCAATGTTTGTTTTGCCAAATGGATATACATAAGATCTACAGAAATTTCCAGATTAATGAGAGAGCCGCTTAAATATATACCTCGATCGTTACTTAAAACATGACCAACAGGGACGACTTTCTAGTCGGCTGCATGGTAAACATGGTGATTTCAATTTTTTGCGAATTTTCCTTTTCTTGATAGCAGCATCCCTATTGTCGACTTACGATGAACACGGACACGCTCCAAATATGACGATTCCGTGATACAAGTCAAATACTGACCGACAAAATAGGGATGCAGACTGATGAAGACTACGGGCAAGCTTGAGGGTTACTATCATGCTCGCATCGGTTTCGCAAAATACATGTTTTCATCTCTCAATTAATCTAATCAGTTTGTCTTGTGATTTACTGGTCACTACCTCGTTCTCATTTTGATAAAATGACATTATTTAGATTTCGCCAAGATATACATTGTGGGTGTCTTCGATGAAGCGAAGACGCTTACCCTTCCGGAACACTCGGTCATATAATCCTTTTTTTATATTTAAAGTGTCTTCGTACAAATCTTTCCTTTGCATTTCTTTCCAATAGTTTCCTTGATTTAAACTTCGGTATTCCAATGTTTTCTTTTATATTATCCAAAATTCTACATCAAAACTTCGCATTAATAGACTGAACCGTTGTTATAAGTTACACAACATGTTTCAGAGAGTTTAGGGTATAATGCTGAATTATATGTGTTGGAGGATATATACAAAAAAGCAAAACTTAATGTACTTTCTGCCTTGGGTTTCCTGGGCCTTATGTTCTCCTGGCATTCTGAGGTACCATCCGGACAGATACAGTGGCAGTTCTGGTCAACAATCCCTCCGTCCGCGCACCGGACACTCCTCGGACAAACACCTTAACAGAAGACACGTGTTAAGAATAAGATATTGATTGGAGTAAACTGTTATAGATAGTAGGGTATGAGTATTTACTTACTGATTAAATGCACATTTTCGCTTTTAGTTGTCCTACGTTACAAACATTGATATCCCGATAAAATTGAATGGGGTTGCCTTTTTAAAGGTTAGCATGTGAATTAAAGAAAAGAGTGATGTTTATAACCAATATTTTGACTACATCAAATATAACAATATTAAAGAACGTTTTTTAAGATAATCATAGCACACAGAAGACCTCAGGTAACCACATTATAGTTAGGTTACATAACTGGCGTTTGAAAATGGATGACATATCTTCTGAATGCAGTGAGTATATATACTATGCATATAAAATCACTTTCTGTGATATCTATTTCTCAAACAATGATCAAATTGTTGCCATCAAAAATAATTATATTTTAAAATCATACCCTAGACATACCAGACGGTTTTAGGATGAACGTAAGACACAAACATGATTGCACAACCAAGTTTAAACATATATCGGTTGATTTATGTACTGTGTACACGCCTATGGTGTAATTTCAGTATATGTTCGAAGCTATGTTAGCATAACATCAGAGAAGGATCATCACAGCCATGTCGAAAAAGAAACTCCACAGAGCTGATCATATATATAGTAAATAACTTCATTTGACGATTCACAAGCAAAGCGTGATAAGCAAGTAAGAAATTAACAGATGAAGCAGGTGTAACATTACTAGCTTGAGGTCACTCTTAAAGAATATATATCTGAAATCGTAGTCATACTGAAACATGCCAAATGTTCTTATCTAACTTTGGGTGATATTTTCGTCTAGACCAACATAATGTTATAGGAAATTGAACCTTAATATATTACATTATACTGCTGTGAAACGAGGAAACAGCGACGCCTGGATAACTGTTTTTTTTTCTAGGTTTCCATAGTTATATATTTTGAATTACTGGTGTATTGCCAAACCCTAAATTCTGGAATTTCCACAACTAATTTCAAAACGTTCCCCTTCATACTTTGACAACAATGTTTCACTGTTTGGGTTACGAAATCGATATGGTACCTGAACATTCGTACATCCGGTTGACCGCTTTGACGTCACTAAAGGAGAGTTCCTTTCGCCACACCTTGCCGATGGTCTCCTCCTTCGAATGATCCTTAGCACGGATCGTCTGTGACTTACCATCTTTTGCAAATGCCTGAAAAGACATACATACTCACTTCTCTAAAATAATAGTTTGTCACACACCCACGTATGTTGCAATCAAACTCGACGTGACTTATCAAAGGCTTCTATAGGAAGTTGATGAGATACATGTTTACCTTATGAAACACACATAGCAGCACAGATTGTAATGCGCCAGCCTTCTGACTTCAATGCAGCAAGTTTGATTCCCACAAACGGCGGGATGTGTGAGTGGGTCATGTGTAATTAGCAAGTGACTTTCTAGAGTGGGTTATTATATGGTTTGGGTTGGGTATTATTGCTCCTGTAGTGTAATATACAAAGCTTTTGGAAATACGAATCGATAACAATAAAGCATGTTATTTTTACAACAACCAACACATGCCTACCCTCATACATGTATAAGTACTAAATGGGATCAAGTGGTAAGATACCCCTGAATAAGTCTGCTTTTACACTCGGCTATCTGGTTGTGATGAATATATGTGTAATATCCCACGAGTATCTTGGAGCAATATCTTTGAGATAAGATCGGGTTTTATATAATTGATATTTATTATAACTTTCAATGATAAATGTAAAATTATGTAGAAATATTTAATCTAGTGTGTAAGATAGAGTAAATAAAGTTCACTTGAAGGAAAGAGCAGTAGTGATTCGAAACGTGTAGGTTGTAAATGTACTGTTTACAATTTGAAATCATGTAAAATAATTTTTGAACTTGCATGAGGTTTAACCTAGCAGTACAATGCCACTAAGCGCGTTGTAATGCGTTGTACTCACCGTGACTCCGTAGTGCATCACAGAGGAATACTCGTACGGAACATCATACTGGTTCACCTCCTGTGTCGAGTATTTGTTAAACCATATGCGCATGCTCGGTGCTACATTGTTATAGAGGATTTCGATAAACTCGTCTCTGTTCGGGAGCTGATGCTCGTGAACAAGCCCAAGGGCATGCCCAATCTCGTGAAGATACAACCCTTTCTGTGTGTTCAGAAAAGAATCATGTTCATTTTTCCAAAAACACATTGAATAAAAAACAACTAACGACTGTGTTAAAATAGAGAAAAATCGTGTTTCATGTAACACAATAAAGTTAAAAATTATTTTTTAATAAATATTCTACAGTTACGATATAGAGTGTTGGTTAACATGAGGACCTAGGAAAATCATTTGGTGTCACTAAAGTTATCCATCATTTATCAATTAACCTTTGGATTCGGACACAAGAGTACCACTTTACAGCCTTATAAAATTGACAATTACTTAAAGTTTGTAAAGTAAATGATACCAAATGGTTATTCTTTTGGAACATCGAATATCATTACATCGCGTAAAAGTTGTAAATAAATTAAAGAGTCAGGTTCCTCGATCCAGTAGTATAGAATCAACTCACCCAGCGACACCCGTTCTGGTCCAGGTTCAGCAGCTGTCCTCCACCCACCATGCCTAACTGGGAGTTACACCTGAGCGAGCAAAGAGTAGTGATGAATACTCCAACAGTGTCACAGTATCTGTTGCTTCTCATTTCCCAAAATTAGTCATGATGTATATCCTAACCGCTTAATTAACCCTTTAACCACTGTAGCCCATAATGGACTCCACATAATTAAATTGAATTCAACAGCTTATACTCTATTTACTCATATTCCGTCTTTGCGGATTGCAGAGTTATCTTCTCTTGGGAACAGGTATTGATTGTTACGTCATTGGTTTGTTCGAGAAAATTACGTCGTTTTCTCAAAAATTGATGACGTTACTCTCACAAACAAGTGACGTAACAATCAATACCTGCTCACAAGAGAAGTTAACTGCAATACGCAAAGACGGAATATGCCATTTGCCAGGTGGGTGAATATCGATCGTAAATTAAGGGTTGTTGTTGATATTCCGTGTATTTTGATGTTTATATTGGGAATGGAGACACCGGACATATGTCTTAAGAATCAATTAACGATTATTTCAGGTACATTAGAGAATCCCGAGGTCTCGCATGCTCTAATGATCCCGCTGTTCCCTAGCATCATTACAAGACAAAGAATTTCCAAGTTTGATTATGATAGCGATATGTATTTCATTAGAGGAATTCTTTTTAAAAGTAGGATGACGCATATGTAAGTTTTTACTTTTGATTCTGAAAGCTTTTCATGATATGGCTTTTTGATTGTATTTGCATCCATGCTGCGCTATAATGATGTTTCACATTGCTACCGCGAACACATTGTTTTTGTGCTGAGAAAGCAAACATGAAATTTAAAAGGAAAAGCAAATTAGGCAAATCATTTCCTATACGGATAAACTGCTATAGTAAAAGTCGTCCAAAAGAAAAGTAAACTACAATCACATGGAAGGTTATTTTAAGCCCTGCATGGCATTGCTGTTGGTTCCATAGGCAATGCAACTGCTGATTGAACTTTAATAACCCACTCATCACATGCAGATGAACATTAAAGGATAGTGCTGTTGGGCGATGAACATGATAAATCAACACGCCATTACAGCGATTAAACAAAACGTTCAAATGTAAATAAATAATTGATGTTCAAGGAATATACGAATGAATAATCATAAGCACTTTTCTACATGCTTTTATGTGCTTTATTCAGATGACGATTCTGTAGTCCATGTTAGTAAATATCCCTGTGTGACACTTGGATATTATTTTTTTGCAGAAACGTAAGCGACCCAATAGAATACAGTGACTATATATCTTTTTGACAAATCTGTCTAATTTTTCATCTGGACTAACCCGTCACCGTTTTGGAACCGGATATAATTGTCGTCATCGGACGTTGCCTCCCGGAAACGGACACATGTGTATTTCTCCCATTCGCGCATGGCAACTCGAATCAGATATCTCTCCTTCGCCTCTGTAAAAATAAAGTAGAAATATATGTATGCAATATTTAAACATCTCAAACGTATATAGGAACTTGAGCACATTAAAGATGAGTTTTAAGAGGGCAGAAAGCTTAAACTAAATTAGAAACTTGTTGATCATGTACATTTACTTGGAATGGTCACAGCAGCAACTTAACTTCCGGTTAAGGAGATTTTCTCTCTGTGATAAAGCCATCAATTTCGCAAAATATATGAGTTAATCTATGTGATATTTTAATGCCAATTTTGTTGCTGTTAAAAACATCGTACCACTGAGGTCTATAGCGATGGAAATTCGACTTCCAACGTCAGGGCAACTTGTGTCAGATCTCTTAACAGGGTGTGTATGTATATATATATTGTACCTGTAGATATTGTTTATGTCGGCTCAGCCCTTTGCCAAATCATAATTTTCGGGAATAGGCCAATGCTATATATTTTTATGTGAAACAAAATTATAAAAACGAAAAAGAGGAGTTGAAGATTACTTTCAGGAGGTCACCACTGTCTTTGTTTAAACAAAATAATAATTTTAAATGCACGTACTGAAATGGCCCGGAGTCAGGTAGAACGGTACTTCTCCGTTCGGCCATCTTAAGTCTATTCGTCTCACTGCCTTTCGTTTCTTTCTCTTCTGTTCAAAATACGGCATCGTCTTGATATCTCCACTAAAAGACCAAAACATATAGAGATTATTGATATTTGTTTATAAGAAACCGTCCCCTTATGCCTTACTTATCAATAAGTCGTCTAATCACACATAGAAACCACCTCTAGCAAATACCAAAGTAAACCTCCGAAAACAAAAAATATATGTCATTTTTCGAAAGTAAACTTGTGAAATGAACATCTTTCCCGTCACTTTATTGCGGCATCCGTGAATAATTACAAATGAGAAATATGACTAAGGATTTCATCCAAGAGTTTGGGTTTACCTTGAAAATATGGTAGATTATTAACAGCATGATTTGATTCAACATAAACATATTTTCGCTGCAATGTTAAGTACAGTAATGATGTTTTCATTCCCTTTTTTGTACAGCATACACATTGCATTGGCTATGCGAACTACAGCGATGGTATACCTTACAATGCACAAAGATAAGACGGGGAAGTAATACTAGGATTTGGCCTCACTATTCTGGCGGATGATACATATTACGAAACTGTTCTTCCGTCAGCAGCATGTCTAACTCAGCCAGGAACATGCCATTTGGTCCAACCATCTTCTGAATCGATACTGTTAGAAGGCGTAAAAGATATGACATGAAGTTTAGATTACATCATATTTGGGGCCACTAACTCTGTAAAGACAAGTGCCGAAAAATACATTTGATTATGAATTAGAATATTTATATGCAATTCCTTTGGAAAGGTGATGTGGTTCAGAGATGTAAAGCAAAAATATTGTTTTTGATGCAAATTTCGATTTCTTTTGCCAAATTTCATATCTCGATAAAAAATGTATGAATTGTAAATTAAGTTATGTAACCATTTCTATAAAAGATAACTACAACGTACAAAATGTGTACATGGTTATGTATCATGGTCCGTTATTCACATTCGATCGTATCAGACCCTTTAGTTGAACGTATGGAATGAGATTGCGATGGGTTACCGGCAATGCATAAACGAAGGTATGTATAAGCATAATTGTTGTATTAAAATACATTATTGAGAGGAACAATATGGCCCGTTGTTCTTTTGATCATGATAAGTCAATGTATGATGTCTTAATGTTAATATCGATCAGCCTTTTCCATAAGATGTAAAATATGTCACTTCTCTCTGGTGGAACACATTTTACATCCTAAGAATTAGTGCAGTTTCAAGATACAACATTCCTGTAAAATTCTATAGTTATAGGACAAACTATATATATATATATTTATAAACAGGGGAGGTGTCCCCTTCCTCCATAATTAAAGGCATTGTAATTACGTTGATACTTTATATCATAATATATGATAAACTGTCGCATAGTGCAATAGATGTAACAGTTATTTCAATTAGGAAGTTTCTAAAATGCTTTGGGTTATAAATTCCGTACTTCTTTCTGGTTATTTGCTCTGTTAAAACATGATAACAAAAATGGCGATGAAGACGTTTCTCATCAACAGTACCTAGAGTGATGAGAAATGCATCAATTTCACGCTAAAAGGGCTCATCACTATAAGAGACAGAATTCGCAATTTACTGTTGAGTTTTTCAATTCATTATTTTTAACGTGTAGGCAGTGGTTTATAAAAAAAACTTGTGTTGATGAATAAATGGTTTGATGTATCAAATTGCTTGCTGCAAGAAGTTAAAATTTGTTATGATATTAATGTACAATGGGGAGACCATTGAATTTGCTATATCCCTTGAAATAAATAATACTAGGGATTTACTTATTGACCATCGATTTCTGGTGTCTGCCTCAACACCTACCAAATATCCTTTTCTACCGTGGAACACTATATATTGCTTATTGATTAGGTATACATTAAATACATACATGAATGAATTGCCGTATGTTCCTAGATGCCATTATTTTCTTGATTGAAAGTTAGCTATACACAGAAAATTAATGAATCTTTAAATACCGTTCGATATTCTAATTCCTTATTGTGTTGACTTATAATAAATATGTAAACTACCGTTCATGCCTCCGTTTGCTGCCGTGAGAATCTCGTCAAGGGTTAAGTTGGTGTACTGTTCCAGACTGTACATGTCATCTGGTGACATGTCTAGTTGTCTGAAAGCAGCTAGTTCCTGGCCTCCTACCACTCCACACAACAGCAAAAACTGAGGATAAACAGCTAGAAGCATGTAAGGACCACAATGCTTTCATGAAGTCATGATCACCTTCACAAATGCAATACCCCTCACCCCGCAATATAGCATCACAACTCGGTGTATCGAAACGGTGATGCAAATTGTAATGAATACGACCTCATTAATTAAACTCATTTTAATTATGTAACTTTCTTTTGATTAAAACTATAAACATGCTATATCGTTAACCTTGATTAATATATTTGAAGAATTATATTACCGAACCCATGATCCCCTGCAGTTTCGGAGAAAAACAATACAGACCCCTGCATAAATCTATAAGGAGACTTATTTGAAAAGCCTGCAACAACTGATTTTTCCTTCTCTGCTTTGTAGAGAAAAAACACCCACAATTATTATTGCTCTTCCTATTTCCCTTTAAAAAAAAATAACAACAACAAAACAAAACGTTACGACAGACACCAATCTTCTAAGATTTCTGGACAGTGTTTTCACTCTTAATTATGGCAGAAATCTTAAATTGTATGATTTAAAACAAGGCTTGCTATCGTATGTTAAACTGTTAGCCTAGATTATCAAGGACGGCAGTAAATCTGATATATTATATACTGTAATGCGTGATGAACTCAAAAGCGTTGTCGAAATATGTCTGAATTTAACTTTAAATATTATTTCAAAACACAATTTAGATAAGAGCAAGTGCACCAACCCGGTAATTTGTTTTGTGGTCATTATTAATCATATACAAAATGTAAAAGTTAATCCTTAGTATACCGGATGTTCTCACTTATAAACAAATAATAGAGGCACTGTTAATGGTCTGCACTCTGTTCTATAAAGTTGATTTACACGAAGAAAGAAAAGTCACATTTTAAGAAAAAAAAATTGCAGGAAGATTAACTTCATGTTTTTTATTCATGGTGATAGGTTTGTTACATAAACTTGAGGACCATTCACTCCATGATGAAAACCTAAGCCTGAAAGGTTAGACCTTGTCTGGCTGTAGCTATATATATATGTCATATAGCTATATATAGTATTAGTTATCTGTATGTGTTATATACTGTTATGGATGAGTAATCTGTATGTGTTATATATTGTTATGGATGAATTATCTGTATGTGTTATATACTGTTATGGATGAGTTATCTTTGATGTTATATACTGTTATGGATGAGTTATCTGTGATGTGTCAATTACTGTTACGGATGAGTTATCTGTATGTGTTATATACTGTTATCGATGAGTTATCTGTATGTGTTATATACTGTTATGGATGAGTTATCTTTGATGTTATATACTGTTATGGATGAGTTATCTGTGATGTGTCATTTACTGTTACGGATGAGTTATCTGTATGTGTTATATACTGTTATAGATGAATAATCTGTGATGTGTTCGATACTGTTACATGTATGGATGAGTAATCTGTATGTTTTATATACTGTTATGGATGAGTTTTCTGCGATGTGTTATATACTGTTATTGATGAGTTATCTGTATGTGTTATATACTATTAAAGATGAGTTATCTGTATGTGTTCAATACTGTTATGGATGAGTAATCTGTATGTAATATATAATGTTATCGATGAGTTATCTGTATGTGTTATATACTGTTATGGATGAGTTATCTGTATGTGTTATATACTGTTATGGATGAGTTATCTTTCATGTTATATACTGTTATAGATGAGTTATCTGTGATGTGTCATTTACTGTTACGGATGAGTTATCTGTATGTGTTATATACTGTTATGGATGAGTAATCTGTATGTGTTATATACTGTTATGAATGAGTTATCTGTGTGTTATATACTGTTATAGATGAGTTATCTGTATGTGTTCAATACTGTTATGGATGAGTAATCTGTATGTGTTATATATGGTTATGGATAAGTTATCTGAATGTTTTATACTGTTATGGATGAGTTATCTGTGATGTGTCATTTACTGTTACGGATGAGTTATCTGTATGTGTTATATACTGTTATAGATGAGTTATCTGTATGTGTTCAATACTGTTATGGATGAGTAATCTGTATGTGTTATATACTGTTATTGATGAGTTATCTGTATGAACTATATACTGTTATAGATGAGTTATCTGTATGTGTTATATACTGTTATGGATGAATTATTTGTGGTGTGTTCGATACTGTTATGGATGAGTTATCTGTATGTGTTAAATACTGTTATAAATGAGTTATCTGTGTTATATACTGTTACATGTATGGATGAGTAATCTGTATGTGTTATATACTGTTATGGATGAGTAATCTGTATGTGTTATATACTGTTATGGATGAGTTATCTGTGATGTGTCATGTACTGTTATGGATGAGTTATCTGTATGTGTTATATATTGTTATAGATGAATTATCTGTGATGTGTTCAAGACTGTTATGGATAAGTTATCTGTATGTGTTAAATACTGTTATAGATGAGTTATCTGTATGTGTTATATACTGTTATGGATGAGTAATCTGTATGTGTTATATATGGTTATGGATGAGTAATCTGTATGTGTTATATACTGTTATGAATGAGTTATCTGTGTGTTATATACTGTTATAGATGAGTTATCTGTATGTGTTCGATACTGTTATGGATGAGTAATATGTATATGTTATATACTGTTATGGATGAGTAATCTGTATGTGTTATATATGGTTATGGATAAGTTATCTGAATGTTATATACTGTTATGGATGAGTTNGTCATATACTGTTATATATTGTAAGGATTTTGTTTTCTATTAATTTTTATGAGTTATATTGGATTAGGTATCTTTGATATTTCTTATTATATTATCTATGATATTTTATGTAATGTAAAGGATAGCTTATTGGTGATGTGTTATGTATTATTAAAACTAGGTATCTGTGTTCTGTGATACTTTACGGATTAGTTATCTCTGTTGTGTTATATAATATAAAGGATCGGCTATCTGTGATTTGTTATGAATTAGATGTGTTTAGGTATACGTTATATGTTGTAAATTTGACAATATTAGTTAAGTGTCTTTGATGTGATAAAGCATCATATAGTTGTAATGATAGGTATAGGGCCTTGATAATTAATTAGCTTATATTTATATAGATATGCAAGGTCGAGGATGTACCTTATCTACACTGATCCGTGTGGTGGGTTAAATATAACTTGATGTGTTATATCGTGATATGATATGTCGAAATTAATTGAGGCATATTATCATTTGTTAATTAGCCTGCGTTTTTAACTTTGTGTAGAGTCGAGGCCGTGCGTTTATACATTGCAGAAGGGCGCTCATAATGGTAATGACACTTTTACATATTGAGTTTGCTTACGTCAACAAAATATCCTTGAAACTGATTACTTCATCGATCCGTGTGGTGTGTTATACATTTATACGATCGAGATTACTCATGACTTTCGTAAAACTGATATTTTAAAATAATATTTACAGTGAAATCAAAATAATAACCAGACATATTCATCCTTATTTATAAGACAGTTAAATAGCACAAAGATGGCCTCCCCAGCTGGAGCTAGAACTTGCCTACCTGCACTACGCAGAGGGTAGTCATATCGCCAGCCACTGTCGTCCGTCGTGCACTCCCGTCTCTGAAGCCCTACCTCCTCGACTAGAACACATCTAGGGCAATGTCAAGAGTGTAACAGGAAGTTCACTAAACTACTGCGGTGGATAGTCTACTTAAGGATGTGTTTTACAGACCCTATAGGGACTTTGGTCGGTAACGTTGTACAATTATATTCTCACTATAGGCGTACTAAAACGTTATTGTTGGGTTGGGTTTTAAACGATGATATTGGTGTTTATTACGAAAAAAACAGGTACAGGTTGTATTTGTAAATTAAAAAAAGATGATTGCTGTAAAAAAATACTTATTTATAATAATTGGGAGTGATGAGGATAGTTAAGCATCGCCTCGCGGTTGAAACTCAATTGCCGACAATGGTTAACTACGATATACGTCCACTTATTTCAAAAGTCAAAGGGGCATCATCTATACTATTTTGCGAAGACATTCTCCAACAATTTGAACCATAAAAACATCAATTTACACGTAAAACCGGGAAATCCAAATCGCTATAAACGTTCGACTAACATAATCATAGGAATAAGAATCATTAAGACAAGACACTTTTCCCCCGATTTAAATTTAATTTACGTTCGGACCTGTAAAACAACCCCAAGCAAGCACTATTGGTAAGAAAACACAGTATGAAGTCTGAGCTCGATCAACCCAAGAAAACTCAAGTTATCGCACGGAAACATATTTTCTATTTATAGTTATGGTGACCTTTGACATTCTGACCTGAAAAGCAATTGGTAAGGAATCACTGAATGAAATCTGTGCTCGATCAATCCAAAGAAAATCGAGTTATCGCACCGAAACTTTTTTCTATTTAAAGTAATGGTAACCTTAACCTTTGACCTTCGGACCTGAAAAAAACCCCCAAGCAAGCACTATTGGTAAGGAAGCACTGTATGAAGTCTTGAGCTCGATCGACCCAGGGGAACTCAAGTTATCGCACGGAAACAGTTTTTCTATTTATAGTTAAGGTGATCTTTGACCTTCGGACCTAAAAAGCAATCCTAAACATGCGCTATAGGTAAGGAATCACTGTATGAAATCTGAGCTCGATCAACTTAACAAAACTCGAGTTATCGCACGGAAACAGATTTTCTATTTATAGTAAGGATGACCTTGACCTTTGGACCTAAAAAGCAATCTCAATCAAGCACTAATAATAAGAAAGCACTATATGAAGTATGAGGTCGATCAACCCAAAGAAACTCAAGTTATCGCACGGAAACATATTTTCTATTAATAGTATCGGTGACCTTGACCTTTGACCTTCGGACCTTAAAAGCAATTTTAAGTGAGCACTGTTTGTAAAGAAGTACTGTATGAAGTTTGAGCTTGATCAACTAAAAGAAACTCAAGTTATCGCATGGAAACCTCGTTTCGGACGACGCAACCGACGACGACGACGAATACATGTACTTATATGTCGCCTCGCGTTGCAGGCGACACAAAACCGCAATTGGAATTCAAAATTTGTACAATCAGGGCAATGGGTGTCCTTCATCGACAACACCTGCAGCATAGCTCTAGTGATATCCTAGAAAAAAATGTTGTTTCTACCGGAGAGACTTCAATCAATATGCTGAAGACGTTGAATGATCACCTCCCCGACATGATTTCAATCTATGGTTTTCAGTGTTAACCAGGTACATGCTCGTTATAACTGTGCCCTGTTTGTAACCTTGTTGACTTAAGTGGCGTCCACGTTTTTATACAGAGCGTTTTGACGGTTCCAAATAGGTAGCAGGAAACACAAACCTTTCTGAGCACAATACTTTATCGTCTATTGTTTTCTAATGCGTCCCCTGTTGTTGTTTTCCCTTTCGTTTTTGTGTTTCGTTCTTTCCTTCTGTTTTGGTGGCACTTGGTGTTTCCTTTCTTTTTGGTAACTACTAGATTCTGGTTGCTGCATTTCATTCTAGTTTAGTGTAATCTCGGTTCCTCTTTTCTTTACCTTTGTTTGGTGTTTCTTAGGTTCCTGTTGTTTTCCTTTTCGTTTTGGTGCTTCTCTGGTTCCTGTTGTTGTTTTCCTTTTCGTTTTGATGTCTCTTTGGTTCCTGCTGTTTTTGTCCCTTTCGTATTGGTGTCTTTTTGATCCTGTTGTTGTTTTCCCTTTCGTATAGGTGTCTCTGGTACCTGTTGTTGTTGTCCCTTTCGTATGCGTCTCTCTGGTTCCTGTTGTTGTTTTCCTTTTCGTTTTGATGTCTCTCTGGTACCTGTTGTTGTTGTTCCCTTCGTATGCGTCTCTCTGGTTCCTGTTGCTTACTCATTCGTTTAGTTGTCTCTTTGGTTCCTGATGTTATTTTCCTTTTCGTATAGTTGTCTCTCTGGTTATTGTTGTTGTTTTCCCTATCGTATATGTGTCTCTGGTGCCTGTTGTTGTTGTTCCTTACCTATAGGTGTCTCTGGTGCCTGTTGTTGTTGTTCCTTACCTATAGGTGTCTCTGGTTCTTGTTGTTGTTTTCCTTTCGTATAGGTGTCTCTCTGGTTCCTGTTGTTGTTGTCCCTTTCGTATAGGTGACTCTGATTATTGTTGTTATTTTCTCTTTCGTATAGTTGTCTCTGGTTCCTGTTGTTGTTTTCTCTTTCGTATATGTGTCTCTGGTGCCTGTTGTTGTTTTTCCTTACCTATAGTTGTCTCTCTGGATCCTGTTGTTATTTTCTCTTTCGTATATGTGTCTCTGGTGCCTGTTGTTGTTTTCCCTTACCTTTAGTTGTCTCTGGTTCCTGTTGTTGTTTTCCTTTTCGTTTTGATGTCTCTTTGGTTTCTGCTGTTTTTGTCCCTTTCGTATTTGTGTCTTTTTGGGTCCTGTTGTTGTTTTCCCTTTCGTTAAGGTGTCTCTGGTACCTGTTGTTGTTGTCCCTTTCGTTAAGGTGTCTCTGGTTCCCGTTGATGTTTTTCCTTACGTATAGGTGTCTCTGGTTCCTGTTGTTGTTTTCCCTTTTGTATGCGTCTCTCAGGTTCCTGTTGTTTACTGATTCGTATAGTTGTCTCTCAGGTTCCTGTTGTTTACTTATTCGTATAGTTGTCACTCTGGTTCCTGATATTATTTTCTTTTTCGTATAGTTGTCTCTCTGCTTCCTGTTGTTATTTTCTCTTTCGTATATGTGTCTCTGGTGCCTGTTGTTGTTTTCCCTTACCTATAGTTGTCTCTGGTTCCTGTTGTTGTTTTCCTTTTCGTTTTGATGTCTCTTTGGTTTCTGCTGTTTTTGTCCCTTTCGTATTGGTGTCTTTTTGGTTCCTGTTGTTGTTTTCCCTTTCGAATAGGCGTCTCTTGTTCCTATTGTTGTTTGCCCTTTCGTATAGGTGTCTCTGGGTATTGTTGTTGTTTTCCCTTACGTATCGGTGTCTCTGGTTCCTGTTGTTGTTTTCCCTTTCGTTTAGGTGTCTCTAGTTCCTGTTGTTGTTTTCCCTTTCGTAAGGGTGTCTCTGGTCCCTGTTGTTGTTTGCCCTTCCGTAAAGGTGTCTCTTGTTATTGTTGTTGTTTTCCCTTTCGTTTAGGTGTCTTTGGTTACTGTTGTTGTTTTCCCTTTCGTTTAGGTGTCTCTGGTTCCTGTTGTTGCATTCCCTTTTCGTATGCGTCTCTCTGGTTCCTGCTGTTGTTGTCCCTTTCGTATAGGTGTCTCTGGTTATTGTTGTTGTTTTCCCTTTCGTTTAGGTGTGTCTGGTTCCTGTTGTTTCCCTTTCGTTTAGGTGTCTCTGGTTCCTGTTGTTTTTTCCCCTTTCGTTTAGGTTTCTCTGGTTCCTGTTGTTCTTTTCCCTTTCGTTTAGGTGTCTCTGGTTATTGCTGTTGTTTTCCCTTTCGTTTAGGTGTGTCTGGTTCCTGTTGTTGTTTTCCCTTTCGTTTAGGTGTCTCTGGTTCCTGTTTCCCCCCCCCCCTTTCGTTTAGGTGTCTCTGGTTCCTGTTGTTGTTTTCCCTTTCGTTTAGGTGTCTCTGGTTATTGCTGTTGTTTTCCCTTTCGTTTAGGTGTGTCTGGTTCCTGTTGTTGTTTTCCCTTTCGTTTAGGTGTCTCTGGTTCCTGTTTCCCCCCCCCCCTTTCGTTTAGGTGTCTCTGGTTCCTGTTGTTGTTTTCCCTTTCGTTTAGGTGTCTCTGGTTCCTGTTGTTGAATTTCCTTTTCGTATGCGTCTCTCTGGTTCCTGTTCTTGTTGTCCCTTTCGTATATGTGTCTCTTGTTCCTATTGTTGTTTGCCCATTCGTATAGGTGTCTCTTGTGCCGTTGTTAGTTGTTCTTTCGTTTTGGCATGTTCTCTGTTCCTGTTGTCTTATCGTCTCGAATTGTACTTCCGGTCTTGTCCTTGTTCAATACATATGTACATGTATGTTTTCTACTATACACATTGATCCATCTTTCGTTTGATAAGGAAATACTTCCTGTTAAAAACAGAAGTAGGTTTTAATAACTACAAATGTATAAAGTTTCCAATAATATGCTACGCTAAATGTTGTTTCAGTCACGAGAATCATTAATCGCCAAAAAAATAAGGAACTATATTTCCCTAGCAGAAGTACAATTAATGTATACTATAACTATGCCTTAAAGCAAATGTTGTAACAATCTAATTAAAATTATATCTTCACATCGCTCCCGTTTACTGATCAGTAAACGGGAGCGATTGAAACCTTAATTTTAATTACATTGATGTTGTAAGTTTAACTTGGTAAAATCTGTATCTTCTTGTGAAAATACGTATTTTTCACCCAGTTATAAACATCTTTTCTTACAAAAATATTTCTTCAAACTGAATATTTGACTGAACTACATTGTACACTATCATACCTAATACATTGTACCGAACTGAGGAAACTCCATCATTATCTTTTAACGCAGCTTTCTTTTCCAGGTAACGCAAATGGCGATATCAACCTGTGGGTGTAAACGTTTTGTGAATAAAACACAACAAAGACAGGATGAAGTATAAAGAGGATAAAATCGTGAGAGTAATCGGATTAATGTTGGACGATCACTTTTTCATCAAACGGTTGATATACCCATGGGCAGAATTTCTCTTGACGTATTTGGATTTGTTTTCATATTGAACTGAACATATCACTTTTAGTTTTGGCGACTTTGTGTTTTCTTTGCCCATTCAGGATTATTGTTTTACTTTATCAAGAGACACTATATACATTGTTCCCTTGTCCATACATGTATCTTGCACATACCTTATTAATTTGAGTTCGAAGTACGGTGTGGTACACACTTCGGCATCCTCTTTACGCTAGATAGAGGATGTTGACAAACTAACACGTGGTTTCGAGAGGTGTACATTGAGAAAGACTTATGGCGGGATTCCTGGTCACTATCATGATCTCATTGGGAAATATTTTGCTTTCTTGTCTGATGTGAATATCATTTTTTTTTAATGTTCATAATTTACCTTTTAGTTTCCTTGTCTCTGTTAAGTTTCTTATTTTAGAGTGCGACTTTTTTATTTGACCTAGATTCACATGTCGGGGTATCGTCGATGAAGAAAAAAATCTTACACTTCCAAAACACATTGTCTTTTCTTCCAATGGTTTAGAAAATGTCGTTTGAAGAATTTGCTGACGAAGAGCGACGGGCGGCATGGTATGACATAAGCTCACATTGGTCCTTCGAACCAGTTAATCTAAAACTAACGACCCATAGGTTGTATACCTCTCGTTTTATTATTATCCATTGTGGCCATGTTATTTTCAAATTTTTTTTTTTTTTACAAGCTATTACTAACAATAATACAACTGTAGCAAATTTAAAGTGTCCTTCAAAAAGGGCATATTTTGAAAATTTAACATTTCAAAATTTAAATTATTTACAATGTATTGGTATATTAGAATTTAAGCAATAGCGTTTACTGTTGAAAACAAATGTGCAGAAACGTGGACCGTTTACCATGGCGGACTCTATCCTTGTACTTGTGCATGAATATTAGGTCGATAAAATGATATTATCTTACAGGTGATTTAATTGTGAACACTGATTACAGAAAAGTATTTTCAAATGAAGACCACTCAACACTTGTACGACTACCTACATAAACAAAACAGTTCTTTTGTTGATAGTAGTTTTTTCTTATTTTCAAAAGGTGACCATTTCTAATATGCCCGCTTCCTTATATTAGAAAAGGTAAATGTCAAAATCACTCTTATTTCGTCCCGTAAAATTCCTTTACTTTTATTGAAAGTGTTAGTATTCCTCGGGGAAACAGTGCATCCTCTTTTACTATATATATCAGTGCCAAGATAAAAAATTATTATAAATTACGTTGTTTTACTCTTTCCTCGGGAGCGCTTTTACTAACAATTGACATAGACACCAGTGATGGGACCAAAACATTAGCAATTGACATAAAAATAAAACAATAACAAGAGAATGTACGTGGAGATTTTATTTGTAGTCAGTTGGAGAGTGACGGGTTCTTTCAGAGAAAGTAGACAACCACGCATGTCCTTTTATCCAGGGCCCAGGTACGTAGTGAACCTCTGTTACAGACAGTACCGCGTCTGCTGTCGTGTAACAAATGACACGAGAACATTCTCTGATAACATGTTGAGCTCCAGCAGAAATACACACGCCTGAATGAAACAACACACGGGTTGTTAGGAGCTGCAATAAAATGGTCGTTGGGACAAGCCAGATTCGAAAGGAACACTGGCTCTCATTTTCTATCTGCTCATAGAATGGAAATCAAACATTTCTTCGTATGTCTTCCTCAAACTGATCTATTTGAACCATATTTTATTATTTTCCTTGTTTCCGGTACACATGGATTTTCGTTTCTGATATGGTTCGTTTTGGTGGTCAAGTAACGAAACACAGAGCAGCTGAAATGAACCCTAAAATATGACTAAATTGATTATACTGAAAATAAAACTTCAGTAAGAGAATCAATTCTCCTTATCCCACTCATAAATATATTTATCTCATTTCATAGGTTTTTACACTTCGAGTCCCTGTGACATCATGCTCACTTCGGTACAAAAAAAAAGTTCCGTCGGTCCTTCAGCAAGCCAGAATTATCGGTAAGGGACATACATGCGGTACCAATGAAATTGGCTTTGTTGAAATAACAAAAACGATACATCCAACGCAATGAAACAGCTACTTCCATTGATATCACCTCGGGTCTGAGTCAGCACACATCGATGTTCCTTCAATGTAGTATTGTATAGGGATCACATCAAACTGAGAGTGAGGAAGGAGACTGGAACTGTCCACTGCTTTCGATATTACATATTGCTCAATAAAATTCACATGAATATATGTATAGAACTAGGTTCTTCTTTGATTGATTTCAATATCAAAACAGGAGAGGATAAGTTAATTGATTATAATAAAACAATATGTAATATTCAGACCAAAGATTGGCTAGTAATGAAAATTTAAGTTAGGTAAAAAGATGTAAAAACTGGAAAAATATATACTCACATTATACACAAAGTACACTGTATATTATCATTTTGGAAGTAAATGTAATAGTTGTCAAACGTGGAAAAGTCTAGAACTCTTTCATTTATCACACATATATAACGGGTATCACTTTCTCACCAAAGCTCCTTTGATCATAGTATTCGGATAACGTGACAGGGGAACTAACTCCTGACAAACTATTCCACCTTTCTTTTTGATCACCTTCAAAATCAAAGGGATAATGCAAAAGATATAGTTTTGAAATTTGGCGGTAATCTGGAACTTAATCCTATGGAGTGCAGTGGTGAAATTCGCCAAATTCAGCCTATTATCAAACAGGACCGGCAGATGACTGGAGCAAATCTAGGATAACAATAGGCGCAGACCCTAAGGTCCAGCCAAAAAACATAGCAAAGTTAAACAAAGGTAATGCTGATCTACACGTGTTTAAAAAGATAATACAATGTGTCTATCAGTCAGATGTAGTTCCTGTACATGGATATTGTATCACCAGGATACACTAAAATTGAAACTGTAAAGCAACATCTCCTGTTGGCTGGTAAATGATACATATACCAACATCTATGCGAATACAACAAATAAACAGTGAATACAAAACAATTAAATGATACAGTTACCCATTGACAAAGGCTTATCAAACCTGTTGTAATGTCATCCATTGTGACAATAATCAACTTTCTGCTGATCTGGTAGCATAGTGTTTTGGAAGAAAAGTTGATGGACCTTGAAATGTCCGTCCGAATTTCTTATGAAATGTTAACATATTTTTATTTTCTTATTTTAAGGGCTTGGAGGGCTGTCGTTTTATTTACACGGGGGACGGGGGGTGGGAGGTGTAACAATGACAGTCATGCTGTTGTTTTATCAAGGTAATGAAAATCATTACATTTACTTCAACTCTCTGTGATTGTTTCAATATACAAGTCTGGTTGTAATATGGCTATCTTTCCATGAACCACTGGCAAAATGCCTGTCCGAGTTTGATTGACCAAGGCCCGTATTCATGAAACCATTCTCATGCTCAAGCATGGATTCTGTGCTCAACCTACTTTCTTGTAACTCGCTTAAATCTTGTCAAACGATCAAAAAGTCAAATGTAAACATTGAAAACAGTTTTCGGCTTTAAGTCTTTTCAATGTTTTTCCAAATCATTGAAAAAAGAACATTATTTTTATGAATTTATAACGGGATCAAGAAATTCGGCTTGAGCACAAATTCCGTACCTGAGCATAAGATCAGTTTCATGAATATGGGCCAAGGTGTACCCATACAGACACTATTGCATTTCTTATGACCGTGGTATCATTTCATTGGACAGGCGTCTAAGCTGCAGGCCCCACTGACTTCCCTCCAGTCTCGCTGTCATTTTGGCAAAATTCACATGGACACTGAAAAAAGAAAAAACCCAGGAAAGTCAGCTCTGCTTATTTATGAGAACTACCTCAATGGTACTTGCAAATGTGCATAGTATTGAAAAATGCAACTTTTCCTTTTTATCTTAGTTTTCATCATTATGGCATCAGCAAATCATATATATAGGATAATATCTAGAGACTTTGTACAGTATGAAGAATAACAATAGAATTAAGAACAGCAAAAGAAAAATGAAGGGCTTCAAAATGTTGAGAGCCATTTTAGAAAGGATAAAAATAACTTCATCCATAGTCCCCCCCCNCCCCCCCCCTGGCAAACATACTTGCAAACCAAATCTGGTTAGCCCAGATGAACCAGTTTTGCTGAAACCGTCCTAGTAGTTAAGAAAAAGTTGTCAGAACAAAGAACAAAAAGGTTGAAACGAAAAAAATACTACCCTGATGTTGAAATTGGTCCATAACTTTAGAAGAGTTGTCCGGACAAACATTTTTCTACGAATGGATGGATGAACAGAGAGACAGACAGACATGATGATTCCAGTATACCCCTCCCTAACTTTAAATTTTTGTTTCATCAGATACTTTGACTGGTGTACATGTCTAAGCTTGACACCAGACTTAAGAGAGTTTGACAGACAATGTCTGGTGTTGTAAAAATATATGTCCAGTATCCGGGCTAGGGTAAATTGGGCTAATCAGAGAGTAAAAATAACCTGTTTCCGTAAATAGTAGTTTGCCAGTATGACATCCGGTATGACAATTCAATGGTAAAGAGACCACTTTAACTTACAGATTATAATTATATACATTACACTGTCACTATAAAGATGTTTCTATTCTGACTTTGACCCTCAATTTAACAGCAGAATGAGCTCTTGAATTGACTTAACCTACAATTCAACAATGGGTGGGTTATATACTTACGGCTGACCCTTGATGGTAATGGTGCGCTGTACAACATCTAGGTATTCTCGGTACATCTCCTCTAGCTGTCTTATTTCCGTATCAAGCAAGTGATGTGCCTTTCGACCTTCACCATGCATGATCCATCGCGGACAAGGGGCTCCATCTAGCGAAGGTCTAACGGGACGACTGGATTTGTTCACCCCTGGAGAAAGACATTTTAAGCTTATGCATTTTTTGACATTGGCTTGGCACAACAGACACCTAGATGAATCCAATGATAACTTATAAAGAGAAATAATAGCGGCGTATCTGACAAGGAAAGTGGTTGGCGTATCCTTTAACTCATTCACCCCTGAAGACACATTTGAACTCTTCCAATTCAAATAGTTCATTATGAAATTTCAGGGGTGAAATGAGTTATTTAATTTTAATCAACTTATCAGACTTACGTTCTATAGTAACATAAGAACAACCACTAATACAAATAACAAAAGAGTATTGAAGTGTCAACACACCCAGAATTAAAACTCAAAATCGATAGACAAAAGGCAAAATATGAACAAAGGAAAAATTTACACGGAGACCCCTGGAACAGTACAAGTAGAATAAGATAGTTGCATCCTCAGAACTCGGGCAGAATCCAAATATTTGAAATAGTTTCATTCAGGGGTCGACACTAACACTAGTCCGCTAGTCCTGGACTAGCAAGGACTAGTGAATCACCTTACCTAACTGGTCCTTTGAAAAATATGATTATAAGATAAGAATACTCCTTTTTAAAATTACAAAACTGCTCAAAATAAGATATATTGCATGATAATTGTAAAAAAGAAATCTGGGACTATAGTTACATTGACAAAGGACTAGTTAATAATCTATTCAACTAGTCCTGTGGACTACCAAGCAAAATAAGTCCTGCAATTTGTTGATTTTTAATATACATATTTCTTGAAAACAGATGATCATTTTATTTACATAGAAATATACAAAGTCAGGTCTTATTGAAGATAACTTTATGGTTCTAAGACACTTTTGTGTAGTACTGGTCTGTAGAAATGGTATATATTATAGTATACATTGAATGTACAGGATAAAGTGACTGACAATTGCCCAGGATATAATGCTCACCGTTTGGATCACTGTAGGCTTGCTTTAAGAACTCTTTAATTCTTTTGTCTGATATGCCTTCTAATCCATACAGTCTCAGTACTTTTTCTGTGTGTTGATCCGAGAAATCATGCTGCCGTCTACAGCGAAGAGAATACTCACACTTATCCAAGATATAGAACTTACACAAGTGCAGAAAGGTGCAGGTTTCAACCTTGTTACAACCTTTGGCGGTGCTGTAGAATGTGCATAACTCTGGAACAGTTAGGCCACGTCTGTTTTGCAAGCCGAGAAGCTGCTTGGTTACTTCTTCACGACTCAGTCTATCCAGATAATGATGGCGTAAAACATCCTCATTATGTCCGACTTCTTCGCCGTGTCCATACTTGCATCCCATTGACTGGCACTTGCTCATTAAATGGAACTTACAAATGTGTAGGTTTTTGCAGTTTCCGATGCACATGCCTGGTTTAGTGCCATTTACTTTACAAAGCTCTAAGTTAAAGTTATAGGTGACGGTCGTATCAACTTCTTCCCTCACACCATTCTGCCACAGAGGTCCACCAAAGTCAGTCACAGTAAAGGTTTCTTTATAATCTTTCAACAACCCTTCCAAGGTTCTATCGCTAGACAATGCCTCGACCTCTTCGATAAGGCCATCAGTGCTAACAGAAGATTTCAGATTGTCCATGCTCACTGTCCCTCCCATTAAGACCAGTCGCTTCACTATTTCACTGACCAATTCCCGAACAGAGAGGTTAAACAGTGATGCTCCTTTTGCTTGGTGGACGCCAGGTGAGTATGATGTAACGCTGTCCGACCTTCTCGGGTAACGCGGTCTTTTCATTTCCTTTCTAGACATGGGCTTTTGGCTGACCACCTCGTCCAAACGTCGAAACTCCATGCCACGTCCGTAGTCGTAACGTTCGTGTTCACTATTCCTTGAGTAGGGGCTAGCTCTACTGCTGCTGCTGCTGGGGGAGTTCCATCTATCATCCCTTCGATCCGCGTCGTCCTCGGGGCGACGGTCTGTCCCACGGAGTCCCCTTTCACCCGTTCGTATATAGTTAAATTGTATCAAATCTGTAAAATATCAGATAGACGCAATTTGGTTATTTTATGCAAGACCATAATCACTTTGAGGAACGGATTGAAACTTACCGTATGCTAAAGTTTGAATACAGTATACATTTGTATGTTATAACTATGTATGGATGGATATTACATAGGTGGACCAGTAGAACCCATGTCACAGAAATGTCGCACAGAGCTAGGGAGGAAAACTAACCATTTCCTTAAGTCAGCATTTATGAAAACAGAAAACAATATTAATGAGTAAATAATTTATAGAAGCGAAAATGCATGGAATAGATATAAAACCGTTTGAATATGATTTTTTGAACTGCTGAGATATCAGGTATTGTAATATAATACTACAAATATAGCCATATATTCACTATATCTATGAAAGTGATGGGGTTTTCCAGACTTGAAAAAATACTTTCAAAACTTTCCCATCCGAAGACCAACTTTCGAAGAAACTTTTCAATTCTGTGATGTAATATTTTAAAACAAATCATATCACGGAAAAGTGGTTCTCCTTTGGGAAAGTGCTCTAAATAATATTTTAGATTTGCCCTTACTTACTCTCCTATCGCCCTGCATACATCGGCCACTACTAGCCACATCATGGCTCTACCCAGCTAGGACTTAGTAGTAATACTATATTTGGCCATGCAGGCCATATATAGAAACAGATAATTCATATAACATCTTGAATTATCTGTCATGCCCCCCCCCCTCCAAGACGGACTTGGCTAATTTTGTGAAAGAGTTTTTTTTTATTAATAAGGATTTGTTTTTTTAATAATTATGCAATATTTTGATAACATTATACTCATATGAAGCGTGAATTATATATATGTAATCTTACGAATGAGCACTTTTGATTTTGCTCCATTAGTTTGCATAGGACTGCTTCATAGCTCTGGCGAAGCTATATATAAAAACCAATCTCGTTGTCAGAAGCTACGTTATTGCAGCTAAGTTACTGCTGACACTACATAACATTACTTCTTGCATTTTCATTAAGCATGATATTTTATGTGCTTTTGTACGTTTATGTTGTCATAATTGATCACTACATTCAATATCAGTATAGTATTATTGATTGTACATATATTCTATAAAGATACCCGTATGTCACTGTGAATAGAAATGTATCCCTTATCATAGTGCATTAGTCTATATCTCATAATGTATATAAATCCGCTCTTTCCTGTATCCCTCATTCTACTCACTTTCTGTATTCCTTTCCCTCTAGATCTCCTATAACTTTTCATCTTTCCCCTTTTCCTATATCTGATCAGTCGCTGCCTGCTTGAGAACTTTTAAAAGGAGACAGATTTACAAAAGTTTCAAACTTTTTTTCTGAAACCTGGTTGTATAAAATGTATGTTTTGAAATGTTACTGTGAAATAAAACAAGAGGCCCATTGGGCCTTACAGTCACCTGAGTCCTACAGTATTTATTTTTGTTGTTGAAATATGTACCAATTTGAGTAAAAAATAGTTAAGTATAACGTGAACTTAAGTTTCTCAGGACCATGAGCTGATAATTCCTAGACCGAGTTTCAGTTAAATCGGCCTATTAGAACTTGTTTTTAAGTTTGAAATAGTTATTTTCAAAATAGCGGCTGTGGCAGCCAAATTGTATTTCTGATTGACCCGAAAAATAGCAACACTTTAATCAGGACCAAGAGTCGATTATTCCTACAAAGTTTCAGATTAATCGGCCCATTAGAACTTGACTTTAAGTTTGAAATAGTTTTTCAAAATGGCAGCAGTGGCAGCCCTATTCGATTTCTCATTTACCCGAAAAATAACAACACTTTGTCAGGACTATAAGTCGATCATTCCTATTAAGTTTCAGTTCAGTCGCCCCAGTAGAACTTGACTTTAAGTTTGGAATAGTTTTTTAAAATGGCAGCCGTGGTGGCCATATTGGATTTCTGATTGACTCGAAAAATAACAACACTTTGTCAAGACCATTGGGTATTGTTGTACAGTCTGTGTTCTATGTGTTCTATAAGTTAAACAGGAGTCAGGCAGTGTACAGTTCATGTGTTATAATTAGGCCAGAGTACACTGGCGTCACCAGACTTCTGTCGTTGTATCCTGTCCACATGTACAAGTCCTGTGCTAAGTGTTGTCAGTTTACCTGTCTGTGGTTTCATGCTTTACTGTCTGGGCATGTGACTGTCAGTGTCAGCACTCCATTTACATTGGCCCATAGTTTTGTATTGTCAATGTGTTGTATATTTATATAGGAGCAGAGTGTTACTTTCATTTCGGGGCAGACCAAAGGATTGATTTTCTACAAAGACTGCCGTAGATATATATATATAAGTTATGTTAGCTGTTAAGAGACATTAAATGTAGCTGGATATAGGACGGAATGGGAATCTTGAGTAGGCATTAGGTAGGATTTAGGTAACTTACAGTAGTGATATGTAACATTAGGGTTAGAGAGGGGGGTTGTTCCTCTCGGTAGGGTTAGCGGGGGAATCGTCCAGGTAGGGTTGTATATGTATCGTGTAGGCCTATATGCATCATGTTTAACACGATGTTCCTAAACAAAATCAAATCCGTGCCCCTGGCCCGCTGTGGCCCTGTTATTGCCCTTCTACTTCTACAGGGTACTGATCAACTTCAACAATTTGAAGATTAATGTCAGAGGAGGGTTTAGATGCATTGACGGGTCATAGGCACGTCAATTGTCAGCAGGGGTTGCTCCAAAGTTGATAACTCTTATACTTCCGTAATGTTCGAAAACGCCATGACACTTTCGCCAGTAATGCTGTATATGGTACCTTGGTTTGTTTAACAAAATGCTTGGTAATAATTGAATAACAGCTACTCAGTTAGTTGGGGATGTCATTATCGTGGTATTATGTACCGTTCACACGAATGCTGACAAAGTAACATTTCTTTAAAGTATAAAAAGTAACGTACTTTTCATCCCAATCGTGATGGCGTTGCCCAAAGACGACCGCATTTTTATTTATCATAATTTCATTTGAGTAGTTAGCATCCCTTAGCTGATTTCAACTGGTGCATTACAGATTGTAGATAATTTACAGGTTGTTCATAAGTTGATTTGTTCGTGCATGTTGATGCACAATTTGTTTTCCTCTGCCACAACTTCAGTTTGTGTATGAGTTGCATCCCCAGTGCTGTAGTTGTTTTCCACAAAAAAAATTGATGTTGGGTTATTAAATGTCTATATATTGAACAAATTCTAAAGACATTTGGTCTATGTTTCGCCTATATGGAGAATAGTCCTTTAATTTTTTAAGGTAATTTCTTGTTGGTGATTGTTTAACATTTTAATATTAAGATTTAATATGTCCGATATAAAAATTTACCATTCGTTCTATGGTAATGTGGAGTTTTCAAAAATAAACTATACTTTACTTTAGGATGACAATATTGTTAGGGTTGTCACCCTTGCTTTGATTTTACTTCAGTACTAAATATCGGTCACCCTTAAAAGCGTCTTCAACCGAAAACAAGGGTCTTCAAATGACAACCAGCGTTGCCAGACAAATTCTTGAAAAATACTAAATAAAGTAGCGATATGAGAAGATATGTTGTTAATAAGACTATAATTGTCTCTAGACCAAATTTCAATTAGATATTTGATTTTTTTCCCCGATTTATGATGAATTGAATTTTACGATCTGCGGCGTGGTACGTGTGTGTATTAACCTGTACAGTTAAGAAAGCGTCGCCAGACAAAATCTTTGAAAAGTACTTACTAAAGTAAGCGACATCAGAGGATATGTTATTGACATGACTTTCATGTACCTATAGCTATATTTTCCCAAATTTCAGCCAGATATTTGAAACAAAAGGCCCAAGAGGGCCTGTATCGCTCACCTGAATATTTAAGCAGTCATAGCAAAATATTCTCATTAAATATTATATTGCACTAAAAATATTTCCCTCGCAAACTTTGTTGGCTACATCTGTTGAAACTACCAGCAAAATATTATTATAAGATTCTATGCTTTTTTATTCTTCTTCAGAAGTTGCTTGACATATTTTTACCTGTGACCTTCTAAGTAGGTCAATGTCATTTTCCTTCTCAAATTGGTAAGCTCTATTCCAAAATGCTACCAGACAAATCTTATGAATCCATTCCTTTTAGTTCTTGAGAACAAATCCTTTAAAATGTTGTTGACCTCTGTGACCTCTAAAGTAGGTTGAGGTCATTTTCATTCGCCAACTTTGGTGAGCTCTATCCCAGGAAGTCACCAGCCAAATATTATAATTTTATGAATTTTAATTCTTCAGAAGAAGTATTTTGAACTGTTTGACATATTTGAACGCTGTGACCTTGAAAGCAAGTCAAGGTTATTTGCATTCGCAAACTTTGTTTGGCTCTTTCCCAGGAAATACCCAGCCAAATATTAAGGTTCTATACCTTCCAGTTCTTCAGAACTTTTTCTAAGCGTTAGATATATCTGACTCCTGTGACCTTGAATGTAGGTCAAGGTCATTTTCATTCGCAAACTTTGTTGGGCTTCTTCCCAGGAAATAACCAGCCAAATATTAAGGTTCTATACCTTCCAGTTCTTCAGAACTTTTTCTAAGCGTTAGATATATCTGACTCCTGTGACCTTGAATGTAGGTCAAGGTCATTTTCATTCGCAAACTTTGTTGGGCTTCTTCCCAGGAAATAACCAGCCAAATATTAAGGTTCTATACCTTCAGTTCTTCAGAAGAAGTTGTTTTAAGTGTTTTGACATATCTGCCTCATGTGACCTTAAAAGTAGGTCAAGGTCATTTTCCTTCTCAAACTTTGTTTGGCTCTTTCCCAGAAAGCTACAAGCCAACTATTTAGGTTCTATAACTTTCAGTTCTTCAGAAGAAGTCGTTTTAAGCATTAGACATATCTGACTCCTGTGACCTTGAAAGTAGGTCAAGGTCATTTTCGTTTTCAAACTTTGTCAGGCTCTTTCCCAGGAAGCCACCAGCCAAATATAAAGATTCTATACCTTTTAGTTCTTCAGAAGAAGT